CCCAGCACAAATTGATTAAGTTAAATTAACTGTTTTTAATTTTAAGTTTTTAAATTTAAGTGGATTGAACATAAAACAATTATGGTAACCCAAAACAACCTAAGAATTGTGTTGTTTCAATTCATTTAAACAGAAAGTGGTTGGAAGAAGCAGCATAAGTATTTTTTTTTCTCTAAACAAAATATTACCGGAAACATGTACTTTAATAAATAAATATGTTGTATAATAAACTCACACTTGAAAGATGTTTCCCGTTTGAGATGCTAGTATGCCGGAGACTGTTCGAACTTCAATTCCAACTGGATTTGGACAAATTTCTCCAGAGTACGCAGTGAGAAGATCAGACAAAAGCTCATAGTCTCCTTGTCCAGTTGGGTCATCATTGTCAAACCACTGAGTTATACAACCTAAAAAACAGCAAATAGAAGAAAAACTGCTTTGAAACACAAAGAGTGACACCAGATGAGAATCTTTTAAGAGATCAATATAGTAACAAAATATGCAAGAGTAGAAAAATGACACCTACTTTGAGTGGAGAGCGAAAAGAGTGTACCTATAAATAATGACAATACTTTATGACAACACTAGCCTTTTTTGTTATAAAATTTTATAAAACATCTACATTCATAATCAAACTTACTTGTAACAACAACCACCAAGGTTGCAAATACCTTAGAAAGAATGACATGAAAAATGTATGAATGAAAATAAATGAAATATTGAATATAAAAAATGAAAGAAAGAATAATAAAAATATAATATAATATAATATAATATAATACAATACAATACAATACAATACAATATAATATAATATAATATAATATAATACAATACAATATAATATAATATAATATAATATAATATAATATAATATAATATAATATAATATACCTTGGTGTTCATTCTTCTGGCTTTTCTCAACAGGGAGTCTAACAAATAAAATAAAAAAATGATAAATAAGCACAACTCCAAAAACATGATCATTTTAAATAATGACTTGTATATAATACATAAACATTATAAACTCACCAGATATTACTTGATGACTCTTCTATTATCTATCAATATCCACCACTGTATTTGACCACCACTAAATGCAGGATTGTCTGCACAACATCTGTTTTGATGGCTGAAATAGGTTCTCTTTTAAAGCAGACGGGCTCCTCCCAGACCTTTTGGAGTAGCATCAGTTATCAGCTTTGACCTGATTCCTCACCTCTTTGTATTCACCTCCGCCCATCTCACGTGAAATACCACTGTCAAGTATTCTCTGTGGGGTCCTGAATAGGGATTATTTTTAATCTGGTGTGAGACTTATTCTTTTGTTCTTCACGTAAACAAACAGAGAATGTTGTTATAATATGTGAAAGCTGACCGTGCTAGATGCATTAGAAAGAGATGATACAGCAACTGTAACCCTTTACAAAATACTTAACACAAGAAACTAGGTCACAGGCTTTTCTTTTTTACTTATTGGGGAAGAAAAGTATATGTGTCAATTTCATAACATATTTACAGGTGCCATTGTGATATGCAATACTCCGATCACATTAGACAAGACAATGAATGACATTCAATACTGTATGTAATATTAGTCTCTGTTACCCTCAGAATGTGTCTGAAGTTTCAGCACAGAATTCCCAGCAGAATATTTATTATATCATACTGAAAATATCAGATTTTAAGTGGGACTACATTTTTAAAAAGTAGGTTTTTTTTTATATCGTCACCTTAAAATTACAAGGTTCTATCTGACATTTTTGTCAAAATTGAGTTATCAACATATTCTTATTAAATGACAACTTATTTAAATTACAGGATGTTTACATTTTAAGACTTTTTATAAAAAAACAAACAAAAAAAATGTTACACATATTCTGTTTGCTACGAAATGCAAAAACTTTAAAGCTCAATATCTTAAAATCATTCAGGACGCAGATAGAACCTTACAATTCCAAGGTGACTATATGGTCCTCAAATGCAAATGCTTGGCAGCGCAATGAATTTTAAATGAAAAGAAATGTCAGAAGTCTCATAAAACACAACAGAATTCAGAACACAGTAGAAAGTCAGAGACAACTTTTCAAGTTTTCAGCCCTTATACATTTTTCTTATACATGTATCTGCAGACAGCAATAAAAGTAAAAAAAGATCATTAAATTAAATTTAAAAACTTTAGAACAAAAGTTTCTCACAATGACACCAAGGCAAAAAATGTGCAAATATGAGAAAAGTACAAATTATGAGAAATAAACTTACCTTTGAGAAGAAACAATGTCAGAACTGCAAAACAAAAAGTTACCGTTCATTATTTATTTTACTGTGAAAAGATGCCTCCAGATTTTACTGTCTTATCCTGACAGAAATTGAACAATAGCAAGGTTGAAAAGTAATTGACTCGCATACAGTAATCTGACTGTTATGCTATCCCCAGTAGTAAAGCCATGCAGTTGACTTTCATTGTGGCCATTTTTTATATTTTGAAACAATATGAATTATATGGTTGTGTAAAAGTATGTTATGTATTGTTATAAATGTACACTAGTCCATGAAAAAATCATGTACTGTATATGATAGCATCCCTTATCAAACTTAACCCCGTCTTGTTTTACAGAGACTGTAAAGCCGTGTATTTATACTTCTGCGCACTGTCTGTGTTCCTCTGGAATAACACATCCGAAACACTAGCTGGCAGTGGGTGTCTATGTTTCTCTGTGTCGGGTTCCTTCGGTGGTGTTTTGTTTGTCCTGAACGCTTTTTTAAAGTACAAGTGGCTCAAATTAGCTGATATTGAGTTGGGAACGACGGACCTGCAACAACTGTAATCATAAGGAAAAAACAAAGCAACAGTTTCCATCCGGAGCTCCTTTACGGGACTCCACACTTGTAAACACTCGCTGCATCACGCTCATGCGGCTCTCACCTCCACCCACACTCGTCAGCACTACCAAGCCGAGCAATCACAGAGCTTGCGCTGTGTACCCGTTACATGTTTTGAGAGGTGCTCGTCAGCGATGTCGACAGCCACGGCGAGGGATTATGTGTCCACGCGTAGGCTGCGTCGTTGCATACGCGTGCGCTTGACGCAGAAGTATAAATCAGCCTTAAGCCAGCATCGTCCGACATCAGTTCCTGACTTCTAAAAAGCACTGCTAAAATGGTCAAACCTTCAATGGAATAATAATAATAATTCCTTATATTTAGATAGCACTTTTCTGAACACTCAAAGCACTTTACACATTAAGGGAATCTCTTGATCCACCACCAGTGTGCAGCATCCACCTGGATGACGCGACAGCAGCCATATTGCGCCAGACCGGGGATTGTCAGGAGGCCATGATAGACAGAGGCCAGTGGGCACAGTCACAGAGAGTCAGGACTTCGGTTTAACATCTCATCCGAAAGATGGCGCTCACTGAGTAGTATAGAGTCTCCAACACTATACTGGGGCATTAGGACCCACACAGATCACAGGTTGGGCGCCCCCTATTGGTCTCATTAACACCACTTCCAGCAGCAATCTAGCTTTCCCATGTGGTCTCCCATCCAGGTACTGACAGGACACAGACCTGCTTAGCTTCAGTGGGCAACCATGTGAGAGTTGCAGAGAGCTAGCTGCTGGCAGGATGTCCTTTGGAGTATGGAGTCCAAGGGTGTAGAATTGCTCTACATTAGTGGGGACCTATAAATCTAGACTGAAATCGGGCTTTGCAAAGAAACTAATACGGACTGATGGAAAGGGTGCAGGATAATTGTTTCACCGAGATTCAATAATCCCGATTATTGTTTTTACATAATCGTTGGCCAAATTCAAAAATGTATGGAGAGAGGGAAGTGTAACCCCAGACTTTCCTCTCCCTATCCTACCAACACTGCTGCTCTCACAACCTAGATAAAGTCAAGAATAGATGGATGGATTATACAATTTCAGCCTTATTTAACTGTCAGCAGGCACAGTTCACATTATGTATACTGGCCATCCGTCGACAGTTTTGTTCGGTTATGAAACAGCAGTTGCCTTAAACAGGATTTGATCTAATCAAATCCAATATAAATGTTAAATAATACAAGTTAATACATACAAATGGCTAACTGCCAACTGGTTAAAAATGTTTTTCTTTTGAACTGCAAACACCGTAACAAGTATTAAACCCTTACGTTATGTTACCTTCCAAATTAACAAAGTTTAATTCGCAATTCGTATTTCGCAAGTTTATGTAAGCATGGACAAATGCTTAATGTACCTTGTTGAGTTACATGATGGCTCGGTCTTACCATGTGGTAAAAAGTGAATTACTCTATGTAGATTTACATGATTATATCCAAATTATGTTGATTGAGGTTTCCTTTCATACAATTTTGATTTTTTTTTTATACAACAATGAATCACTACAAACACCAAAGTGCAAGTTTATTTTACTTATAACATTTATACACGTTGTAATATATATTTTAACTTAATAAAATAAATATTTTGGATGGTTCACTTTAAGTTTAAGAAAAAAAAGGCTACATAAAAACCTCACAAATTGTTTCCACAATGTTATAAAATAAATAATAAAACGAAAGTATTTATTTAGAAGTTTGTAGAAGATTTAGGGAGAGGTTTGTGTTAACAACTAAGCCTATTTTAGCGATTTAACCAAGATCCCATTCATAAAACCCATTGACTTTGGGAACTCCTAAAATAAACTCGCTTCCAGGTTTTTGCATACAATTTGACATCGCAGTTCCTCCACTCTATTAATTCACCTCCAAAGTAATATTGTTTTACTGTTATACTACGTTTTTACCATATCAGATTTCACTCACATTCAGCTTGGTTTCAGTCATGCTGACCACGGAAAGCTGTAAATGACTTTTGTTTGATTAGTGCTTCATACATGACTACACTTTTAACAATTACCCTGCTTTTGTGCACACGTTTGCAACCACACCTTTACAATGTTACAACAGCACTGAGAACAATGAGCCTCAAAAATAACATCAGAGATATGTTTACATTAGAACCTTTACTCATCTTTCAAGAAAAATCCTACAATCATTACTGACATGAAAATGGCTTCCAACCTGCCAAACACTGAAGTCAAAAAGTCATGTATAGCTACTAGGGTAAATGGGCAGACTAGACACACCCTAAAATTACAACTGGATTCCTCTGCTTCCTCAGTCTTGATGTCCTCTGAAATCTCAATATGAAAACAAAAACACACAGAATAAGTATAGCAGTTGACAATGCGAAAAACAATATGCTTTGAAGCCTTTTTCAGGCTTGCAAATCAATGATGACAAAAGACAGAATCAGAAAATAATAAAGGTGAAGCAACTTTAATTAAGCAGTAATGCTCCTTTTTTGTTTAAAAGAAAATTAACAAACAAGGCTTAGTCATATAAAACAGTGAAAAAGACACACAGGAGCCAAAGTGACCTCTGACCCTTGTCTGGCCCATGCGGGCGAGCATGTTCATTACAGCTCTAAGTCACAGCACTAATAAAAGAGATCTTTCACTAAGCAGTTCATCTATTCTGTTTGATCTACCAGTTTGTTCTTTCATTCCTTCATTTCGGACCATCTCATTATCACCCAGTCATTTCCTGTACTCAACTATTGAGCAAATCACCCTGAAGGGATGCCATCATTTCCATGAAGTCTTTTTGTTCATTGCACACCATGTAAGACTCCTCCATAATATGAATGAAATGACACCTCAGTAAATCCATTTACACAAATACATCATGCACAATAATGTGTTAGTGAGGCTGTTAACAACAAAACTGTGAGCAATAGACAACACATAAAAGACATTTTAAACAACATTTGAAACTGCAATGTGATTTTTACCGAATATCTGAGATCCACTACTTGAAACGTAACAATAATTCTAGTCCTCTCATGAAAAAAAACATCACCAATTAAAGAAAAATCTACAATTTACTAAAATAAACTTTACTTCTCCGCACTTTGGCTTGAGGGATTGTAATCAGTAAACAATATTTTACTTTATTGTAAAGCTGTGGCTTTAATTACAACAAACGAGACCCATCCAGAGGAGAAATATTACAAAACACCAAAGCTGTAGTTATGCGCTTGTTTTGTTGCTTTTGTCATGTCTGAATTTAGCACCATGTTTCATTTTTGATACCAGACACAATGTTACCAAGCATGGAAGGTATAACATATTAAACATACACAGTCTACACAGTGTATGATCTCCCAATTTGTATCTTTAGCAACAATCTTCACCTGAGATGCATCTTGATGTCTTCTTTGCTGTGACCTCACAGAAAGCCATTCAGTATGGAAGGTGATTGAGGCCAAAACGTCTTGAAACACCATAAAACTGATTGCGCCAATGAGCATCCATTAGACTAGGGCTATGTTTACATGACAACGACGTAGCAAAAAACGGAAAAGATGTTCCCTTCCGTTTTAAAGTTTCACATTTATAGGACAATGTTTTCAAAACAATCAAAACCACTGTATTACATATGCCAGGCTGGATTTTGGAGCTTTTTAGTAAACAGTACCTGTAGGAAAGTGACGTTGTGCAGTCGAAGGCATATCTGCACGGATGTGTGTGGGTGGGTATGTGTATATGACATGTCTCTGCTATTGGTTGTAATGTAAAGTAAATCGACATTTTGCTGATGAGTCATTAGGAAGCACTTGAACAACAACACTACCAGGGTTCTGTTCACACCAGACGCGGATGAAGCCTCAAGCGAGAGTGATTTACATGTTAAGTCAATACAAAGATACGAATAGACATCCTACGGTGTGTTTTACGTGAATGATGCGATTTCCGTGAATGAAGCAGTGGAGTTGAGCGTTTTGCACGTTTCATGCACTTAACGTGTATATCGATTTGGAAAATCTTAACTTCAGCGGACATTCGCACCTTGTGAACTAATCAGGAACCTTTTAGTGTAGGGACGTAATTATGACATAATGCCTGCTGTTGGTGTTTTTGTGGAAAATTCTCTTTGCCGACACGGGACAACAGTTCATAAAACTGTGCTTGGCTCAGTCAGAAGCACCGCAGAAAGCTTCCATCATCCTGGTACAGTTTCTGGAGGAGTTGATGAACTCACAGAGCTGGGTGCACCTCTGAATGGATCTAGTAGACTCAGACACAGCGCCAAGCGAATCGACGCTGTTTATCAGCCTTCCTAAAGCACATAAACACAGCTATTCTCTCGATAAAATCCATGTTAGCCATTTAGCAATGAAGCTAGAGTCAATGGGAACATGATGCCCTGCCCATGACAACAATCAACATATATTGTGAGTGAATTTGGTGAGCAAATGAAGCGAATTTGACACACGAATTAAGCGAGCAAACTTAAAATGTTCATGCGTCTATTTATGCAAGAATAGAGCGATTTATTTGTGCATTCCACGTCTGGGGTGAACACAGCATATCACTGTTGTGTGTTTTTGTGCTAGCTTTTAATCTTAATCACCCTAAACACTTAATACACACTCTAACTGCGTCATTGTTTTCAAAAACTCCCATTTGCAGGTGTTTACACTGACATGAAAATGGCTTCGTTTTTAAAAACGTCCACTTTGCGTGATTTATGTGTTTTCAGTCACCATAAAAGCTTGTAACTTAAGTTATCATGTAAACAAACAGGCATAAAACATGCTCATTTTTAGTTAAAAACATTGTCATTTAAAAAGCCCCTGAATTAAAAATATGCAAATGTGATGATACAACATCAGATGTCATGTTTATTCACAAAGTATTTTGTGATGGTAAACAGGTATGTAAATATTAGATGTTGCGATGATATTTGGTATGTGATTTCAGTGATATTATATATATATATATATATAAATATGTTCAATACCGCCACACTAACATCATCAAACTGAAGCAATGAAATGATCAAATTTAAAAAAAGAAAAAGAAAAATGTATAAACTTTTGACCCCGATCACCTTTCATAAACCCAAAATATACTTCAGTTTTTACATGTGCGCAACAGTATGCGTATGAACTGCGAAGTGAATTTTGTGCTCATTTTTTACCCAAACAATACAAGGTAAGCAAATCTCACGTGTTTTGAATATTTTTGCACTACTTTGTTTGTCCACAAGATGACATTACTAAACCGGACCATTAATTCACAGTCAGGAAAAACTGAACAAGAAAAAGTATGAAGACATTTCATCATTTCTAGAGTGAAGAAAAAGTGCAGACAATACTGAATATTCAATCATGCAAACATTGAGCTTGTGTGTTTGCTTGGAAAGGCTGTGTGTGTTCAACTGTGCGCACATGCTAGCGTATGAATAAAAACAGAAGTATATTTCAGCCTTCAGCATGCTCGCCCCCATCAGCCCTCATACAGAGTAAAAGAAGGCAGCAGAGTCTTCAAGTATGAACACAGCTCAGTACTAAACCTCAGACACGCAATTTTAGAGCCTAGAATCAACAAATGAGCAGGTTATTGTTAGCTTTGCATTTCCCCCACAAATATAATATATATAGATAGATTAATATGCTTATAAATAAAAATTCAGTGCTGTAAAACATCTCCGATTCCATAGGATCTGACCCACCATAGAAGGCTCATCATGTTTATCATTATAACTATTATTTCTTTCTCTTTTCTTGTCATGGCTAAAAAGCTTCTGTTCGGAGTATATAAACTGAGCTTCCGTGTTAATAAGTCCTTCATTGAGCATACACTGAAAAGTTGAAGACTTGTTAATATCGTTAATTTTCCTCTTTCTCTTTTTGGTTTAACGCAGAACAGAGCAAAAAATCCTTTCTTTCTTTCCTGTGTGTGTTTTTGGTTGCGGTGAAACGTTAAGAAACACATGTCAGAGTGTGTCTCTTAAAGTGTGACTGTCGTCCTGTGAGTGTCTGAGAAATGCAGGATACTCAGTGTGACTGTGGATGAGGGTTTTTCTTTTCTGTAGTCTCTGGTAGTGTTTTAGTACTGTGCTTATGTTAAGCAGCGCTCTACATTGATGCCCTCTTCTGCGTGAACCTGCAGGTCTATGGGTCGCGCTGGCTGTTCTCCTGGTCGAGCGTTCATCAGCGACAGGTTCTTCACACAGCCTGTCATGCCTGATGAATACTTCCCTCCGGTCAAAGCTTGCATGTCAGGAGCTCCACCTACAGGAAATACATGTAATTAGTCTGAATTTAGATTAAAATGTTGTTGATGATGATGGCACAGTTTTTCTCATGGATGTCCGCTCCAGGATGGAGTAACACGTATGTCTTTATGATTATTAATAAAGTTAAATGTTTGAGGGCCTAGATTATATTATGACCTTAGTGTCATCCCACTTCAGAGTAAATCTGAAATAATATGAGTGTCATTGCTTTTTCTGTAAGCCAAATTATTTGTTTTCTCATGATCTACCAAGTCAGGTCAGAGGTCACGGAGACCTCTTGAGTAGACCTGAAGAATTAGAAACAACTTTTTCCTGAGTTGTTTCTTGAGTCATTTTTTGTTGAATCTTTTAAAGTAAATTCCTTTGTATGTACTGTTAACTCACAGTTTGGATGTTGATTGTACCAGTTTTAAACAAGATTGTACACAAAACAGTCTCGAGTAAGAAACGTTGTAATTTGTGTCTGTATCTTTTATGCATGTGGTATCCATGAGTATTACAGGTCTGGGGTCAGCTCTAAATATCTTAGTGGCTATCTGACTTTTGCATGCGATGCCTAAGTAATCATTGGAAGATACTAATCATAATAGTGCACACACACTTGTGCGCACATGGATGTTTTCCAAGTCTATCTGGGTTTTAACTAATCAGGTTAAAACGCCTATATGTATGACACAGTTAATGACGCCATGTGAGAGCTGCCTACGGACTTTATGAGAGATGTGCTGCAAACCATTTTCAGTAAACTTTCTTTTTGAATCTCTGACTTTTTTCATCTGACAAACTGATCATTTTTGGGTTGAAACAGTTGGTCCCCCTACAATGACTTTAAGTAATGTCTATATGTATTATTTGGGGGGGGGTCTAACTTTAAGGCGGGTTTTACAAACAGTAGTACTGTTAAAAGTATACCCAGCTTACCCAGAAATGAAAATTTATATATATATATATTTATTTTTTTATTTTTTTTATTTTTATTAAGTATTAAAAAAAAAAACAGTAGTAGCCATTGACATTCATTGAAAGAAAAAGCAATACTATGGAAGTCAATGGTTACAACATTCTTAAATATATCTCTCTTGGGTTCAACAGAACAAAATAAAACTCTTACTGAAGTCAATGGTGAGAATATGATGATACAATTGAATTTTTTGTGTGAACTATCCCTTTAAGTATTACAACAATTTGCACTTTTGATTTTAATATTTAAAAAATGCTATATTTTCTGCATCATACTCTAATGAATGTCACATAATGCCTTTTTACAAGATCATTTTAAATAAATGTCAAAACCTGCTCATGATCCTTTGTTAAAAAAATAACGTTTTAAAGAACAGCATTTATATCAATTATAAATATTTTATACATTCTTTTAAAAACTTTGTACTTTAAAAAAACAGTGGTTAATGTGTATTTTTATTCATTAAAAATGTATTGTAGTAGAATTTATTCCACATACTCCACAACAAAATGCACACATTTTCATTACAACTTCAAGAAAACAATAACTACTGTAAAACTTGGACACCAAGAATGATAATAAATAGTGTAACTATGAAGTTCTAAATATTCCAACTGAAAGAATAACGATATAGATGAACAATATTAATGATTCACCTTCAGAACATTTTTTCTATGTGATGAACATAAACCCTCCCCAGACAATTTATTAAAACGATTAGCACATTTTAAAAAAACAAGCAGCATTGCTGAAAACCTCATTTACTTCCATTTGATCTACTTTGAATTTGCAGTATGAGTTTGATAGATCGTTATTGTTGGCTGATGTGAAAACAAATACAGTTGTCTTTTTGTGAACGGATCCTTATATGTACTTACCCAGGTATATGTTGCCCTTGGTATTCACCATGATGCTTTTGCCTTGTGATTGTCCTCGTTGGACAGATCCTCCATCAATCTGAAGATAGCCATGCTTACCGGTTCTGTTCAAGACACATAATGAACACTCTCAATTATTTTTCCCATGGCCTTTTACTATGTATGAATTGACTGGAGTGGTAAGTCTTTACCGGACTGCAGTGATCTTGTGCCACTGTCTGTCATTGACAGGCTCTCCGGACACGATCTGAGCTTCTCCACTGCCCAGCTGATAACTATCAGAAAAAAACAACAACAGCACATCAGGACAAAACATTGATCCAGACACTGAAACAGAGATGCAATGATTTTAACCAGATCATTCTAGATGCCGTCATATATAGTATCTGACGCACATGTGGTTTATTAGTGTGCAAAAGAGATCCATTACGCACCTAAACACAAGATGTCCATTTTGTAAACCGAGACTTATAAAGTCCTTTCCCTTGCCTTGATCTCCAAGTTCCTGTAAAATATGATATTTTTACTGAAAATTTGAAGGGGAAATCAGAATTTTACTAGGAAATATGGATGAAAAACACAGACATGACAGCATGTTAGATATACATCATGTGTGTGTATAGCAGAACTTCTATTCTTGAATTAATCCCACAGTAATTATAAAAAAAAAATAAATCAAACATTCAAACATCTTGACTATGACAAACAAGCTGTAAAATAAACAGTATATAATACAAAGAAAAGTCGATATGATTTTTTTATTCTTTTAAACGGTCTGCTTATAAAAACAGATGTTTATAAAAAAAAGTCTGTTGTTCATTAATGTTGCATATTGATCATGTGAAAAGTGAAATCTGTTAATCATTTGATTAAAATGATTATAAAATAATTACAAATAATAAATGTATTAATTGTCACTTTTGATCAGTTTTCTGCAAACTTGAAGTATTTTTCAATTTAATAAATAAATAAATAAATAAAATCAATCAATCAATCAATCAATCAATCAATCAATCAATCAATTCCCTCCATTGATGACCCTAAACATTTGTAGGTAATATATCTTGATTAAAATATCAATTTGAACAAAGTTCATGTAATATTTTTGATTAATTGATCAAAATTGTGACAATGTACTACAAACAAATTATCCAGAAATTATTCTTTAAAAATAAAAATAAAATTGGAAATGCTAGAATTGGTTCCTGTAAGTTTAAGGTACACTTTGTAGTACTATTATGTATTTAAATGCACAACCTTCATGTTTGTTGTTATTAGAAGGATCACTATCTATGTTTCCATACAAAAATGCGAAATAACTTTAAGCGCAACATTGGATTATCGCATAAAAGATGTGCAAACAAAGCAGCGTTTCCATCCAACAAGTCAAAAAGAACAAAATTGTCACTTCCTGATTAATTGGCGCCAAATATCAACAGTAAAAACAGAATTTGCTGCAGTAGGAGAAGCTGCATCAATCTTTTCTCTATTTAAAAAAATGACCTGCAGACGTGACACGCAGTGATGGTGCGGTGATGTTTGAAGGCGTGAGACACAGAGGACAGACACGTTTGATTCTGGAGGTAAATAATAATATAACAACACTAATACTGAAACTGTTAAGGCACTTTAGAATGACCAAAACAAGATTTCAGATGTTTTACAATGTGCTCAGCCTGCTGGTTTGTTTATTTACACACATTTTAATCTCTAATAACAAAATCACATGACTTTTTAATGCACATACTGGAATTTGTTTGGTAAAATTGTTTCCATTCTAGTTTATGTGCATCTTATTGTATAAAAAGTTTATTCTACTCAGTTATGCGCATATATTATTTATGCACATTTTCAAAACTTATGCGCAAATGAGCATTAAATTGGTGGATGGAAACGGAGCTATTACATATGCAAAGCAGCCTAGTAGGTATTTTTAATTTGTCTCACATTTAGTCTGAAGGTAACAATTAAAATTGTCTGAGGGCCAAATAACCTGTTTTGTTCCCTATTTGTGAAAAGTGCCAAGTGAATGTGATAAATGCCTGAAGAGTTACAAGTGTATTGACTGAACAAGTGGAAAACAAGTGATGAAAATGCAAACATGAGCCTAAAAAAACCTTTGAAATCAAGCAAAATACATGCAAAAAAAACTTCAAACGTACTGTACATACTGTACATGTATAATGCTACTGCATACTGAGATGATAATGATATGATCATGCTAATGCAGACATAATTTTGTGTTTTCCATCGTTTTCTGCTTGTGAAGAGTGAATACCTTTATATTAGCATGCTTCTTATGGAGGTTTAGAGCACCTGCAGACTCCTGAGGAGGATGAAGGTGAGTTAGGCAGGCAAACATGCAGTGCAGCCAAAAAAAAAGGGTGAGTGTGAGGAACAAATGCATATCGATCAACAATCCAGCTCCAAGCAAACTCATTTGACTCAGTTTAGTAAATTGAGGCTGAATATGAAATGTAAAACATGTCAGTTCCATATCAGTTACCCATGATCATAATGCGAGAGTATATGTAGTGTCCAAAATAAACATTTATAAGCAGATTTAAAAGATATGCACTGAACAGGACATTTTACAGTATACTGTACAGACATATTTGTGCCTAAAAATTTATATCTTGGACTCTAAATGTGTGTGTCATGGGAAGACAAGGGCGCACATTTGTACAAACATACCACTCCCTGCCACAGGATGAGGCCGTCCTTTGAGGCAGTGTTGATCTCTAACTCAATGGTCTCTGGAGAGTCAGGAGCACTGCAACAAGTCAAACAGTCATTAATGCAACCAGAAAATATCCAAACACATATTTTATTGTTAAACTTGACAGCATCCATTTAAGTTCAATTAAAGGAACACTCTACTTTATTGGAAATAGGCTCATTTTACAAGTCCCCTGGAGTTTGACCATTTTTGAATCCAATTAGTCCATCTATGGATCTGGTGGGAGCATTTTTAGATTAGCTTATCATAACATTAATAATTGAATCAGATTAGACCATTAGCGTCTCACTCAAAAAACAAAAACAAACCAAAAAAAATGTTCAAAACAGGAGTCTTGATAATGTTCCTATTTATAGTTTGGCTCTTTTTTAATTACATCCTGTACTAAGACTGACAGATTTTGAAAAAGCTGCCATTTCGTAGCCTGATATAGCTGAAGCAGGCATAATGATATTACACATACCTACAGTACCTAGCTGGGGGGTTGTTGCTAGATCACAGGGCCACGCACAGGGGGGTGGCCAGAGCCACTGCCCCTTTGCCCTCATTTGCTGAGGTGCCCCTGTACCCCCCCCCCCCCCCATAATTTATGTAATTTATTAAATTTCCCATTCAATGTATTTTTATCAGCTTCTACCACCACCTTAATCCTAAACTTAACCGTCACAGTAATGTAAAAACAGTAGTTGTACAGAGTATTACTTATGCTATCTATTACAATATTTAATAAATTGTATTTTTAACGTCTACCCCCACCCCAACTGTCATAGTAACATAAATATTAATTATTGTTATACAATGTTATAAAAAATGCTGCTATATTAATTTGCATATTGAACTTCCGGTCGGCCGGGTATGCGATCTAGACTTTACCTAGCTGGGGAATATTTTCAGGTGCTGCATGATAACATAGTCCCTGCTTCTGCCATGGTACAGCAGCAAAGGTCCTTGACCTTTCACTTTTCACAGGGCGGACTTAACCAATATGTGAGATAAGCAGTCACTTATGGAATTACGGGGCCCCGACCAATGCTAAGAAGCCTATTTTAATCATATACTATTTTTTTGTACTCTTATATGCTGTAAAATCTGTCTAGAACTATTAAGATTTAAACCTTAATTCTTTCTTTTCAAAAGAAAGGGTCCCCATGAATAGTGGAATGTTTCTTCCGTGCTGCAATCTAATCACAAATATGGCTGTAGATAGTTTGCGAATTTATTGTATTTAATTTTACATTAAGGAGATTAAGGTTCCACTTAAAATATATATTTTAACATGCAGTTTATTTACAAAAAAATAACCTACAGAGAAAAAATATCTATAGAGAAAGAGAGTTTTGAGTTTAATTGCTACGGCCCCATATCTTGAATTGCTTTGGGCACCCAGATCACTAGGTCCACCCCTGTCCATAACTAACTTTTATCAAGAAATTTGTGTTTTTTACAATGTGGTCACAGTATCTCAAGCAAAGTATCGAATCACAAAACCTAACAATAGGATGGACACAATGTTTCCTTTTCTTTTTTGAAACAGAGATATGAACAAAACAATGTTTGAAGACTTCATTTAGTAGTGCCCATCCCACACAATGGATTAGTTTATATGGATTGTTGCATTTGTTGAGCATGGTTTCTGATTGTGACATTTATTTTGAAAAAAGAACACACAAAAAACATGAATATGAAAGTTTTAGAACGAGTGTGCAAAGACTGTGCCCTCACCTTCGTGGGAACATAGGTTTTGGAAGTGCCAGATATCCATTGTCATGGAAATATGCGGAATATTCGATAGGAGAGTCTGCAAAACAGAAACCAAAATTAAATGCCAACTCTCTGTATTATAGTGCCACCCTGTGGACTGTCACGAAACAAAAAACAAAAACAAATAAATGAGTGGAATATAAACAGCACTGACACCCGAATACAAAGCATTGATATGGAGGACGAAACCTGCCAAAACGATAAATACATAAATATAAATTTAAAAAATTTAAATTCTTAATAATAAATAAAAATTTATTGTTTTATTTATGCAGGAATTTGTGTATATATTTATTAATTTACTTGCATTTTTATTAATTTACTATTTTATTTATGCAGGAATTTATGTATTTATTGTATTTATTGATTCATTTATTTATTTATTTGCATATTTATTTATTTATTGTTTTATTTATGCAGGAATTTGAGTATTTATTTATTTGTTTTATTTATTGTTTGATTTATCCAGTAATTAGTGTATATAATTATTTATTTATTTGCATATTTATTTATTTACCGCTTTATTTATGCAGGAATTTGAGCATTTATTTATTCATTTATATGCACATTTATTTATTTACAGTTTTATTTATGCAGGAATATGTGTATTTATTCATTCATTTATTCATTTATTTGCATATTTATTTTTTATTTATACAGGAATTTGAGTGTTTATTTATTCATTTATTTGCGTATTTATTTATTTACAGTTTTATTCATACAGGAATATGTGTATTTATTCATTCATTTATTCATTAATTTGCTTATTTATTATTATTATTTTTATTTATACAGGAATTTGTGTATTTATTTTTTTATTGATACAGGAATTCGTGTATTTATTTATTCATTTATTTATTTGCGTATTTATTTATTTATTTATTGTTTTAGCAGGTTTCGTCCTCCATACATTGATATCGATTCATCAGATTTAGAAGTGATTTAAATGCATGACCCCAAAGAACAGGCTTGTTGCATTGTGAGAAATCAACAATCCATCAAGAGCAATTCAAAAACATTAAAATCCAACACGCATTTCATTTATCTCCACAAGATAATGAACGCAAATAGACATTGCTCTTAAGGTAACATTCCCATTTGTACAACATTGCACATTCCGCTCAAATTAAGCATTCTCTTGAACCATGTAATAAACGTCGGGCAATTACAAACAAGTGCTTACCACCAAGTGCTTCATGCTGAGGGTTTCCAGTCGTAAAACTCACCTGTCGGGTCAGCTCAAGTGTACAAGTGAAGGACGTTCGGTGGTTAGTAACCAAAAAAACGTGTTTGTTGACAGTGTGAGGACATTTTGTTTTAACGGACGCTGCTGTATGTGAAAATGGCAGTGCGGAAAATAGGATGTTGATTGTTTCGCAAAAGAGAAAGGAGGTTTTATGCGATAGAGATCAGATGTCGAATTAAAACTGCAGCGAGAGGTTGAGTGACTGACCGGACAGGACGCTTCAGGAGAATTTTATGTGTCTGATCACTTTTGACAAAATTGCAAATGAAGACATAAAATTCCCCTTCAACGTAACACTTAAAACTTCACAGTAGGGACATATTAACCAATTATAAGTGCAGATCATTCATTTCGACAGCGCATTATTTCAGGGATCTATTTACGAGGATCCAGTATTAAAACTCTTTTCTACATTGTTTTTATTTTATTTATTGTTTATACTTTTAGAGATGTCAAACATCCCTTAAATATTTCAAATCAATCAAAAGTTTTGGGGTTGGTAAGATATTGCATTTTGAAAAGTCTTATGCCCATCAAAGTAGAATTGTTTTTGATGATTAATATGGAACAAAAAGTCATTACATTGTTTATAGATATTAAAACATTTTAAAATGTATTTTATTCTTTTAAAAGTCACTATTTGCATTGTATTGTTGAACTCCAATACATCAAAAATAATTCACTCCATAAATAATTTGATCAATGTTTTAAAGTAAATTTTAAAAGACTTATCAATTTGATTCTTTGAGAGAATATCTTACTGACCCCAAGTATTTCAATATCAAATACATTTGAAAAAAGTACATCAATATTAATAGTTTTCAGGTAAAAATAACTCAACATCCTTAAAACTGTTTTCATATTCATGCATATAACAAGCAAAGTTAAGTTTACCCTCATTTACCCTATCAAGAAATAAAAGAAAAAGCTCCCTTAATTGAGATTAAACCTTTGAACAAGAACAACTAAAATCCCTAAAATGTTCTGAGCTTGTAAGACATTTTTTTAAAGTGACTTATAACTATCAAAGTAGGATTTATTAGATAAATAATATTTTTTTTTTGCATTTTAGTTTTACATTTATATTATATTTTTAAAATGTAATTTATTTGATTAATAATTATTAATACAGTGAGATTCAGTTATACATATTCGTTACACATATTCAGTTTGAGTCAAAATTATTAGCCCCCCTTTGATTTTTTTTATTATTTATATATATATATATATATATATATATATATATATATATATATATATATATATATATATATATATATATATATATATATATATATATATATCTATCTATATAATGATGTTTAACAGAGCAAGGATTTTTTTTTTTTACAGTATGTATGATTTTTTTCTTTCTTCTGGAGAAAGTCTTATTTGTTTTATTTTGGCTAAAATAAAAGCAGTTATTAATTTTTTAAAAACCATTTTAATACAACTTGAATAATTACCCTAACCTACCATTTAAATGTCACTTTAAGCTGTATAGAAGTGTTTTGAAAAATATCAATTAAAATATTATTTACTGTCGTTAGGGCAAAGATAAAATAAATCAGTTATTGAAAATGAGTTATTAAAACTAATAGGCTTATGAAATGTGTTGAAAACAGGGGGGCTAATAATTCAACTGTACATCATATCTGAAATAATTCACTTAAAATATTTTCGTAATAATATACTTTATTTTATATATTTATATTTTTTTAATTAAAATTTTAAAGCACTTATCATTGCTGATCGATCTTGAAAGTATTCCTTAATATATCTGTGGAGTAAGTTCAAAAAACAACTTAAAACATTTTAACTGCCTTTAACTTTTAGATTTTTTTTGACAAAATATATTACTGACCCCAAACATGTCGATGGTAAACACACAACAAATTGTTTTTAAACCAACAATCATACTTTTGAGATAAAAATGTCTCAACATCCTTGGATTTTTTAAAGTGTAGATAACAAAAAATATATTGAAAATTTAAGCTTATTTATAAAAAAAAAAATCTAATTGTCAAAAAAATCTAGTTACATTTTTTAAAGTGTAGATAACAAAAATATATTGTAAATTTAGGTTTATTTAATAAAGTTATAAATATAATTGTCAAAAAAATAAAATTAAGCACAATTCGTTGAAATTTAAAGCTTAAAACAAACAAACAAAACTATTTGTCAATAATGTCTGAAAATAATGTCCGTTCTTTTCCCAGAAGCAAAATCTTGCTATAAAGATGTTGAGTAACTTTCATTAAGATACATTCATAATCAAGATCTCTTACAAATTATATTTAATCAACAACGATAAATAAATATTAGTTTGCTTTTGCTAATAAAAGCTCAGTAAACAGACCCCTGAAATGCACGTCTTCCTGTTTTCTTCTTCAGCATTTTGGCACAGCAGTAGTTTGTATCGGTGGGTGTTAGGCGGGCTGCGGGGCCCTGAGGAGGAGGAAGATGTTCTCCTCTTGTTAGTGACGAGCGAGTCAGGCAGACTGTAATTCATACTGTACCATTTCCCCCACTACCCTCCAAACTCCACATGGCCTCGCTGAAGCTGGACTCCTGCCCTGTGTGTGTGGGATACAGCGGTGAGATTCAGTCACACGTGTCCTCTTTCACCCGCTAAAACGCTACCGATGAAGCCATGGCGGGTTATAGAGAACGGATAGTTAGTTCCCTACAGTATGGTGCTTTATGATGAATCACTTACAGCTGCGGTTCGGTACAATGCAATGGAACTACAGAAAAATGCTTTTATTTCCTTAGAGAGAGAGAGTGAATTCTGGAAAATGATAAATGAGGCAAACTGGGACCAATATATTAGTATTAGGGATAATAAGGCAGTTAAAATTCATTTTTGTAGGAATATTGGGTTTAGGTAGCTGTGTGTTTGTCTCCATACTTCTGAAATGATGTAATTTAAGATTATTTAAATGTAAAACAGAAGTATAGAGCGGACATTATTGTTAACTAAAAGTAACACATTTAAGACTTTTTAAGACCTTTTAAAGACCATTTTAAAATCAAAATAAATTAAATTTCAGACTTGCACAAGGCTAAATGCTAAAAAGTTTTTAATGGTCAGGATAAAACCTTTAAAAAAAGCCTTAAAAACAAATGTTATTGTAACGAAGATAATCAAACATTATTAATAAGTAAAGACAGTTAATAAATAAAAGTTTCTTAAAACTTTTATTGAAATATATTGTTAGTGATTTTAAGTGTTGGCCCGATAGGGTATAGCTTTACATGGACATATGAAAATTAAGACCCATTTAAAATTATGTAAGACCTGCAACACAATATTTTTAGTGGATTTAAGACTTCTGTAGGTCTAAAATTTTGTTTTGAAATTTAAGACATTTTAAGACCCTGCAGATACCCTGAAAACTATTAAAGTATAAATAATAGATGAAACGTCGTAAACTAAAATACTACTGTATATATATACAGTTATTGAAATAACTCAAAGTAAAACAAGTGCTTATATTATTGAAACTATTTTAAAAAATAAAGTAAAACAATATGTAAGATATTAAAGGATAATTCAACTAAAAATACAGAAAAATCTCACGCTTAATTGGAATTATTGCAGAAACCCATATCTCGAAGGAATAGTTAAATAAATATGAATAAATACTGTTTTATTAATTAATAAATAAATAAAATTTTTCAGAATATTTGCACTTTAAGTTCTTTCGAAACCTTTATGAGCCTTTTTACTGTTAAACACAAAGGTACATATTTTGAAGAATGTTAGGAACCGGTAACCATTGACTTCCATAATAGGAAACACAAATACTAATGATGTCAATGTTTCCAACATTTTAAAAATAGGTTCTTTTGGGTTTTTAAGAGACTCAAGCAGGCTTATAACAAGTTAAGGGTGAGTAAAATAATAGTCCATTTTGGGCGAAAAACTATAAAAAAAAAAAAAAAAACTATCAAACTGGCTAAACTTACAATGAAAAGTAGACATATACTGTACACGGCAATGGAAAAAATTGGTCTTCTTGAAAACTGGGTTCACCTAACTAATGATTTCTTAACTCTGTTTGAGACATTGCTCTCCTTGGTACTGTGTTGTTTTAAAAATTAACACTCTAAATGACGATTCTTATTTTAAATTGGGAAGAAATTTCATTAGTATGTTACAGAGTAATATACTCTGTAACTGGCTATTTGGATCATAACATACATGTTTAATGGTCTCTAATGGATTTTTTGTTATGGTTAATACAAAAATAAATGGTAAGAAATGTCATTATTAGCCTACAGAGCAATATACTTTGTAACCGGCTATTTGGGTTGTAGAATAAATGTATAATTGTATCTGTTTGATGTTTTGTCATGGCTAATAAGAATGGAAATGTGCATTAACTCTTTAAGCTTATTCAGCTATCATCTTCGGGCATGTTTCTTCCATAAATGACCCTATTTTTGTGAGATTTATTAACTGGCATCATTCTCACCTTATCAAGCTTCAAGTCCTTAATAATAAAGTTAATGAATAGATAGAAAAAGCTGAAAACTGCGTACAAAGGAACAGAAACATACAATAAAGTCACAAATCATTTGTAAAGCATGATAAAGTTGTGAACTGACCTTTCTCACAGTGTCGGCCTGAATATCCTGCAGGACACACACAGTGGTTGTTCACACAGCTGCCTCCATTTTGGCACTGGGACGAGTGTCGACAGGACTCCTTCACTATTTCACAACGGTCACCTGACAAACACCAAGCAGGAAATTACAGATACTATAAATCTAAACTAAACCATTCATTCTTAGAATAAAAGAAAATGATGTATTGAGGATTTTTAAAGCCTTTCAAAGGAAACAAATAAACTTCCCTTCAAACTTTTAACTAAAGATAAGTAAACAAGCTTTTATCATTTTTTAAATTAGACTAAACTAGTAAACAGTAGTGCTAAACTAACAATATTAAAATATAACAAACTACATTTTATACATTAAACTATCAAGTCATAAATTATTCTCACCATCAAAATATTAGTGATAATTTATTATCATTAAGTATCCACAGATGCTTTAATATAGTTTGGAAAAAAAGTTTTAGTGATTCTGTTCTAAAAATATATATTTTAGTAGTTTTTTTGTGTGTGTATTTTAAGTATCTATATTTCTATTCATTTCTAGTTTACATTCTATTTATTATTAGTTATTTTAATTTTAAGTTAAAATAAATTCAAATGAGAAATAGGTTCTAGGCAAATAAAACTATAATGCTGAGATTTATTTTAACGTTTAACAATAAATGTTTTTTAATAATTATTTTAGATAAATGAACAAAAAATATATTAGTTTCATGGTTTTAATTTTAGAATAATTATAACTAATAACCTTTATATTATATTATATAATACTATATAAACCCATGTGTGCAGTTTTTTTTTTTTGTGGTCAATTAATAGAAAGCAGCAATAGAATTAGGATTTAAATGGCCATATTTTCAAACGGTTTCTTTTATTAAACACAGTAAATTGGATATTTAAGTCACTCTGGAATACTTATAACCCGTTTCATATGATAAAAATTAAAAACAATACCATTCATTGGCCCACACCAACAGTATCACCCAGAAAATTGAATGAATATTTTCTGTGACAGGCACTTGGTTTATGGACTTACCTTCATAGCCCTCAGCGCAGAAACACTGGTACTCATATTCAGCAGTGGCCATACAGGTGCCAGCGTGCAGACAAGGCCTGCGGTCACACGGGCTGTCATCATTACACTGGCTGATGGCTCTGCTCTCAGTAAAGCTGTATGACAGATCCACTTTCTTTCCATTGATGAACACCTGGAAGGAAAAAAGATTTATTATAGAAACCAGGACTGTCAATAAGACAATAATAGATATGTTTATATTACAATAAGGTTCTATTAGTTAATGTTAGCCAACCAAACTGAACTGAACTTCACCTCTGAAAACTGGACTGACACAGCTCCAATTTACTAGAACTTCTAAGTTAAGCTGATTTGACACAATCTACATTGTAAATAAGTTATAGAAATAAAGATTAATTGAATTGAATAGCTACTCATCATTGTTCAACAAGTTTTGCTTGTTACCATTAGCTAATACACTGTGAGTCAACAAAAACAAAGAAATACTGAGTTTATTTCCAGTAACCAGTGTAATAAATGCCTTGTTTATTTTTTGTTCATGTTAGTAAATACATTAAATAACATTAACTAATGGAAACTAACTGTAAATAAAATATTAAAAATAAAACAAAATTATATAGAGTGCTCAACATATACGAGGACACCCCTTACAAATATCTCACTGAAGCCAAATCTGGAGCTTATCTTAGTACACTAAAATTAGTACACCAAAGTTTATGTTACTATATGGTAAAATATTAAATAAAAAAATATAAAAAGAGCAAATATCAAGAGAAACAAAAAATTTATAAAATTTTGTTGACATATTGTAGTTTTACATTTTTTTCTCAATATTTCACATGAATTTAAATCATTGTCTTTCTATTTCTAAACATGTTCGGTGACTAAAATACTATTTTACATATATATTGAAATTAACCTAAGATGACTAAATGATTTTTGGGGGTGAATTATCACTGCTATATAAATAAAGGGATTAAATACTTAATTTTATGTTGTTGTTTTTTCTAATTTTGTATTATTATTATAGAAAAGAATAGGAAGTTAAAAAATAAGGCTCTAAATGAGAAACTAAATCTGCCAGTAGGTGGCGATAATGTCTAATAACTGGGTCGATGCATTCAAATAAGGCAGGCCCAAGCTTTTCAGCTCGTGAACCCCAAATAACAATGTCAGTGACTGGCGACCACCAATATCCTCTGAGGTGGTTATGAATATACAAACGCAAAACGGCTTGCACACACAAATAGGCCCAAGTCTATTCTTTGTTTAATTTTCGAGAACGCCGCTCGGAGGTCAACCTCCATGTTCAGTTTTGGCCTGTATTAAATTTTAATGTATGTGAGTCACAATAAAGGTGTCAGAAAGTTTACCCTGGTGCCATGAAATCAATCTGCTGCATCTGACCCTATTGCTGTGTCTCTAATCTAACGTAATGAGACCACAAGGGTCGCAATCCAATGGGGAAAAAATGTAGCTTATGGATAAAATAAGCTCATTCTAATAGTTTCATTAAAAATATATATTTTTGGAAATCACCAAATAACCCAACCTGAACATATAAAATCAGTATAACATTTGTACTTAGAACTACTCTGGAGTGACTCAGGATGTGATATTGAAGTTATATTAAACTTATTGCTTGTTTAACATTGCATAGCATATATCATATGACACAACTATTAAACAAAAACTTGACATATCTGTTTCTTTCATGACAAATAACTGACAAGTTCAATCAATAGCCTAAAATCATGACTGCAGGTAAGAATACGATGTAAACACTAGATTGTGCAGACGAGACTCTGACCTCTCCTATGCATCCATCAAACAGCATGCTGACGTTGGCGGGTTTGGGCAAGATGTCCATGCTGGGAACTCCTCCCAGATACATTGGTGTGTGGATATTAAGGCCCTGGGCTTTGCCTGGAGAAGATCTGGTGATTTCTTTTGCATGGTCCACCGTCAAAGACCCGTCTTTATTGAGGCGTTCAGCCACCACACGATGCCACTGATCAAGAGACACAGGCTCCTGACTGCGCAGAACAGCTTGACCTGAGCCAATAGAAACAAACATGTATTGCTTGAGCTGGTGGGATTAAAGGAACTATAGACTATTTTGAGGGTTTCCATAGCTTCCAAGAATCCAGAAAGCTCGACATATAGATAATTTTTTAATGACAGCTGTTTTAACATTAATTATGACAGAATCCACTCATGTTAGAGTTCTGAAACAGTTTGATGACAAGCAGGAACTGTTCATGGAACAATGATAGTGTCATATTGAAATGGTCTATAATGAAAACAATTTTAGATAGGTTTGATCAAATGTTTTTAATCTGTTAGATTACATATGATCCTTGTGTGAGAAACCCCCAATGTTCAAAGGCATCTATATAGTTTATTAGAATATGTCCAAATTTGTAATGTATTTTTGTAGTTACATTATGTATGAATTTATTTTTATGTACTTGCATGCACTAGCAAGGTAATGAATTATTATTTGTATTTAATTTAATTTAAATTTAAATGTAAAATTTTTTTTAATAATTTGATTAATCCTATAAAAAATTATTAGATCACTTATTCCAATTTTCATTGATTTGTTTCTTTGGTTTACAGGATGTATTTAATTACTGTAACAAATCCCACTTTTAATTTTTATATTTCCATTTTTAATCTATTTACACATTCATTCACGAAATTAATAAATTTCTATTAATAAATTAATATTAATGGAAATTTACACATTCATCCATGAAATTAATAAATTTCCATACATTTGTTGAATATTACATTTTTGGTATCAACATTTCTCAAAACATCTTCTTATTGTGTTTAACAGAGGAAAGTAACTTACAGATTTTTGGAACAAGTGGAGGATTTCTGGTTGAACTACACCTAAGTATCCTTAGAAATACAGTAGATTGTGATTTGTTGTCCATCAGAATTCTCACCTGTGCCAAGCTCATATCTGAACTCGACATGGCCATTCACCATAGACACCGCCACAAAGTCCTCCACTTTCATCTTTTTACCACCGCTGAAGAACATCAGGCCATCTGGATCCATGGGCTTGAACTCCATCTCAATGCGGAGGTCATTGTGAATATTAGTGAGAGGAGGATATGCGATATAAGAGTCTTCTCCGTCAAACAGTGGTGTCGTTATTAGAGTACCTGAGAAAGTCATGAAGAATAATAGTCAGAGCCAAAGGTGACCTTAAAATATACATACACACATACACACACACACAGATAGATATATATATATATATATATATATATATATATATATATATATATATATATATATATATATATATATATATATCATTTAAATGTTATTGGATATTGAGTTTTACCATCCATGCACTTGTTTCCAGACTTGCCCAAGTGGCAGCGACAGTCGTAGCCCAAACCACTGGGCCGGTTAATGCAGGTGGCATCAGGTCCACAGGCCTCTGTCGAGACAATGAGCAATAATGAAGCGTGCTGCTGATTTGACAAATCTGGACTGTGATTTTTACAGAGTGGCAGTTTACCTGTGTGGCAGTGCAAGGACGAGTGATGCTGACAATTGCTCCCAGTGAATCCTCTCTTGCAAGTGCATTTGTAGAGGCTGGCCACAGAGTCCTCACACGTGCCGTCGTTCTGACAAAACACACTTTATTTTAGATGACTGCTTTTCACAGGGCAGTAATGACAAATGCACATAATAGTGACTGTAACTTATGCCCTTCACCATTTGTTCAAACAGACTGATGTTCTGTTGATGTACATTTTCTCCCATGTAAGATTAGAGCTTGGAGAATGTAACATTTTTGCACATGATTTGTGTTCCTTTTTCATTTTCTGATCATATAATTAATCAAGCTTATTGAGAACTGAGAAGTAGAATGACAAAAACTAATATAGGGAAAACCAATGAAATAGATATTTAGTTTTTTATTATAATTGTTTACATGTTTATTTACCGTTATCAGAATGAAAGTACAATGTGCTTTCAGATATATATATATATATATATATATAAATTATATAGACATAATATAATTTTGAAAAGAATGTGAAATGGGTTACAGTCCGAGTGTACTACAAAAATCACATCATAACAATAATAGCAAATAGATTAACTAAAATCAAAGCAAAATAATAATAAAACAATTATAATAATCCCAAAAAAAAGTCAATAAATCAATAGATAGATGGAGGTAAAGAAACATCATGCCACAATTTAATAAATATAAGCACTATGCTGGAATCAAATATTCTATATATAGTAAAATAAAAGCCATATGATTTAATGTTTCAAATTTTATTTTTTATACATATTCATTTCCCACAGATGGGTTGCAGCTGGAAGGCCATCCGCGGTGTAAAACATATGCTGGATAAGTTGGTGGTTCATTCCGCTGTGGCGACCCCAGATTAATAAAGGGACTAAGCCGAAAAGAAAAACAATGAATGTATATATTTAAATGATAAACCCTTGTTATGTGACATTCATAGTAAACCAATCTGTTATTTGTATACAGTAATATTTCTTTGTTTTTTGCAAAGTGCATAGTATATGGAGAGGTAGTTAGGGCTCTTATGTGAAAAGGGCCGTCACCTGCGTTGGGACTCTGTGTTGTTGTGAAAGGCATTGGAAGATATAGAAAATAAAAGGAGAGTTTAACTGACGAGTTCTAAACAGTTGTATTTTCTGTTATAACTAACCTGACATGGGCGATCCTTGCAGGTGGGACAATTCGAAACTCCAGTCGAACTTTTATCAAGATCCTTGAAAATGACCTCATCGCCTTGGATAATTAGTTGTTTGATACAGCCTTAAAGAAATACAAAAACACAGTAAAAAAAAAAAACTCACACTATTGATAATAATTGCACAATGATATATTTGTTGACCCTTAATAGCAAAAAAAAAATCCATATGCCACATAATAATATGATGGTTTTCTCACCAACAAAGCCAGTTTTGAGGCCTGCAGTTTTAGCAAGCATGCTGTAGTTTGGATAACCACCAACAAAAAGCTCCTCATTTAGATCCAGGCCCTTGAATTTTCCCTGCTCGGACATAAAGCATCTCACATTTAGTTAACTGCTATGAAGCCATCATTTAACAGTTTATTAAGGTGAAATCGTAGAAATGGAGAGAGGAATATACACCTGTGAGGTACCGTTTACAGGAGCTTGACCATCCACAACCAGAGAGCCCTGAGTCTGATTCCTGTACAGGTGAACTGTGTGAAACTCGCCTAGTTTTATGGGTGTAGGGTAACGAATAGTTGCCATCCCAGAGCCCACATCAAACCTGCAAAAGAAAAATGTGTACAAAAATAAATCCGTTGGCGCTGATAGCCTTGTTTTGCAGTGAGCAGACATCGTGCTCTGGGCATCCTGAGGTAAAGTCCAAGAGATCAATACCCCTCTCTCTCTCTGACATTGCATCCTGTTTAATATACTGTCCTATCCTAATAAAGGTAAAACACCCCCCCCCCCCCCCCTCTCTCCTTCAGGTTGTTATGACATAAAATACCTGAATTCAGGGCGTCCTCCTAGCAACCCAAATGATATGAAGTCAGCGCCTGTGGTCTTCTTTTGTCCATTGTAAATGATCATACCTGGATATGAAAAAAAAAAGTTAAGTCTATTGATGGCACTCACTTTCTTAACCATGGAGCCCAAAGCCATTTTCTGTCATTTTAAGCTGGAAGTAAAGCAGCATGCTGAGGGAGAAGCTGTTGCCATGTTCAGCATCTCTCAATGCCAATCACTGCCAATGCAAGCCACATGCATGGGCTCATGCCATGACTCTGCAATATCTCCACCAAATGGGCATATTAAGATTATCAAGCAGACCAGTGGCTCTCAAATAATTGGTTAGGACTAAAAAATAAACCACTATACTGCCACAGTGTTAGATCTCCATATAAGATCTAATCGAAGCAAAATGTTTTGAGGACCACTGGTACACATCATGCCCTCTGGGTTATTAATGAGCATTTCACAGTCACAGATAAGCTTGCTCAAAATAAAGCTTCTGTGTTAATTCATGTAAGATGCACATCATGTAATTACCATATCATATTTGAAATTTTTTAGGTGATCAAACTCCTAAACTTAGTTTGATGGATATAAGTTTTGTTTTAATGTACTAAAATATATTTGCTAAATTCACTGAGAAATAGACATATAGAAACACATACACACTTATATATATATATACACAGTATATACTGTAGTTACATCTAGATTCATTATGCAATGGAAAGCTCATCTTACACTATACATATCATTTACACTACAATGATCTAACACCCGGTAAAAGTTCATCTGTAAAAACATAAAATTACTATAAATCCCTTGATGCTACAATACTTTAATTACAAGTAAAAAGTTAAACTCAACAAATCATTAAATCTGTGTTTTTAGATTCAAATGTGGGGCCTAAATTCTCTTGTAATATCTAAAAGAAATGATTTTAGTTGTCATAGAAATGTTAAAGTCTTTATTATACTAAAATGCAAAAACATATAGTATTGTATATGTCACTACAATGTATAGTAGCTGCAGTTGGTTGATGATTCCATTCCTGCATCATGCTGCAACCAATTCAATGAAAAGCAGAAGTGCCTTGATGAACATATAATGAACATGCCTTGTATGTTCATAAGAGCCCTTCTTAGGGGCCAGTGAGAGTGTGCTGAGCTAACATCTCAGACACTCTCAGGTAAGCAAGCAGACTCACCGGCATACAAAATCAGCCCTTCATACCACAGAGAGGTGAAGGAGGGTAAAGAACAAAAACAATCATTGAGTTCACATACAGGAAACAAACATGTAAAAGGACTAAAAAACACCATCAAATACAGTGTTCTCCTAATATAGTAGCCTACATTCCTTTCGAACTGACAGTTCACCTAAATTTAAACTCATGTCAAGATGTCAAACATGTATAGCGCACTTTCTTCTGTGGAACAAACAAACAAAACATTTTTTCAAGCTTCAAAAATTTAGAGTTTTCTGTACCACAGTAGAAAGAAGTCATACATGTTTGAAATGACATACAGTGAAAGTGAGTAAAAAAAAAAGGAGAAATAAAAAAAAATTTAGTAAACAAAGTTAACAGTTCAAGTTACCAAACTCATAAACAAGTCAAGTGTGTTTAAAGGTGCTTTGCTTCAGTGAAGTGTCCTGCAGTTTTAAGGGTTCTTACCATCAACATTGTCCGGCCTGAAGGTAATTTTGATGCTGAAAGCCTTGTAGGAGTTTTTGATGGTGGGCAGTGTAAGGTATGAGAGGGGCTCTTGAGTGAAGTAGGGCATCACTCTTTCTGGAAGACCACATGAAAACCGACTGAATGTTAAACAGGCAAGCAACACAACATCTCTGAAATGTTTCAGATTTGCTTTTTAAATAGCATTTCACAAAAATCACAAAATGATATCTCGAAATAATAATTATAATAATTGAACAATAATTTGCTGAGTGTGTTTTTGTGTTTGGTTGGTTTAGACCTATCATGGATAAACGGAACACTAAAACCACCAGTAGTGTGTTAACAAGTCTCTGTTTGAATGAGCAAATTCAAAACTGCCGATTTATTTAGAACCGAAACAAAGATCACTGACTCAAATAATTAATTCAGAAACAGATTAATTCAACAAAAAGAAAAGAAAATTTTCCTGAAATTTAACTTACTAAAATGGAAAAAAGAAAAAACAAACATTTCACTCAAGTTAGAAGCTACTAACCATGAACATTGAGTCTGGTGAAGGCCTCAACTTTCCCTTGTTTGTTAGCAGCTGTACACACATATGTTCCTGCATCTGATTCAGTCACAACCGGCACTGTCAGTGCATGGCCATCCTGTCTGCATTTAGGGGGCAAGTCATTCTCCACCTGCAGGACGTACACAAAAGTGGTTAACACTGTTCATGAAGCAGACCTTTTTTAGTACTCCAAACAGAACTGTTTTGTAAACATATGATTTCATTTCATTTAGGTCAAATTTATCCACAAAATGTACGGTTACCTTTGACCATGTAATAGTTGGCACTGGGTACCCAGAAGCGATGCATGGCAGGACAGCATCAGAGCCAATTGTGACTTCCTTTGACTCAGGCAGTGCAGCAATCTGAGGCAAGGCTAGAAAATGTACAGAGGGCAGTTATATTTGAAGAACATCCCTTTAATATGTTGCATTTAATGCAACTAAGTACAAAACTCCACTTCTAGAAAACACTGAGCTTGATGTCTATTTTATAGGTGTCAATTTTTAATTCCCATCCACTTTTTTAGCAGCATTCTGGGAATGTTTTCTTAAAAGCATTTACAAATACCATCATTAAAGCTTCATAAGTCATTAACTGAGGCCATTTATAACATGAATCAAAAATGACTAACTTTCAGTTGGAGAAAAAAAGTCTTTGAAAAATGTAATGTAAACACATTCTGCAAAATCAATAAAAACCCTACTCAGTTACATCAATTGCAGTGCTCCATGACAGTGGGAGGAAAAAATCTCTTGTCATGCTTTACTTGTTGTGACTCTGGTGCAAGGTTCTCTACTGTATCATGGGTAATTTAGTTTTTCTAAATGAATTCAGCGCTTAAACACAATCGTTTTAAAAATTAGGTTGAATTAACACAAACAGATCGGTTATACAATCAATTGCACAATCTCAGAACTCAAAACAAGTGTGTCTTTAAAAAGATTATCAGTTGTTGTTATAATAATATTTATAATATTTGAGATGTTTTTAGAGATGTTGGTTGTAAAAATGGTGAGGCAGTGGCGCAGTAGGTAGTGCTATCGCCTCACAGCAAGAAGGTCGCTGGCTCGCTGGTTCAAACCTCGGCTCAGTTGGCGTTTCTGTGTGGAGTTTGCATGTTCTCTCTGCCTTCGCTTGGGTTTCCTCCGGGTGCTCCGGTTTCCCCCACAGTCCAAAGACATATGGTACAGGTGAATTGGGTAGACTAAATTGTCCGTAGTGTATGAGTGTGTGTGTGAATGTGTGTGTGGATGTTTCCCAGAGATGGGTTGCGGCTGGAAGGGCATCCGCTGCGTAAAAACTTGCTGGATAAGTTGGCGCTTTATTCCGCTGTGGCGACCCCGGATTAATAAAGGGACTAAGCCGACAAGAAAATTGATGAATGAAGTTGTAAAAACACAACTGTTGCACTATCTTTGCTGGCCCTGACTCTCTGATTGGTGGAATGTTTTGTGTAGAACTATGGGTAATGTAGTTTTAAATCAAAAATACTAGTTAATACTAATACTACTAATAAATTAAGATATATTCGTGCAAACCAGATCAAAAAAAGTATTTAATACCAATTTAAAATGCATTTCTCCATATGCTGGAAATAAAAAGGAGTTTAGACTATTTTAGACTAACCCATCTATTAAAATCAGTGGCAAAAGAATTATCATAAGCATCCTGGATATACAGTAATAACATACTCACACTGGATGTTAAGCACCACATGTGAATGCTCTGAGCCCACGTCATTAGTGGCTGTGCAGCGATACTGTCCTGAATCAGACTCGAACACTTGATCAATCCTCAAGATGTTTCCTCTTATTTCCACATGATCAGGAAGAGGAGCTCCGACTTTACTCCAGCGCACTGTGGGCTCGGGGTCACCAATGGCATGACACTCAAACTCCACAGAGTTTCCCACCATCACCGTCTGCACTGATGTACGCACGTTGATCTTCACTTTGGGAAGAGCTATGAAAACAAAAAGACTAAGTCAGAGGGATTTAAAGATAGGTAACTCGAGAAGCTAATTTTATTTTGGGTATCATAGAGGACCTTGAATGAGGAGTTTGGCGCTGTCCTGAGCATGTTCAAACTGACTTGTAACTCTGCAGGTGTAGATTCCCTCATTGCTTTGCTCAAGATTCTCAATTCTGCATGAATAATAACAAACATCATGATTAAAAACACACAGAAAATAATTCAAAGCTTTATATAACACAAATACTACACACTTTATTGTGAAATAAAATTAATAACGATATTGGAATAAACTTGGAATTGGAATAAAAATTAACATTTTTCCTCTGTTTGCCCTCTTTTATTCATTCATTCATTCATTCATTTATTCATTCATTTTTTTGTCGGCTTAGTCCCTTTAGACCTTGTTGCTGTGAGGCAACAGCACTACCTACTGCGCCACTTCTTCGCCCCTTGCCCTATTTTAACAGCATTAAAATCAACCATTACAAAATTTGTTTTAAAAAATGAATAAATATTTAATGAAGGGGTAAAAATGCATCTTTTTTAAGTAAAATAATGCCTTCACTGAATTGAATTTAATTAAGGAATGAATCAATAAGAAAACAATGACTTTAATGACTAAAAATACATTTTAAACAATAAATAAATATTTAATGCAATATAAAATAAATATGAATGTGTATTTATGTGAATTAATGACTTCAATTCAAATGTTTGGGGTCGGTTAAAACATTAAAAAAAAATTTTTTTTTTTAATATTTAAATATTTTTAACTTTTTTTTATTTATAATTATATTTAAGAGATTTTTAACATTTATTAGACAGGACAGTGGAGAGGGAGACAGATGGAAAGGGAATCAAACTCAACACATTTAATCACCAGGCTATTGGCGTCCACAACATTTTTACAGTTTTTATCAAATAAATTCATCTTATTACACACTGACAGTTTTGATGTTTTGTAGTCAGTCACCTGAGAATCCCGTCTTTAATGTGATGGTTTGGTGGCAGGACTCCTCCCTCCTTCAGCCACTCAATCTGTAGCCCTCCTTTAGCAGCGCAGGTGAACTCAACAGCACTGCCCAGAGCCTTCACCTCCACCTGAGGAGACACTTTCACTGACAGAGAAGCTGCAGAAAAGACAGGACAGAGCTCAAGATGAGGAAAAGTGAAAAAGTCTATAACCAGCCCAACATCTAGAATCAGCAAGACTTTTTTGTTCTATTCTAGTTAGAAAGGCTGGATTTGGTTTATCAAAAATACAGTAAAAAACAATCAAATACTGTCAAATATTATTACAATTTAAAACCACTGTATTATTGAACGCAGTTTCAGGTTTAATTTGTGATTTAATGTTAAATTTTCAGCATCAATTCTCAGTACTCTTGTCAATTGTCACATGACTTTTTAGAAATAATTATAATATGATGATCTGCTGCTCAAGAAATATTTATTAATACTACATGAATATTATTAGTATCAATGTTAATACATAAAAACTCCCATTCTAAATATACAGTTAAAATCAAAATTATTAGCCCCCCTTTGAACTTTATTTTCTTTTTTGAATATTTCCCAAATGATGTTTAACAGAGCAAGGAAATTTTCACAGTATGTCTGTTAATATTTTTTCTTGTGGAGAAAGTCTTATTTGCTTTATTTTGGCTAGAATAAAAGCAGTTTTTAATTTTTTAAAACAATTTTAAGGACAAAATTATAAGTCCCTTTAAGCTATATTAAACCATCGTTATACAAAAACTTGCCTAATTAGCCTAACCTGCCTAGTTAACCTAACTAACCTGGTTAAGCCTTTAAATGTCACTTTTTAGCTGTATAGAAGTGTCTTGAAAATATTTAGTCAAATATGATTTACTGTCATCATGGCAAAGATAAAAGAAATTTAGTTATTAAATGAGTTGTTAAAATTATTTTGTTTAGAAATGTGTTGAAGAAACCTTCTCTCCATTAAACAGAAATTGGGGGGGAAATAAATGGGGCCTAATTATTTGGGGGGGGGTTAATAATTCTGACTTCAACTGTATGTACTTGCATCCATGAAGGACACATTAACTGGTTCAATCGTGAGTAAATTAAAAACATTTTAAATGTTAATGCTGTTATCTTGAACTTTCTCTTCATCTAAGAATCCTAAATTGTCAAATTTACCAACATTACATGTTTTTCAACCAAAGACAACAAAGACCTTGAAAATGCAGCTTTAGATAAAGCACAGGAATAAATAATATTCAAAACTACATTTAGGAAAAAAAAAACTATTTTAAACTGCAATGATATTTCGCAATTTTACAGATTTGAGATCATTATTATTGATTGTTTTGATCATAATAAAGCAGCAAATAATCTTATTAGAATGATTTTTGAAGCATCATGTGACATCAAAGACACTGAAAATTCAGCATAAAGCACAGGAATAAATATTATTTTAAACTACATTCGATAAGAAAACTATTTTAAATATAATAATATTTTACAGCTTTTACCGTATTTTGATCAAACAAATACAGCCTTGAAGAGCAAAATATGCTTTCTTTAAAAACATTTAAGAATCTTACTGATCCCAAACCTTTGACCGGTACTATATCTGTAAGACTGGTGTGTTCACACGTACTGAAAGGAGCAATACTTACATCGGACAGAGACTTTGGCCAGTGCTTCGCTCTTGCCAACCTTATTGCTGGCCACACACCTGTATGTGCCCGCATCGTTTTCTTTGGCCAGGTTGATTTGCAGATCTCCTCCCTGCAGCTGGGCAGTAGAGGGCAGACTGCCGTTGATTTTAGTCCATTCATATCGCAGTGGTGGTGTGCCGTGGGCCAGGCACTGCAGCCGGATTACTTCACCCACGCGCACAGACACGTCATTAGGCAAGGAAGTGGCATAAGGTGGGGCTGCACAAACCAAACACACGTCAATTAGAGGATGTTGGATAATTACAGCTGGCTTTACAACAGCAGGAAAATATGCTCCACACTTGGAAAAATTTGCACAGCTGATCAAATGTTTTTAAGTAAAAATATCTGACCAAAACAAAATATAATCACACATAATTGCAAAATGCAACAGAGCCGACTCAGCTCACTCTGGGGGCAACAAAAATTACGTTGTACTCAATAGCACTCCAGAGCACAGTGTTTTATTTACAGTGCTGGCAGGTCTAAACAGTCTACAGTGAAGATTATATATATATATATATATATATATACAGTTGAAGTCAGAATCATTATTTGTTCTGTAGACTATCGAAAAAAACAAACAGCTTAAAGGGGCTAATAATTTTGACCTTAAAATGGTGCTTAAAAAAAACTAAATAAATAATAAAGAAAAAAAAAAAAAGAAAAAAAAATATTAAAAAAAAAATATATATATATATATATATATATATATATATATATATCCACAATATACATAAAAGAGGGTTTGCTCGAACGTTCTCGTTGACTTGGTTAACAAACAAATATCTTGGGGTATGGTCACTGCTTTGATAGGCCAAACTCCCACCCTTTTTGTGACCTACTGTACCACTCTCGTAACACTTAAAACATAATTATCATTTAAACCACAATAATAATCTTCTCCAAAACACTTAAACACTTAATGCCAGTTCTTCTGACACCACTTGTCACACAGAGGAGTTGTTATGGTTAATTGTGGGAAGCAAGAAACAAATAAGAATTAAGGCTCAGCCGATATAGTACTATGGTGCAAAGGTTTGTTTATTTATAGTGCAAAGTGTCCAATTCAAAATTCCCAAAAATAGTCAAAATATATACAAAAATAAACAAACAACAAAACAAGAAATAAAGACAATAAAGTAAGAAGATATATTTGTACACAAAACTCGCTATCCAGACTCTCAATACTTCTACCAAACGTTATCCCACTTCTGACACCAACAGTGACAGAGCTCGAGCTCAGTTCTGGGTGGGAGTTAACACATTTTATTACAACTTACTATAATTATGCTAATCGTTTTATACTTCAATTACAAAAAAATAGTTTAACTTATTTTACGCTACTACATAACCTTGTTATCCCACAATTTTAAACTCAAAAATGGTACTATACCAGGAAGACAAGTAAATTATGCCAAATAAATCTCACTTTTTAGATTTATAGTAATAGTTTGTAGTCTAATCAAAATTCTTACATTTCTGAAATAACGAAATTCATTTCTGGAAGTTTGTGTTAACTAATGTACAAATATGTCACAAAAAGATAATTGTGTATACATTTAATTAGTTTAAAGACATTTTTTTTCTAGCAAATAATTTCAAAGTACTCACTGTCTACTTCCAGCATAATGGTGACTTCACTGGTGCCCAGATGGTTAGTGGCATTGCAGACGTACTGACCAGAGTCCTGACGGCCTACATTAGGCAAGATCAGGCTGTTGTCCACAATCTTGTGTCTCCAAGGAAGAGACGAGCGTTCTTTAAACCATGTGATGGTGGGTTTTGGGAATCCTGTAGTTAATATATAAGAGCTTTAGAACACGCTTTAAAATTAGACTAAGGTTTATTACTGGTACTTTTAAATGGATAGTTCACTCAAAAATTTAAATTGCCTCACCATTTATTTACACTCATTTGGTTCTAAAAATGTATGAATTTCTTTCTTCTGTTGTACACAAATTAAGACAGTTTGAAAAATGTTGGAAAATAGCAGCCACTGACATACATGATAGGAAAAAAATACTATGGAGGTATGTTTTTTCCAGCATTTTTGTGTTCTCAATGGATGAAAGAAACTCAAACAGGTTTGAAACAAGTAGAGGATGAGTAAAAACTGACAGAATGTTCATTTTTGGATGAGCTATCCCTTTAACCAAGGGCTTACAGTAGCACCTACCATGGGCATCACAATGCAGTGTGGCAGTTGATCCCTCTACCACTATTATCATGGGTTCACGGACACTGGCACGGGGAACAGTTGGCACCTGAGGGCCTCCTTCTACAAACACCTCCACTCGAGTCTCAGTTGTGCCCTGGTTATTCTGCGCTGAGCACACATATGTGCCACTATCCTCCGGTCGAGCAACCAACACCTACAGTGGAGATCATAATTACAGAACAGTCAGTTTTTTCAATGCTGAGGTAACTACTTAGTCCTATTTAAAATGATCCTTTACTAATAAAAGAGCAGTTTTTTACACACTTCATTAGTTACAAATATTATGAAGCACAGTAAGAAATTTGAAAAAAGGATGGTCATAAAAAACACTTTTAAATCCCTTTCAGTGGCTGTATCATTATACATAAACGCCAATTCAGCACTGAAGGTCTGATCTCAGCATACAGTATCCTGCTGTTTGAGAAACAGATTCAAAAAGGTTACTTTTCTTGCATATAAAGCCTAATCAGTCAGCAATGCTTATGCAGGTCAATGAGTGCCATTACAACATAGATGAAGGAGATGAAAACAATGAAATAATAAAATGGGAGCCCAAAGTCCTGATCTAAACCTTGTTAAAATGTCTGGAAATTCCTTGATGACAATGTTATGACTAAGAAAGCAACTTCAGTCAGTGATAGCAGGATGAGAGTGACTAGCTGACATCATTCAAAGCAAGCATTCAATTTCAGGAATTTAGTTTGCAAAACAGTGACGACGTACGAAACAGAAGTTTTAAAAGTCAATGGGGCAAAAAATGACGATGGCTTTAAAGGATAGTTTACCCAAATTTTTTTTACTTACACATCATTTACTAACCCTGTTGTTCCAAACCTTTGAGTTTCTTTCTTCTGTTGAACCCAAAAGAAGATGTTTTGAGCAAAGCTGGAAAGCTGTAACCACTTACTTCCATAGTAAGAAAAACAAATATTATGCAAATCAATAGTTACAGGTTTCGAGCTTTATTCAAAATATTTGCTTTTGTGAAAGAAAATCAGTTTGAAACAAAAAAGAGTGAAAAAATTATGACAGAATTTCCCTTTTTGGGTGAACTACCCCTTTAATTCTGTTCATGTTTTGTCCACAAATGAAGGATATTTGCTAAAGTACCTTGGTTATTTAATAAAATGGCGTTTTTCTAGCAAATACTGTTCTAGCAATACTACTATTTTACAATTTGTTTACTATTTATTGACTATTTACTAGCAATACTTAATTTTTTTTAACCAGGATGATCACATAATAAAAAAACAAACAAAAAAGGTGTTTTGAACTGCTCTCTAATTTTTCTCTTCACTGTAAACAAAGTATAAAACCTTTCTGATGAACATAAAGGCCAAACAATCAGGAAATCAACATCATCAATACAACAAATGATTCATAACCTGTATGATAGCACTGGAGTCAACAGGCACGGTGCTGCTCAGCATTGTCTTGCGATTGTTGTCCAGTCTGTGCCATCTGACTGAGGGTCTTGGCTCTCCAGCGGCCTGGCATTCAAGATTAATGGGATCACCGACCCTGACTCGCACTGGTCCTGCAGGGGTCACCACAGCCTTAGGAGATTCTACCAATGAAATAAGAAAAAAAAAGAGAGAGAAATGAGCATTATGCCTGAACAATGATAATAAATGTAAGGAAAATCTCAAGCAGAAATAGTATGTGCTAAGTGTGAAGGCAATAATACAATTCACAAAACCAGTTTTTCAAAAAATGTCGCATTTAATGTTGCTCTACCTCTCACAATGAGTGACACGATGCTATGAGTCATTCCGTACAAGTTGCTGGCCACACAGCGGTAGGTGCCTTGGTTTTTCGCCTGGGCATTTGTAACAGTCATGATTGAACTGTCAGGACCCACCTTTACATTATCTAAAGAAGAGAAGTTCATAAGGACATATCACATATGGAGATTTTGACATGTTCTAACACAGTGGTGGGCAAACCTTTCAGACCCGAGGGCCGCATCAAGTTTTGCAAACCAAGTAAAGGGCCACATGTCAAATCCTTCAAAACACAACTTTTATTTATAGTGGCAGTATGCATGGATCTTGTAATATCGGACAGAAACATGTCACATTAACAAAAAGCAGATTTTTTTATATATTATGATTTTTTTATATATTATATATTATATATTAAAAATGCGAGGTGCAGCAGCCGGTTAAAACGCGAGGCTTGCACTAAAGAGCTAAAATGTGCTTTCCACGTAAGTGGACACTCGAGCCCTTCTAAACCTTCTTCCAGAGGGCAACAGAACAAAATTGTGTACAGTACCTGGCAGAGGCAGGTTATTGGTGAGTTTCCACTCCAGTCGCACTGGCTGGGCTCCGTTGTGAACCTTGCACCTGAAGCTCGCCGATTCGCCCTGCTTCACCACTGCACTATGCGGCTCAATGGAGATAATGGGAGTCTGGAGGCCTACTCCAAAATCAAACCACAAAATACACTGAGCACACACTGACTATGCTGACAATGTGTATGTTGTAAACAAATGTTAGTTAAGTGTTTTGCTTCAAATTGTAGCACATTTTAAAGGAATAGTTCATCTAAACTGGAAAATACTGCATTCGTTTACTCACCCTTCATTTGTTACAAACCTGTTTGAGTTTCTTTCTTCTGTTAAACACAAAAGTTATGAGGGTGACATGGTGGCTCAGTAATTAGCCCTGTTGCCTCACAGCAATTAGGGTGCGGTTTCGAGTACCAGCTGGGTCAATTGCCATTTCTGTGTGAAGTTTGCATGTTCTCCCTGTGTTTGCGTGGGTTTCCTACTGGTGCTCCGGTTTCCCCCACAGTCCAAAGACATGTGCTATAGGTGAATCAGGTAAACTAAATTGGCCGTAGTGTGAGTGAATCAGAGTAAATGGGTGTTTCCCAGTACTGGGTTGCAGCTTTAAGGGCATCCACTGTGTAAAACATATGCTGGGTAAGTTGGCGGTTCATTCCGCTGTGGCGACCACTGATGAATAAAGGGACTAAGCCGAAGGAAAATAAATGAAAGAATGAATGAAACCAGTGACCAATGACATAGAGTACTACCGGACCGTGACATTTTTTATACTATGGATGTCAATGGTTACCAGTTTACAACATTCTTCAAAATATCTTCTTTTGTGTTCATGAGAAAAAAAGAATCACATAAAGGTTTAAAACAACTTGAGGAAGAGGACATAGTCAGAAAATATATATGTATTTTTTGGGGTGAACTATTCCTTTAAGATATGGTCTGTTGCAACAATATAACAATAACATATAATTGTTGATTTAATTTCACTATTTACATTTTTTATATATTTTCTGCTCTTTTCGTCTAGATTTTTTGTATGTTTCATTTGAATGGACAGAATCAATTATATAAAGCACTAAATATCACTGTACTTTAGTCCAATTCAAATGAAACTATTCTATTCTATTTTATTCTATTCTATTCTATTCTATTCTATTCTATTCTATTCTATTCTATTCTATTCTATTCTATTCTATTCTATTATATTCTATTCTATTCCATTCTATTCTGTAGTGGTCTCATAAAGGTAAAACTAAATTTCAGGAACGTCTTAAAGAAGAAGAAGTTCTTTATTTAGTTATTAGCCATAGTTTCATCTAAAGTAGAATTTTACCATGAAATACTGGAAACTGCATCAATAATTTGCGAACAAAGCACCACAAATAATGAGCTTAAAAAACAGCTTTCATTTTGACATATTGCAAGAAAACCTAAAACATGAGTGTGTATGACATCAAACATGATCAAACATGTATGACAGATGTTGACACTTTTCATCAGTTAAAGGGACTTACGGGAGGCGCTGGACGTCACAGAGACAGACACAGTGGCCTTTTGTGGAGATGGGCCGTTCTCCACTGTACAGATATAATCTCCAGTGTCATCAGCAGAGGCCCGCAGGATCCGCAGCCGAGTCTCCAAAACCTGGAGTCAAACACACAAACACAAGCAAACCAACGATTCATTAAACACTCTAATCGGAAAACCTATTACAAAGATCCTTATTACCACGAAAAAAACAGGCACACAAAAACAGACCTCTTCTTAAAGGAAACATAATTTTTTTTTTTTTAAATAGGCTCATTTTACAATTTCCATACAGTTAAAAAATTGAGTTTTACTCATTTTTGTAATCCATTCAGCTGATCTCTGGGTCTGGCAAAATCACTTTTAGCTTAGCTTAGCATAATCCATTGAATCGGATTAGACCATTAGCATCTTGCTTAAAAAAAAAAAAGGAGCTTCAATAAGTTTTCTATTTAAAGCTTGACTTTTCTGTAATTACATTGCTTAATAAGAATGATATAAAAATGTTAGTTTTCTAGATCGATAAGGCTAAGAATTTACCGCTCATTCTAAAGTATCTGTAATCAAGGAGGTGGAATAATATTATGCAGCTATATTGAAAGAAAATAGCAAACAAATGTGCCTATTTCCAAAAAAAAGTGGAGCGTTCCTTTAAAATGCTTACTTAGGACTTTACTTTTTAGTATGTGATCACTTTAAGCAAATTTTCCAAATATTTGCTGCTTTGTTACATCATATAAAAACTGTGAGGCAATGCAATTTGTATTTTTTTAAACGGCTGTGTTACACTTAAAAAAAAAAGAGCAGGTAGACGTAGATGTTTAAAAAAAAGTGTTATCATTAGGTAATTTCTAGATAAACAAGAGAATGACAACATACAGTATTGTGTGCACGTGGTTTTCTTCAAAAGCAAAGTCCTATAAATGTACTATCCTTTAGTTAAATGTTTTGGTGACTTCCAGGGCCACGTAACCCTGTAAAGCTTTGTCAGATTATACTATATACTATAATTTTAGAGGTTATATTATACTATTGATATACTATAATACTATATTCTATAATATTGTACTACACATTCAGACTGTTGATGCCAAATTATATAAAGTTTCTGTGCAATGTTAAATGTATAATGTATCAAACTTTGTGGTCTTTTTGGTGCTTGTAAACACTACTGTAAGTTTGCTCAATGGGCAATTTTTTTTCTTTTGTTGACTACAAATCAAGACATATTGAAGAAGGATAGAAAAAAAAACGCAATTGACTTCTATAGTATATTTTGTTCCTATTATTGATACCAATAGCTGTTATTGTGATACCAATAGCAGCAATTTTTTTCCAGCATTCTTCAGAATATAGTTTTGCATTAAATAGAAGAAGAAAATCATAAGTTAAGTAGAATTTAAGTGTGATTAAACGAAATGTTCAAATTTGGGTGAACTATCTCTTAAAGGATGTGACATTAAAATAAATTTATAATAATAAAACACACAAGATCATAATGTGCTCCTAAACAAAAATGACTTGAATATGTTACCATTTCAGTTTAACATAACATAACGCAACATAACGTGAGCGATAAGCTCAAATGTTAACAGATGGTTGCTCGCTGGACATATTTTGTTTGTAAATAAATTTGACTGGAATCAACCTCGGCTTAACAATGAAAATCTTCTACTATCATCTCTGCTGCTTTTGCTTCAGACTCTGTAAATAAGCATTGCCATTTTACATACTGTAGAAATACTATTTTTATTGTAGAAAGACACATTTCAGCTGTTATTATAAGGTCCAATGTGACATTCATAAAGCTGGAGCTGCCCAAATATGCTTTATTGTAAACCTGATGATTTGATGACAGCAGCCCGCCTGCCCTGCTCCATTTGACTGATCCTGTAGAAGTTCCTGGGACAAGGCAGTTGAGATCTAGAGCCTCTCCTTCAATTACTGAAGCACTAGGGGGCTGAATAATGACTCCGGAGAGGATATTTTCACCTGATCATCGTGAGAAGAAAATATTAAGATTTTATTCTACAAATATGAGTTTAAATTCAATTTGAGGGCTAGCATTACCTTTTGTGACAGAGACATCAATGTGAGCTTCTGAAGAACCAGCGGCGTTGGTGCCAACACAGAGATATGTGCCTGCATCAGATAACCTGATATTGGGTACCACGAGAGTGCCAATGTCAGTGCGGTCCATGCGTGCCTAAAGAGGATATGGGTATATATTTAATATATATATTTTATGTGAAAGACATTATAACAGCATTGTTTTTCTGTAAAGCTGCTTTAATATGACAATAATAATTATAAACGTCAAAAACCGCAAAATAGAAAACCGACATAATTCATTTGACATGAATAAAGTGAATTAAATCAACAGAAGACCAGTTTTACACCCATTACTTACCTTGACAAGACTTGCATTAAACTAAATAAAACAGCTATACCTTAATACAATACCTGAAAATAAATGATCAGTGGTAATTAGGCAGTGGGTTTTACGGTTGTTTAGCATTTTAGTATTGTATTATGGAATTTGTTTTGTTATGAGGCTGTCATCATACTCTAACAAGATTAACAACAAACTGAATGAATCAAAAATACATATTTAGCTTTCAAATGCCAATTGAAATGGTTCTTCCATCGTTTCCAGTTATTTCTATTCATATTCTTTTATTATAGTAATGAAGTGTTATTTAGTACTCATGCCCGTAGCCAGGATGGGTTCACTGACAAAGATCCAGAATTTTTCCCATTCATGAGCTCATTTGTCCTATTTTGACTGCTATGTCATCATAAATAGTAAAAATAACCCATTGAAAAAGGCTTTAAGACCAAGCGAAATCCTGAAGTGAATTTCTGTTTATCAGTTTTGGCCAATGCAAACAATTATTTTTCAAGACTCCAAAATCCAGCTGTGCAAGAAAGCTATGGTATTGGATTTAAATAGAGAAAACATTTGACAAGTAACTTTGATTCTAAATCTTGGACCTTATTCTTGAAAGAAAACATGGCCAATAAAAAAGTACCAAAAGCATTCCATATGAAAATCAATTTGAATACTATTTAGGCTATTGTTGTTATCACTGAGTTTCAAATGTACTTTTTTTCTTTTTAATTGTGAAGCTCTAAATTATTGTTATTATTATTATTATTATTATTATTATTATTATTATGATCATCATTACTATTATTATCATGTTTTATTATTTTTTTTATTATTCAAAGGGCGAAATTCTGACTGAGGACAGGTAAATGTCCTGGCCAGTTTGTTATTTGCCTAATAAATTGCAATAGGCTACAGTTTTTATTTTTAACTTTTTTTAATGATATATGATGTAATAAATCATGTAATTAAATTTTAATCAAATTTAATTTTAAAAATAATAGTCATATTTCTTTATTCTAAATATTTAGGAAATATTTTTGATACATCAAAAAGTGTGGTTATGATGACCAACCGACAAGTCAATTCACCTAAAAATAGTGCTTAAAGTGACACCTAAATTCCTTATTTAAATTTCATAATTATATAGAAAATGAGGCTAATAACTGCAAAATGTTCCACCCTTTTCACCAGGATGGCTACGGGACTGGTACTACTTTGCAAATAGCTTTACTGTACCACAACTTTTACAAAATGCTACAGTACATATGTAGTGGCTTGTATGGAAGTTTACTCCAACCACATAATTTAAAGGTGACCTTTTATCTCCCAATTTATATATACATTTTTTTTTATATATATAGATTTTTTTTTTATTTGACCATATACTGTATCTCTCAATTTTTAGGTAATTCATAAAATCTCAAAATTCTAAGGGAAAAAAATCATATAAACTGGAATCGCAATAAATACATCATCTCAGAATTGCAAGTTTCCATCTTGCAGTTCTAAGTTATTTGTGTATGCCTCATAACATATCGTTATTAATCATTGGTGTTACATTTATGGTGCTACAGGTCTATATTTACATATGATTAACCTGCAGTAACCAGTAATTGATTAATGGTGTTGATGAAGCTTGATTATTTCACACGACGAGACAAATAGTGACAGTGGACAGTTAAAGCTGCTAGTGGCTACACAGCGTCTCTAAATTCTACATCTACAGACATCCAAATCAAAGGCAAAAACAGAATTACACTTTATCACTAAGAATTGGTATATTCCTCTAGATTTCTCAATGTCTCCACTAAAGTAACTCTAAAAAATTGTGACATCTGCAGTGTAAACTCAGAAAAACACACAACAGTATTCAGAGGGGAGCGGGTGATATTTTTTTATCCAGGAGCAAAGCCGCTTAAATCTGATCTAGTGAAGTGTGGCGGCAGTAGAGCTGCGATGGCATAGGCTTGGTTGAATGAGTGTCTGAAACCATTCACAAATTTTCAAAGCGGCCCGACTGCTAGAGCACACAGAATTTCTGCATGGTCGCACGGCGGACCTGAACACACCCTGGGAAAAGCTGACACAATGCAGCGATGCTCTCAGGCAGAACAAACCAGTCCACAAAGACACAAGGTACGCAAGACACCAAAGCCCTCCAGTGGCATGGGACGGGTCATCCGTGTCTCATATCTGGAATAACCCGAATCCAACAGGGCAAAAAAAACATGTACAGTACAGTGGGGTTCAAATGGATGGCAAATTGCTTTTGTTTGGCCTTCTACTTTGCCTTTTCTCATTTAAACACACTTATATGATTATCATATCATTATCATAACCAGGGTGCAATTTATACATTGACGATCAGGGGAATCAAAACATTCTGTAATATATAAGTTTGTGTAATGCTTCAGTGAATCAAATTTGTGTAATTATTTAATATATTTAGTGGGTTATTTAGTGCAGTGGTTCTCAAATGTTTTTCATCAAGTACCACCTCAGAAAAAAATTGTCTCTCCAAGTACCACCAAAATGAGCAGTATTGAAATACAGTGAGTAGCGCAGTAGGCCCAGTAAAGCAGCTACAACTCTGCACAGTTAAAAAATGTGGCAGATTACATCAGAAGCATAGGCTATATGTCATGTATGAAATAATATATACATCATTTTTTGATCATTTTTGAAATGTATGTAGCATGTACATGACATATTTCATTCCTCCGCGTTCCACTAGAAGGAAGCCTGCGTATCACAGTTTGAGAACCACTGATTTAGTGTATTCTAACCTACAGTATGGTCTGATTAACTCTTTCAGATTACTGTCGGTCAAACAATACTCTGTGTTTAATTTGACTTTACTTTCAGGATATATCTAGAAACAAACACCCATTTTACAAGAAAAGTGTCTTGTAAACACTTATGAACTGCACTGGAGCTCTAGATCTGCCAGTTTCAGACCGTTGAACAAATTTTTTCTTGCATAGACTGGTGCGATTAACAATGGTATGGACCATTATAGGTGTACTCAATTGTGTTTATATTACCACCCCTCATACATGTTGTTTTGACGTCCTTCAAGCATTAATAAGGGGGGTCAATACCCCTAACCCCCCCGTATTTCACACCCTGATCATAACAAAATATATTTATTATCATAAGTTACGTTCAAATTAACACTAGATAGAAAACACTAAATTTTGCTTTGATTACAGTTTTTCTTAGTGGCTTTGGTGCATTTCTCACAACATTATTAACATTTGCACGACAGTTAATGCATTTCTCAAAACAATTAGTCATTTGTGGACATCATAGTAGCAGTTTCTCAATCCTTTAAACAAATTGCAAATGCTTTTGTAGATGCATCAATTGCTTTCATACAACTCTCTGCTATTTATAACATTATCATTTGCTTATGTCATGTCAGTCAAAATTAACTAAACTTGTGAATGCTGAATAGTCATTACATATAAAACTACGTCCTCATTTAATTACTTGAGTCATTACATACAAAAATGTTGAACTAGTTGTCAAAATCTGTCCAGCAAATTTTATGATTTTTTTTAAACCTTTATTCCTGAAAATATCTTCTGAATTGAACAATTTCATGAATGATTTACAGGCCTATGTATGTTGTAGGTTCAGCTCCAATATGTTCTGCAATATTGTTTACAGTTGTGCACAGCTCTAGCCAAAATAAGTTTATTATTGTTGTAAATAAGGGTACTTTTACTCTTTTGCACAATGATGTGAATTAATTAGAATTGTGAAGAGCAAATGCAGTAAACATGTGAAATATACATATCCAGTGTCTTGTACTCTGATACCTCACTAAATGCAGTGATTTCTAACTTTACTGTAGTTTTCAAATGGCTGTGAAAACAGTATATAGTGCTGTCTTGAACAATGTCAGGAAGTGCCACCAAAATCTGACTTTTTTGCATTGTAAAAAAATGTCAAACTGTCATAATAAATACATGACAAAGCCATTTGACTATCTTGTTCATAAACAATGATGTCAGGACTTTTCATCTTGATGACACTGACGCTTTCATTGACATCAATACTTGCTTTTGAGGAATAAGCTCTTCATTTTGAGCAAGTGACATGCTTTTGCAGGTTATCAACTAGGTTTTGCAGTTTGTACAAATTGTTTTGAGTAATGCATTAACTGTTGAGCAATTGTGAATAGTTTTGTGAGAAATGCACCAAAGCCACTGAGAAAAACTATTTAAAAAAATGACAGAATGATAGAACGATAGATAAATAGAATGACAGCTAGAACAATAGAAAGATAAATAGAATGATAGACAGATAAAATGATAAATAGAATTATAGATAGAACGAAAGATAGGATGATAGACAGAATGATAAAATAGAAAAACAGAAAGAATGATAGATAGAAAAATAAATAGATAGAATGATAGATCGAACAATAGACAGACAAACAGACAGCCAGACAGACAGCCAGACAGACAGCCAGACAGACAGCCAGACAGCCAGCCAGCCAGCCAGCCAGCCAGCCAGCCAGCCAGACAGACAGACAGACAGACAGACAGACAGACAGACAGACAGACAGACAGACAGACAGACAGACAGACAGACAGACAGACAGATAGATAGATAGATAGATAGATAGATAGATAGATAGATAGATAGATAGATAGATCGATTTGCTATTCAGGGTGATAGCGAAGGGATGCCATACATTTTGTTAGGTTTTCGTGTGATTGCTATGGTGGCGGTAGGGTATTTGGGGTAATAACTATTATTACTTGTTTGTCAGTTAATTATAAGATTATAGCTATTCAGTTGCTAGGTATCCGGGGTGGTTGCTAAGAGGTTGGCATTTGGTTTGATAGGGTACACTAGGATGATGCTATTCAGTAGCTAGGGAATTTAAAGTTTGATAAGGTCTTTGTATGTGGTTTGCTAGGGTTTTGGTTTTCAGTAGAAAAGGTATTTGGATCATTTTTAGAGTGTTGCTAGGGGGTTCTGTGTGGTTGTTAGGGTGTGGGTTTTTAATTGCTTGAGTGTTTGGTGTGGTCACTTGGGTGTAAAAATAGAGTACATCAGCTGTGTTAAGCCAACAAGATTTTCAGAATTTCAGTATTTGGTTTTCTTCAGGAACAGCAGTACTTTTACTTTGACTTTTCCAAGCGTTTCCAAATTCTTTATTTTAGATTTAAATTGAATTTTGAATTCTGAACCAACACCGTGTTTTGCACCACACTGTACAGTACATAAACTTTGAAAACTACAACCAGCACACTTATTTACCTGTGCAAACTTTAACTCTGCATACTAAACACAGTGCTCAAGTTAGCTTAGTTGCTACAAAGTATTGTTGTGCTAAAAATCTAATGGATGTCACATGAATGATTAAATGAATCATGCATTTAGTTGACATAGATTTGGGTGAGGGTGAGTGAAGCGTGACAGGTGGGATGGGACGCGTGAGACAGACATCAGACAAATGGACAGACCTGTAGCTCCTCAATACGTCTCTGTAACACATCGAGACTGTTGCTTTTAAACTGATGGAAACCGTGAGAAGGAATTGCCTGAACAAACACCAAGACACGGGATGAAACAGTGAGAAAAACTCCAAAAACAAGGCATAACATTACCAATGGAACAACCCTTTAAAAGCCTGGTTGAGTAAAAGGACAAACGACAACAGAAAAATACTGGTTTCTTACCTGTGGTGGCAGTGAACCACCTCTCTTATTCCATTTTAGTGAAGGGGTGGGACTACCAATGGCCCTGCAGTACAACCGTAAAGTCTCACCCTCATAAATTTCCACCCGCTGAGGGCTCACTTGTACGTGGGGCAGACCATTAGGTTGACCTGTGCCTGAAACATCAGTAAAAAAGCAAAGCAGAACTTACTCGACGGGTTCAAGAGCTTGTTGCATGTGAAATCTGGAAATCTTCTATATACTTTGAACGTGGAGAACTCCTCGGGCTGTGTGCTCGCCGTGTGTGTTCAGCGCCTTGCAGATGTACTCGCCCTCATCCGAGCGATCCACAGATGAGATTGTCAGCTGACCGTTACGAATGACGGCTTTTGAGCTGATTCGCTTGCCAGAACCTCCTGAAAAACCACATATTTTAAGAAAATTATCAAGAAATCATTTGAAATGATGCAAAGCAACAAATTATAGCTGCAAGTAGCAATAAAGGGTCCACAGTCTGCAGAAGCATCAGACTACAGTGCCTATAAAGTCATATTTAAAGACAATTGTACACTATTTTAAACAAAGAGGCTGCAAACGTATAAATACAATAAGTTACATCATGACAATTGTTTATTACTTTTGTGTGAAGTGACTATGACTACAATTACATGGACATCAGTGATTTAATTATTTTCCTAAATCTGAATAAGACAATAATATGATTAAGGTGTTTACATAAGTTGCTTTTCGAGGGATCCTGTTTTTTTATGTTATAGCACATAATTAGATCAACGTCACTGCGTCACAACACTATGCACATTTCCTCCAGAGTTTCATGTAATTTAAGGTCTTTCATTTCTAATTTATCTACTTTAACTGCAGTTTGGCACTTTCACTTTCATACTCCACATGTTGTAATTCGATTTTTGTTTGGTTTGATTATGACCTTAATCTGATTAAATTAATCAAAAATCGTTGTTTACCTTGTAGACTCAAGCCTGATTTATACTTCTGCGTTGAGTGATCAGCGTGACCCACAGCCGTGCATTTATACTTCTACACGCTGTTTGTGTTGCTCTGCAATAACTCTTGCGAAACGCTAGCTGGTAGTAGGTTATATTATATTCCTCTGTATAGTTTCTTTACTGGTGTTTTGTTTTTTCTGAACACTACCTTAATGTACAAGCAGCTCAAACTCGCGCATTTTGAGGCGGGACCCAGTGGACATGCAACTTTATTTGTAAGGCAAACACAAAACAAAACTTTTCATCTGGAGCTCCTTCACAAGGCTCGACACTTGTAAACACTTGCTCCTACGGGTTCTTCCACACTCGCCATCACTACCAAGCCGACCAATCACAGAATTTGGACAACGCGTCAATGCGACATGCAGTTACATTTTTTGAGAGGTGCGCATCAGTGTCGCCCACGACAAGGGCTATGCCACCAAATGAAGGCTGCGCCGGAGCATACACGTGTCCTTGTATTGTCTTAATCGCATTAAAATTAAGATTATTAGTGCCCATGTAAACGTACTTAATGATACTAAGATGCAGTTAAGCATCATGTCATTAAAACTAATATTATATTATTGTTAAATTTAAATTCTACGACAAATTTTTGAAAAAAACAAACCATTTAATTTTAGACCACAAGATAGCATTGTCCTTCTTCAGGGCTTGCCTACAAAGACACATGACAAATTTTATATCAAAATGCTAATGTGCACATAAATAACATTATTATAGCAATTTAAAATGGCCAATGCACAAAATGGCTGAACTGTGAAAATGTTACATTGTGCAACTCTGTATACTATAAAAGTGTATTTCTGCTAACTGTGACTTTTAATTTGAACAATTTACTCGCATTTAAACAATTTACTCGTTTGGATGTTGATTTTTCTCCAAATAGAAAGATATGGACTAAATTCCTGACTCTGTATCACAACTGAGTCTTTTTTAGATCAAAATTGGACTTCACAACTTGGAAATGGAAAAGTTATCACAATTCTGAAGAAATAAGTAAGAAATGTGGATTTATATCTGCCAATCCCAATGATTTTTCTCATAATTGTGGCCCTTTTTAAAATTACAAGTACATATCTCGCAATTCTGTTTTAACAAGGGAGTTTGCATCACACAAGGATGAGAAACTAATCCTAAATAGCAACTTTAAATCAATATTGTGAGATAAAAAGCCACGTATACCTTTTAACTTGATGCTTTTTTCATAGTATAATGCTCTGACCTGCTTTTTACATATCTCCTGACCACCAAGTAGCACTTTGGCAACAAGTTTTGGTCTGAATGATGTGTTGGGAGATATAGCCATTTTGACAAACTCTACCGCCAGTTAATTGAGCAATTATTTTAGAATGGCTTGACATTAAAAATGTAATTGTTTCTAACCCTCAAGGTTCAGATGTTATTAGCACAAGTGAGTGCAACTTTAGGCAGTTGGCGGCGCTATATATGTTTTGTCAACACAGAAATGTCTCACCTATCCATTCCACAGCAGGTGTGGGGTTTCCAGTGACTGTGCAGCGGAACTGTGCAACATCGCCCTCCTTGACCGTCTGCACAGGTGGACTTAATGTGGCCACTGGCTGAACCCCTTCAGCAGCTACAGTGAGGCAGAAAACAGTTAATCACAGACACAAGTAGAGCTCTCCAAACTCAAGTACCGCTCATTACTGATAGTTCCCATCGAGAACAGACCTTACCCACTCGAGATGATAAAAGAGGCCAAGTACATTTTCAGCAAAATGAATTTTCAATGAATTGGTCTAAAAATGGTTTGGAATGTCATGCCAATTAATTTAAGCTTTTTTTTTTAATCCTCTAGTGAAAAAGTAAATTGTGGAAAACTTAGAAGAGAGGAAAGAGTTTTACGTTTGGGAAAGATCTGTTTGTGAGAGTGTTGATGAAGTGATAGTGGTGTGGCGGTGTGTCTGGCTGCCAGAGCTGATGGTCAAGTCATGTCTCTTGGCAGCCAGCTTGAGGAGATGAGAAGTGGCAGATGGGGTTTGGCAGGACGAGGCCTTTGCTGCTGTCTGTGCCAACTTGGCTGTATGCCAAGCCCCCGATCTACAGGGATTCCAGGGCAACAGTCAAAGAAAGCTTTCTTTCACCAACTAGGCTGGACTACTGGTCTGTGTAAGCTCCGCGTTAAGCTCCGGTCTGCTTCACAGTGACTGAACAGTGCTCATTTAGTTGCCTTGGCATTTAAAGCGCTGATATTTTCATAAAGCATTCACGAATGGATTAGATATTTTGGTCTATATCTTTTATTCTACATATTTTAAGATCTGTCTAACCAGTTGCACTGTCCACACATCTACACATTCACCCATTCTGTGTCTACATATCCATCCATCTATCCATGTATCTACAGTACCATCGGTAACACTTTATTTTGATGGTCATTTTTGAGTATAAATAGATCGTCTGCTTAATGTGTTGATACTGTACCTTCAACAGACATTTAATTGACTAAAAGAAACTTTGCAAGTACATGTCAACTTACACTAACATTAATCCTAACCCCAACCTAACAGCCTACTTATATAATCTAATGAGAATTAGTTGGCATGTAGATGAAATGCAACTTAAATTCAACAAATGAACCATCAAAATAGTGCAACCGTAACATCTAACAATATACCCACTCCCTAAACACAATCAAATAATCTAACCACCATCTATCAGTCTACATTACCAGGCCAGACAGAATATGTGACTTCAGAGTCAGAAACTTTTATTTGCCGTTATTTGTGCAGATTTAAAAATAAATAAATACATTTCGATAATTTTATGCGGAATGATTTTGAGTGTATAAGAACTAAAAACTTAACAACCAACCCAATCTGTCTACCCAGCATCTATCTACCACCTAACAATCTGTCTACCTATTAATGGGGACCCATTGTGCAAAAACACTTTTCTAAGGTGTCACTAAGGTTTTCTAAGGTTCACTTTTCAGTTTAAACAATTTTGTGGCAACAGTGTCTAAATTTAGCTAAATTTACCTCTAATGGGAACAATTAATGAATTTTATTTTTTATAATCCCGCTTAATAAAAACAGGGGTAAAGCCCCTCCCATTAGTGATGATCTCTCCTCATTAGCATAAACAGACCTGGGTGAGAAGCAGTCATCCGCCATTAGAGTTTTAAGGGGCACTCACACTATGCTTTCCGAACCGTGCCCATTTCCTGGATCGTTTGAGAAGTGTGAGTGCTCTGAATCAGGCTCAGGGGCGGTCTTGTTGGCCAGCCCTGGCATTGTTGGAAGAGGTGTGCCAAAGCGCGGTTCACTTAAGCTCAGGCAAGGTAAGCTTGTAGAGTGCATAGTGTGCTTGAGCCCGAAAGTGAAGACGAGACATGATTTTTAAGGGACTGTTTCATATGGATTTATTAATCATTCTTACGGTTTAATGAACACAAACTGTCGTAGACTATTTAAAGGCGCAAATCCCTCACTGCAAGACAATTGCGCCTTTAGCAAACCTCCTAATTCCGGCGAAATATTTGACTGTGTGTCATTGCATCCAAAAAGACTAAAACAATATAACTAAAGAAATCCCCACTGTGCTGAGCGAGAGCGCTTCTTAAACTGAACAGCGCATCACCAATGACGTAAGCGTGCCCAGGCTCGAATGCAATGTGAGTGTGGGCCATCGGGGGAGACTGGAGGGGGGACAAGCATTCTTTGGTTCTTCTTCCTCTTTTGTAAAGATCATTTAAATTAAAGCGAGTCAAGTAAAATTACAAAATGTGTATAAAAATCCTTAAAGGGGAACATATAAAAAGAAAATTGTGTGGTATTTTGAGCTGAAACTTCCCAAACACACTCTATAGACATTAGAGACTTATTTTACTTCTGGCATAACAGGTCCCCTTTAACATCTACCCATATATTCAGCCACATTTTTAAATTATGGATCTATCCACCCATTCACTCACATATCATGGTAATAAGTACACATCAATTAAAAAAAATCTACATCTACTCAATCATCACATTTACTTACCTGTACTCTATGTATCTAATCTAGCCATGTGATCATATATCCTGTCTACCAAACATCTATTCCTCCACCAATCCTCACACCAAGATTTAGTGCACTGGAAATGTACTGTATGCATGGCCATAATAAAAATCTTGAACAAACAATGGATGCTATTTGTCATCGGATATATACCAGTCAACATTTTCTTGCATATTTAAAAAGCATGATACTGGGCTGATGGAATATGTGGGAGACCCCTCTCTGTTAGTAACAAGTGTGAAGTGACATTTAACAGCATGCATCTTATAAAGCAACAGATAAAACTAATTAACCTTGCCAATCTGATATTAAATACATATTTTGATCAAAGAAATCTCTAATGTTTTTACTATTCATTTAAGTATCATAAGACACACTTAAACAACAGAGAAAAGTCCCCATGTGTGCAAGCATGCAGCTTCCCTGTCTCAATGGACCAGTATGAGCCATGAAAGCTTAGCCAGATCAAGGAATGCTTTTATGTACAACTCAACAGCACATACTGTACATACAAAGTGGTCATTAACAGATTTAACATAACTATTGTAATGTAAGCTGTGGTTGCAGAAATATACCATATTAAGACTATGCTTTAAGTTTGGTTGTACTTGAGCATTACTCGAGATGGCAAAAGCATGCAATGTGAAGGTTGCATGCATGAAAGAAACGGGTCCTTCCAGGCATGTGCACTTACGCTTTCTATGTCCTTCAAACATCTCATAGGCTGTGTAAAACATCTGTGATTGAGAAGCCTCTGTGAATGATGGACAGGCAGATACTGTCAAGCGAGTTTCCAGAAGGTTCTGTGAGAGTGGCGAGCTGCTGCCCCAAGCATTTCAATGCGATTTAAAGCAAAAGCCACTTAATAACTCAAGAGACTTCAGGGTTTTGAGCTCCAGAATGTGTGCAACATCCAGCATTTCATGTTTTATTATTTTGTGTTGTACGCTGGATATGAAAAAACCCTTTGATGCAACCCAGGCTCATTGTTAGCATGTACTTAGCCAATATTTTTGTAAAACTGAAAATGTTGCTCGGAAAACAATTTGTTGCCAGTTTCAGGTGACAAGTCCACTAGAGGGCACCGTTCATTTTATTGTAAATCAGAACTACATTGCTTAGGGTACGTTTTGTTGTACGTTTCAGGCATATGTCACCCTAAACCAACCAACAGTGTTTTCAAAACCAAATTTAAAAGAAAAAGTGCATTGTGACCACGCAGTTTTACCTTGATTTTACATTGCTTTTATCTCTTTAGTTGAACCACACTATACTGGACTCAAACCAAAGTGCTTTGCATCACAAAAACATCACTACAAAATGAGCAAAGTAAACACACCAGAAAGCTGTCTATATGTTGATTAATAGATCAGGCAAATGTATTTGATTACACATCATAAACATCAAGTTGTTTTGTATTATTTATTTTGTCTGCATTTAAACAATTGATGTTTTATCCCTGAATCATCCGTATCAAAAAGGATTATAAAAAAGTTCTTAGCATCATGCTGCATGTAGCATTCATTTTACAAAAGAACTGCAATTAAACATGTATTTAAGTTCGTTTTTTTAGTTTCACAAAAATGTAGGCTGTGTAAAATGTAAAAACAAATGTAAGCACAGATTTCCAATGAGCCTGCGTTGCTTTAATTACTTTGTTACAAAATACCTTCATCCTCACCCATTAGAGTGTATGGATAAAATTCAATAAGTTCACATGGAAGTTAATCAAATGTCTCTCTGATTATCTGAGGTTCATACTAATGTAAATACAGTACACCAGTATGTCAAAACACTTTTAAATAAAAATGAAGCTTACCCTAGAATGAAAATGATCATTCCAGGCTTGTTCTACTTTGTAACATAGATAAAGACATTTAAAATAAATCTAAAAGATTCCCTACTCTCAAAAGAATGGAATCACCCATATTTTGAAACCCCATAAAGAGTTTTAAAATTAACAATAAATCCACATTATTTAAATGGTGTGATCGAAGTCTTCCAAACACACTAGATGAATATATTATTTAATTGAGACTTTTACAATTTTAAGCATTTAAAATTGGCCAAGAAAGATCAAGCATAATTGCTTGGCACATGAGAACCAATAAGGAACACTTGGTCACATGGCACATTTGACCTTCTGGAAAAAAAAAGTGAGGTACTTTTACATGTCAGAGTGGTAAGCATATTAGTACACACCTTACAAATCGATCTTTTAAATTCATATTTTAAAGAGAAAGCTATACAATATTAAATTTGCTCATATACATTCTCTAACAAAATAACTTATGATAACGGTCCAAAAGTAAACCCAAAAGCACACCATTTATATGTTGTAGAAACATATTAAATACAAATTTAAAAAAGAGAAAAAACCGAGAAAAGCAAACAATTTTTTAAAATATGGCTGACATTTTGTCGTTTGTCATTTTTTTTGCTATATTTTGCTTAAATGTAATTGAATTGTCTATCAATTTCTAAATATGTTTAGTGACTAAAATATTATTGTAATAAATAAATCTGTTTAATAAATCTATTTTGTTTAAATGCACCAATACACTGCCTATATTCACTGAGAAATGGATAATTTTTTTTTAATTGGGTGTACTCAATTATGCTGAGCACTGTATTTATTTAATTTTATGTCTTTAAATGTTTTAACCTGTCAGTTTTAAAATACTTGGAGGAACAGAACTCTCACTTGTGTTCCAAAGTTGAACAAAAGCCTTATGGGTTACAGTATTGATGACAATTGTCATTTTAAGGTAAACTAACCCTCTTTAATGTCTCAAATATGCTAATTTTGTATATTTAATCTCGACTTAAACAGCATATGAAGCTTTTTAGTACAAGGAAGCTTCTCATTGGCTTTTTAGCAAGGAAAATGAAGTTCATCCCAATTACACCAGTATGCTCCAGTATCATTGATTTACAGCGCCTGTTATGCAAGATTACAGTCAATGAAGAGTTGCTGTAAAATGCCAAGCAATAGTTTGTCACAATGACAATCAAATAGGACATTTAGTTTCCAACTGAAAAATCAATGCACATTCAGAAGACATTAAAAAATAGGTGAAGTGTAAGTTAAGCGCACTGTGTAAATAAAAAAAAAAAAACAAAGACAGTGGAGAAAACAGCACTCAGGTGAAATCATGCAGCAGGTTAGTATCATAAACAACATGTAAAAGCTTTACCTTGGCATAAACATTCATATAGTATTTTCTTTGAATACAGCTTGTGATTGATAAATTGTGGATAGAGTTTCAGTTCCATTCCACAGACTGAACCTGTTATTCTTTTAATATTTTCACCATATTAAGAATTTGTACATACATTTCACAGCTTAGACAAATACAAAACAATGAGATCATTGTAAAAAAAAATCAGATTTTCAAGATACAGCACCATTTCAAAAATGTACAAAATTAAATATTGCTTTAATTAACAAAATAATTGAATATACACCTACATGCTTGATTAATAAAAATAAATCAAAGAAAAACAGTTATACAGCACCATTTTAGTTGTAAAACATACACAATGAATAAGAACAAAACATAAAAATATATATTTGCATGTTTGAAATTTCATACACACAACCTTAAAGCCTTAACATCCTTTCATTCGCAGTGTTTGTAAGTGTAAACCAAAGTTGTAGTTTTTTTTTTGCAATCAAAATAAATATGGTTACTAAAGTACATATCGCTGTTGGCCACAATTGAAAGCCATTATTTATGACATGTCTTTAACTACTAATACTAAAATGAGATATAACTCAAGAGCGTTGAACAGTACATAACCTAAGTAATATCTACTGTATATTTAAAATTCTGAAACATATCTTACAAACAAATCCCTGCCTAAACCAATGGCAATTCATAGGACGACCAAAAAAAAAAAGAAAATGTAATGGAAAATATGACACTCCTGGAAAAAGTGAACATTCAAACTACTGCACTATTAATAGCACCATTTTCAAATACAAAACTGAAAAACAGTTTCATTACAAAAGCAGAGGTGGAATCCCATCTTGGAGTCGGGAACAGGATTGTGCCTGCAGTCCTTTCGGCCGATGAGCTCCAGTTTCTACCATGACACCAGTGTATTTTATGACACCTCCCTACCTCATCACCCAACAAACACCACCTCAGGAGGGAAATGACAGCAAACATGCCCAGAAATGAAGACAACTCCTCCACTAGTGAGAAGACTGACACAGAACCGCCACCATGATAACACCCAATTACACCAGCAGATGATTTCACTACGCATGAATTAGATGCATTTACAACTAAAGGTTAGTAAAATGACTAGGATTTATTCTGTGCAAAATGTACATTGATCTAGTTTTATGTAATGTAGCTCAAATTCAATTCAATGCAATCATTTGTGTATTTTGCAAAAGGTTTTATAAAGAAATAAACAAGCTCATTTTAACAATGACAGTAACAATAAAAGCAATATTGTGTAAATGATTAGTCAAATCAAACTGAGGTCAAATGTAGCATTCTTATACAGCTATAAAGCATTCATGAACTATTTGTTCAAAATATGTTGTGCTCATTTCTATTCGATTCCAACAAAAAATCATAAGCATTGCAAAATATATCAAATGTTTATTATAAATCGCTTCAGACTTCATCACTTCAGTTCTTTTAACTTTTGGTATATATTCAACCAAATGTGAATCATGGGAATAATATATGTGATGGATTGAAATTGGTTTGGATAAAATATATAATGATTGCAGGATTTGAATGGTGAAGTGTTTTCTTTGAATTGCAAATTTCTAAAAAAAAAAAAAAAAAAAAAAAAAAAAAAAAAAAAAGCTTTCATATTAACCCTACTCAAGCTTGATCATTACGTCTAGTGTAAAGATTTTACACTGACAACTAGAGAAGTCACTGAAGATGTTTGATTAAATCTGACGTCAGTCTTCATGGGAGTCTACTCTTTGATATGCGAGTCACATAACAAAATGAGCATCATGGGAATTTATTCGAAGTCCTAATTTAAGATGATTGAAACTTCTAATGGCAATGAATAAAAAAAAACGCTTCACAATCAAACTATAGCTAACGCTGTTGTGACGCATGATGCTGGTTGGTTTACTTTGATTACAAATTATAGATCCAAGTTTCATTTTTCTTATAAATCCTTCACAAGCCTGATCATTTTGTTGTAGGAAATGTGAAAAAAATATATACATGGCTTCAGTCTTCATGGGAGTCTATTTTTGATATGAGAGTCACATAAAAAAAATAAAAATAAAAAAAAAATCAAAGAAAACCAAAGTCTAAATTTCGAATGACAATGACTCAAAAATGCTTCAAAATCAAAATATAACTGAAACAGTTTGTGCTGAGAAACATCAAAAGATTTCTGATGCTGGTTGTTTTTTTCTTTAAATACAAATTGTATATTTAACTTTCTTTATATACCATTCACAAGCCTGATCATTTTGCCATAAAAATGTGAGAAAAAACTAATTTATGGCTTCAGGCTTCATAGAAGTCTGTTTTTGATACAGTATGTGAGTCGCATAACAAAACGAGCATCATAGGAATTTATTTAAAAGCCCTAAATTTAGAGGATTGAAAGCAAAGTCTATTTTTCTAATGGCAATGACTCAAAAATGCTTCAAAATCAAATTACGGCTGAAGCAGTTTGTGTTGAGAAACATCAAATGATTTCACATGTTGGTTGGTATTTTTTTTTTCATTACAAAATTTTCCATCCAAGTTTAACTTTTATTATTAACTATTTAGTTGTCTGATCATTTTGCCATAGAAAATTTGAGAAAAACTAATATATGGCGTCAGTCTTCTTGAGAGTCTGTTCATTGATATGAGAGTCATATCACAAAACAAGCATCATAGGAATTTATTCAAACGCCTAAATTTAGAGGATTGAAAGGAAAGTCTAAATTTCTAATGGCATCTAATTTCTAATTTTAAATGGCAATGATACAAAAATGCTTCAAAATCAAATTATAGTTGAAACATTTTCTGTTGAGAAAAAAAATGATTGCAGATGCTGGCTTTTATTTTCTTTGATTACAAAATTGTATATCTCACTTTTTTATAAACCATTTACAAGCCTGATCATTTTGGCATTAAAAAATGTGGAGATAAAAAAAATATATATGGCATCAGTCTTCATGGAAGTCTGTTTTTTGATATGTGAGTCACATAACAAAATGAGCATCATGGGAATTAAGTCCTAAATTAAGAGGATTGAAAAGCAAAGTCTAAATTTCTAATGGCAATGACTCAAAATTGCTTCAAATAGAAATTATTGCTGAAACAGTTTGTGTTGTGAAACATCAAATGATTTCAGATGCTGGCTGGTATTTTCTTTGATTATAAAATTAAATATCCAAGATTTACTTTCATTATTAATCGTTCACAACCCTGATCATTTTGCCATAGAATATGTGACGAAAAACTAATATAAGGCGTCAGTCTTCACAGGAGTCTGTTTTATACACCGCTGGTGTTGTTTTTGCATTGATTAAGATCATTGAAAATTAGTCTAATTTCCAACATAAATAACCCCAACATTTTGAAATCATAACCTGTAATACTATTTGTTAACATAGGAAAAAACAAATGATCACAAATTTGTTTTAAGACAATAAAATAAATGAATTTCAGGTGCTGGATTGGAAGTTTGATTACAAAATAATTTCACTTTTTCTATGAACCATTCACAAGCTGTATCACACTGACGTAAAGATTTTACACTGGCAACATGAGTAGCCATTCAGTTAACCGTAAGCGTTACAAAAACATCTCAGCAAATAATCAAAAAGCTTTTTTTTTTTTGATTAACGCAATAATTTAAACAAAAAGCAAGATTAGCCATGCTGTTTGTCCATAACATAGAGCAAAATTTTGTGCGCACACACAAAAAAAAACAGGACAAAGGAGAAAAGCAGAAAGTCATGCAGCAAGATAACAAAAAAAGACAGAAGAACTAAAAGGCAGGGAGGTTTAGAGGATGTGGTGCCAGTCACAAACCTGGGACATAGAGGACAGCGCTGCCCTCGTCCATGCCCAACATATTGGAGCCTGTGCAAACATAGATGCCTGCATCCTCCGGCTGCACGTTCTGAATGGTCAGGATGCCATTGAAATCCATGGCTCGGTTGGGCAGCTTGCCGTTGCCTTTGCGGGTCCAAACCAGGGTGTAAGCTGGCAGCTACGAAAGACAAGCACATGTCCCAAAATAACTCCAATTACAGTCTTTCAGACTCGCAGCCTCTATATCTCAGTGTCCATCTAGTTTGAAAGTCAAGGAGGCTCAGACTATGTGCATGCGGATCAAGGTTATTATAGTTTAGCATTATTAAAGGAGTTTTTACTTCAATACTATTTGTAAATGTGTAGTACATTTTAGTTTAGTTCATTTCATTAATAGTTTTGTTAGTTTGAGTTTAGTTTTTATTTTGTGAACACAGCAAGTTTGGCAGCCAACTTCAGATGGTGGTTGTGATAACACACTCCAAGTTTGGTGTGAATACATCAATGCATTATGAAGCTAACACATGGCCATTAATAATAAATGCGCTGTATAAATACACATTACATACATACATTAATACACATTAAGTGAATTTTCGCAAACTCTTTGTTAAGTTTGATCGCAAGTTAATTAAAAACGGTTCATCTAATTAACTCAAATTCCATAACTTTTGGTCAGCATGGTCTGTCGATCATGTGATTCAATTTTGATGATAATTGGGCAAACAGCCTAGGCAAGTTTGCTTAAAATAGGCAAAAATTTGAAATAGTAAAAAAAATAATTCACAAAAAATGACATCATAGGGTGTTTGAATCGGCTTGAACCATAGCCCATTCGGTTCAAAAGTTATAAAGATAAACATAAGTGCAACTTTGGACAGGTTGTGGCGCTAAAGAGTTTGAGTTAGAGAGTCCAAACTTGTTGTGGTTAAAGATCAGATCATCCTTTATCAGTTAACCAAAGTTTGTGCAAATGCTGCAAATTGTTCATAGGGCTGCCATAGACTCCCAGAGCGAAAGAAGAACAAGAAGCCGGAAGAATAATAAGAACAGGATTTAATAGGTACCTAAGCACCTTCGGTGGTTGACCCCTAATAAAACAATTGTTTGAACAGACACAGAAGCCAAATTTATAGAAATGTAACAAATACGATTAAAAGGTTGTATGTTTATATAAGATGTTTTTGTGTATAATCATGCACTCGACTGCATGTGTTTCATCCACCGAATTGGCTCAATCACTGTCCCTTCACTCCACCAATAGCTAGTGTGTGGTAATCGCACTAGAGCCATTTTCCTGTTGCTGCCCTCGCATCATTCAAGTGGATGCTGCACACTGATGGTGGTGTGCAGAGACCCCCCTCATGATTGTGATGTACTTTGAGAGTTTAGCCATACACAATAAATGTGCAATATAAATACACATTACATTACTCTGTAAAAGTGCATATACAGGTGAATCTCTAATCAGCCGCAGATCAGATTTTCTCCCGTAAAATTAGTGCTTATGATATACGATTATAAACTATTATTTATTTTTGGTAATTCTATTTTTATTTTAGCTAGTTTTTCAGTGACTGTTGTTCAACCAATTAAAACAATACTGCCTACAATTATGTGTACACCTATTCATTGTACACATCGCTGTCAACACTGCCAATTTTACATTGTTCTGTTTTTTTGGGAGTATGCTGTTGTGTTTTGCACTGTCGTTGTATTAGCACTGTCTGTATTTTGCACTGTTGTTGTATTTGCACTGTCTGGAGCCAGCACCTGAGCTTTTCACTCATCACAGTACAAATGTTGCTGATGATGTGACGATAAAAGTGATTCAATTTGATTTTGATTCATTTAGGTTGTAGAATGCTCTGCCTCTGTATTAGATCTGTTTCATCCCTGTCTGGTTTTAAATCTAGGTTGAAAACTTACCTCTTTGATTTGGCATTTTATCAATGAAAACTGTCTGTTTTAGCTATAATTTTATATTTTTTTCTCTGTTGTGATTTGTACCGTGCAGCACATTGGTTATGTTCTATAAATAAAATTGACATTGACATTTATTGTGATTTTTTAAATGTTAGTTTATATTTTATTTATTATTTTATGTTTTCTTGACCAATAGTTTAATTTTTAATTGTAGTTTTCCTTTATTACAATAATCTTGAAGACCTGGATGACACTGATACCTTGCTCTTGGCTGTGCAGATGAAGCTCACTGTAGATCCAACTCTCACACTCTGAGCTTTGGGCTCTTCAATGAAGACTTCGATGGGCTTGGATGGTAGAGCTGGTGAGGGGAAAGTGGTATAACAATCAGGAAAGAAGACAGAGTTAAAGAGTAGAATATCGGGCATAGAGTGTGTGTGTGTTTATGGTAATAGTGGAAAATAGCTTACTTGCAACAACAATCTCGGCTTTGCTTCTGTTGGAGCTGCGCTGGTCTCGACAGGTGCAGATGTAAACTCCAGCATCATTAGACTGAATTCCAGGGAAATGCAGCTCCTCTCCTGAAGTCAAAAGATTTTTTATGATTATAAGGTCATGGACTGGTATTGTCATGCCACTACTAAATAAAAGGAAAGGATCAGTGTACTATGTTCTGAACAGAAATAAATCCTTTTGTTCAGCAAGATTACATTAAATTGATTAAATAGAAAAATTAATTATTAAATAATCAAAAAATAAATGAATGAATAAATCAATTTATTTTTAAAGAAATTACTTTCAGTACATTTTAGATATATACATTTTATGCACAATTTAATTTCAATTATAATTTTTATTAGTGAATAATTTTGTTATTGTTTATTATTTATTATATACAATTATTTAAATCACTATATATTAATTTATATTGTGCACAGATTATGAATTGATTTGTACAGATCCTGGACAATATTCTCACACTTTTTGCATATTTCTACTTTACATTTTTCTTGATTCATGTGATCTTATTTTATTTAATTTCTTATATTTATCAGCTCTTTATAACATTGAAATAGACATTTTTCATAATAGCATTCAGAAAATTCATTGTACATAAATAGACATATGACCATATAAAATTGTATCATTTACTACATTTATATATGTAATACTTTTTAAAATTAAAAATAATATTTTTTACATAATAAAATATAATTGTGTAAATTATTATAAATATTATTTTATAAATATGTAATAGTAATTATAATATACTTTAACATATGCATTATACTGTTTACATAGGATGCCATTTAATTAAATTATTATTAAAAACCTTTATTTCATTTATACGAGTGACTTGTTATTGGTTTATACAAGTTTATACGATTGGATTGTTATTGGTTAATCCTGTTTAAATATTTATATTTTACATTTTAGATTATACATTTCGATGAAATATGGTTGGCTTATTTTCTATATTTAATTACCGAGTACAGAGAGCCTGCATTGATATATCGTAACATGTTTCATGCTTTATTAATCTGGCCAGCACCTTGTCTGCGTCTCTCTGCTGAGCTGGAGATGGGCCGTCCATCTTCACGAGACCACTGGAAATAATGTGGAGGACTTCCAGACACCTGGCACCTAAGAGTGACGGGCAGACCCTGTGCCACCTGAACCCTTTCTGGATAAACCTTCACCACCAGAAAAGCAGCATCTGACAACATACAAACACACTTTATCACAGCCTGTCCGATAGAAACGCTAAATCACAATTTACATGTTTTTGTAGACACCTCATGAAATCAATGACAATGTCTTTTTTATTTCTGTGTTGATATATTACGAACAAAATAGAATGATTGTATTTTCTGACACTGCAGGCAAAATATACATCTGAATTGAGTGTTTTTTCATATAATCTCAAGGAAACATTCAAAATCCCCAATTAAGCATTTCTGTTGTAGCATTTATCAATTTGTGTCTGTAGATTTCATTTATATTACATATTTTTTAAAGGCTGTATATTTTATGTTATTTCTTCTTGAGCCATAAATTTCCACTTGTCTTTTTAATATCTGGTTACTGAAGGTTTGTACTTAGGGATATATGCACAGATAATATGCTTGATTATAAACAGCATATTAATTAAAAAAAAAATGGCTGTTACAATTAAATGTTTATGAATGTTTGCAGTCATATCTGGGGTGGTTCTCAGAATCCATGCTGTAAAAGACTATGCTTCTAATATGTGAAAAAAAAAAAAAAATCACATTTTGATCCTGACTTGTACTGGAAATATATGCAAATTACCACATATTAAATGAAATGCCTCATTTGTGCACTTAAAGATAACATATAAGAAAACTGATAAGTATATATATATAAGTAACTATTATTACTCAGTTTTTTACTCTTTGATCAAAGTTGGCATAAAACTATCCAACATGCACACCTATTCTTGGTTTGGAACAATTTTTAAAAACTTTTTTGATTCACTTCAAAACTAATGTATTCACCTGCAGTGTCTCGCCTTATATGAAAATTAACTGATATTTGCTAATATGCTTTCAAACGTATATTTAAATTTCTGCACAATAAGATGAATAAAAATGATATATATATATATATATATATATATATATATATATATATATATATATATATGTGTGTGTGTGTGTGTGTGTGTGTGTGTGTGTGTGTGTGTGTGTGTGTGTGTGTGTAAATCTGCGATCTCATGTTTAAAAGAGAAACCAATTTTTGTCAGCGTTTATTGATGGCTAATTGAATACATTGATAAGGATGTTGCACACTTCTTTTGTGCATGTGTGTGTGCGTGCATATGTGTGTGTGAGAGAAAAAAAGTTAGTGATTGATAGAACGTATTACCCTTTATTAACTAAGATTTAACAAGCTTTGAGATCAAGCCTATTGAGAGCTCGAGGCTTACAAGCAAATTCTTTTTGCGAATACTATCATGTTTTTGAATGTAAAACTATGCAGATGGCGCTATGTGGTGTGGCAGGAATATGGACAGTGTGCTGACTGCCTAAAATATGCGGGAAATCTCTGGCAATTGAAAATTTATTTTGCAAGCTCCCTAAAATTGAGACATTTTATTTGATTTTGCATTAAATTCAGCTATGGTGGAATTGCGAAATCCTCGAGGATCTGAATAAAAGTGATATAAATGAACAGATACAGTACCACTGCGACAGGGGACTCTTGCTTGTGGATTTCCGACATAACCAGGTGCACAGCTGTGAAGAAAGCAAAATCACATCAAATAATGGTGCTGTCACTAATAAAATCAAAGGCAAGAGTGTTTGAATGGAGTCGTAATGGTACACACCGCTCACAGTACTGGCCAAGGTATCCAGGCTGACAGGCGGTGCACTGGTATCCTCCATTCCCCAGACTTTCACAGGTACGAGAAAACCTACAAAAGACAAGACTATTAAAAATCTTGCTGAAAGCAAACGGTAAACACTGTTGCAGACTCGGGTGAGACTAACTGGTTTTCGGGGTCAGTGCCGGGACAGGCACATGGTTGACAGTCCTCTGGGGTCCCAGCGGTCGGGTCTCCAAAGAAGCCATCGACACACTGTTCACACAGCTCACCCTTGGTGTTGTGTTGACAGTTCTGATGGTCAAGAAGACATCATAGTATGGACTACTTTTATAAGGGTCATTTAATAATAATAATAATAATCATAATAATAGCAATAATAATAATAATAATCTTAATAATATTAATAATAATAACAATATACAAATTAGAAAATATTAGAATTAGAATGTCTTCTGTAGAAGACATTATTTTACATATTATTTACTCTAATAATTCACATAATTTCTTTTTATTAGACCATATTACGAAAAACTATAATATATAATATTTTCTAAGATCACTTAGGGTAAAATTAAATCTAGTTAAAATTAAAAATAGCTATTCAAAACATTCAGGCAAATGATATTTTATTTTTACATAGTAAGAACTATTTCTTATTGTATTATACAGTATATTACAAATGTACAGGTATAATACTGTCTTTGAAAGCGCGATATATTATTAATGAATTGATTTAAATTCTTCCTTGACGAACTGATTTTGTTAAAACATTTATAGATTTTTTTTATGGGCGAGTAAAAACAACATATATTTATTTGTGATGCAACTAGAGTGTATTTTTTAATATTAAAATTAGTCTTTTAATTTTTTTACAATTTGCTCAACACATTTTAAATGATACTTTTAGATTAAACCCAATAAAATTATTTTGTTAAATAATGTATTGACATACTTTAATTGTAATATTATAAAATTACTTTGTTATGCTAGTATTTTATTTTAATTTAAAAATAACTTATTACATTATTATTTTATTCTATTATGTTTTATACAAAAATCATTCAACTATTCAAGTTGACTAAAGATAATGATGCACTTTTATTCAAGTATTTAGAGAGCAAATAAAATCAAAGCTTTTTATGATGCAGTTTCTATTACAATTAATTTGTAAACAATATATGATAAAAATATAACATTTTATTAACTACATTGTTTCTTTTAAACGTTTAAATAAAGACAACTTATTTCTTTCATTTACATTTAACTTTAGATCATTTTAGAACTATTTACTTTAGATTATAAATCACTCAAAAATAATGATTATAGTTTATGAGTGACACATTATTATTTCTTTTATTAAATCATAATATAAAGAAATACATTTGGCACTATTCAAGTTAACTATAAAAGTAGAGCAGCACACTTTTTGTCCCAGAACTCTTTGATGCACTTGTAGAAAAGCACAGCATGCTGGAAAAGCTTCATACCGTGCAGATGCCAGTCTCTGGGTGACAGGTGTCTGAATGGCCGTTACATTCACACGGCTCACAGTGACCCAGGTACAGGCCTCCTCCTGTGCGAGTGTATCCAGAAGCACAGTCCTAAACAACATCAAGAGCAAAAATACAGACGTCTGCACAGAGTAACACTTTCACCAACACCACTGCATCCTAAAACGGATGGGCAGTTTTCTAAAATATTTTTCTATATTATATTTTCTATATAAAAAATGTAATATTTTATTATTGAAGCTAAAACCAATCAATATTTTCAATATTAGGTTCAATAAAAGAGATGCTATTTTTGTATTTTTTACAATTTATATTGAAATATAAAGTATGTTATATCAAATATATTCACAACAAGTGTATGCATTATATATGAAATTATTCCTTTTTTAGAAAACTAAAAATCTTTATGTAAAGTAGGCTGCCCCAAGGCTGCTAATCTTACAACTCCCCTAGAGCACAGTTACAGTTGAGTTTGACCATTTTTGAATCCATTCAGCCAATCTTTGGGTCAGGCAGGAGCACTTTTAGCTTAGTTTAGCTTAGCTTAGCATAGATGATTGAATCAGATTAGACCATTAGCATCTCACTCAAAACTGACCAAATAGTTTTGTTAATTTTCCTATTTAAATCGTCTGTAGTTAAATCATGTACTATGACCGAAAAATCTGAAGTTGCTATTTTCTATCTTGCTATTTATTACTTAGTTTCTTGTTTATTACACCGGAATGAGAGTAAAGTTCCTAGCCATATCGGTCTATGTTGAACCAAAATATCTAGTTCAGTTGTTTACATGAAGTAATTTTAATGGCAAAATCTCATTATAAATTAATTAGGCAACTAAATGTGAATGCAGTCAGTGATGACGCTTCTTTGAACCCCTTAGCTGTTACCGTAAAAGAGGTGGAACATTTTCAGAACATGTTTAAATCCTTTTTTGTCTAAACCTGAGGTTATTTATAATAAGCATACTTTATATCACCTACAATTTTCTAAAGTGAACTCAAAATGTGGGGTGACAGCTAAGGGGTTGAACACTATTCTCACTTCTATGTTATTTTGTAAATGAATGTCCAGTTAAGACTTCCTTAAAGGGGTGGTCCACAGTGTATTTATAAGGCTTGGTTGCGTTTATAAGCAAAGAAGCGTGTGCTCTTGCTCCTTTTGTAAAAAAATCATGTTATTTTCCCAATATCTTTGATTATATACAACTACTCTGCTAACATGAAAACGATTGTCATATTTCCTATTTTCTTAAAGGCCCGCCCTCAAGAGGCTCTGATTGGTCAGCTAACATAATGTGCTGTGATTCACAGATTGGCTCCATGTCACGCTCCTACATGCACAAGCGCTGTGTAAACAGTCCAGTCAGAGCAGCCATCAGCAGCGTTAGCTGCCTGAATCCGACAGAGAAATTAACAGCACACAGCTGAAAAATACTTACAGGTTGTGGATCACAATCCACAGCTTCATCAGTTGAATCCAGCACCAAACAGAGAGACTCTGAAAGCTATCCTTCGTCAAATGCTAGCTATATATTTTTTCTAATTCTTTGGAACATAATTAAAATTAAACTGTAAGCTCTTCTCTCTTTGTGTTGTGTCCTTTGAAAACCAAAATACAGAAACAGAACAAGCTCTGTGGAAATAGCAGCGTTTGGACAGCATTTTAGCTTTCTCTGCTATAACATAACAGTGCCTCTGGCCATGCCCCTTCGCTGTGCAGGGTGTGCGCGTGTGGTGAATGCGCATAAACAGAAGCCCCTTTCTATCCTGCAATCTTTGCTAAGCTAACTCTGTAAAAGCCAATGTCTCTCTTTACATTGAACTTTGAGCATATTACATTCAGAGATGTTGTTTATGTTCGCACAGCTACATTACGCATTAACTAAAGTTTCAAATATGATAGCATAGTGGAACACCCCTTTAAATCCATGAAAACCTGAAGTCTTCCTCTATGAGATCAGATGAATGTGTTCTCGGCTCGTTAAAGTATACTAACAAACATCTGCGCCAAACTGAAGTCATGAACACTTTTTTCATACCATAGATTAGTAATAATGTTTTAGTGTTTGTATTGTATATATACACGAATCCGCATTGTGGTGGTGCTGTTGTAGTAACTCCATTTTAAATCGGCATAGTTTGCACACTACATGATTGTTATTTTTGCTCAAAGTATCTTTAGACTTCAATTTAGTCAGCCAAATACGATTTCCACTGCTCGCTCCACAGCGCCACCTTACGTATATTATTATAACTGCAAGTTTTAGTTTGCACACTCACTATCTATAATGGGTTCCATTTAGCAAGTTCAACAGCGTTATCATTTTGCTAATTATTGCAGTTCAAATATTGACCCAATCCTGCACATCCCAAGTTCCTACCTGACAGGACAGCCCGCTGTACCCAGGAGGACACTGGCACTGCTCCACCTCCAAAGCCTGAGCCAGGCTGGTGTACTCAGGCACAGCCACATCCATGTGGACACCAGAAATACTGGACGAACGCATCTCTGTGTGATATGAGGCTCGAATCAAGATATCATCAAGGTCCGCCAGCACCATCATCAGGTGTTCCCTGGTCGCTGGCATGCCATCAGGACGCTGCCAGTGCTCCTATAGTGTTAACATTATGTCAAATGTTACACCAAACCTCAAATTCTACTTTGGTAGCAATGACATTTTGATGCACATTATGAATGAGTTCGCACCTCTCTGAAGACAATCTCAAAGTCCTGTGACTCCCGTGCACCGTGACCTCTTTGCCATATTTGCCGTGCCACCAGTGTGATGTCATTACCCTGTGGAAATATTATTTAACAGATAGTGGTTAAGAGTCTCATTCATGTCAAGACACACTGCAGATTGTTACAGATAAAAATGTGGTACTCACAATAATCTGAACATCAGCATCCTCTATTGGAGAACCACGAGGTCCAGGAACGTAGGAGATGGTGTACTTAAGCTTACCTCCATATGCTCCAACCTACATAAAAAGCAAAAACAGACCATTTGAAAACTCTCATTATCCTATTTTTTGTTACAAAAAGCACTGGTATAATATACAGTGGCAAATATGTTTTTTTTTTTTTTTTTGAGTATTAATACTCAAAATTAGGCCCACACGGAATCTGAGCGTGGAGAAATCTGCAGATTTTCAACCCATCAAGTCTATTTATTTGTTGTGTCTGAATGTGTGTAAATTTATATATTTATTTACTTTTTATATAAATTTCAGTAATATTACTGACAAACATGAATATGTTCATACTGTATGATTTATTTACAATACAGTTTGTAAAGTAATAATTACTGTCTTTTAGTAGTTATATGGTATATATATTATATGAGAGACTTGCTTTGTTTACCAAATAACTGGATCCTAAATCTGCCTAAACTGACACAAGCTATTTTTTTTTTTGCATTCATTACAGGATTAAATAAAATAAGTATAATAAATAAAATAAAAACGTTAACTAAATAGAATGTTTAATAATTTCTTTATAATAAAAATTAAATAAAGTATTTTGTAATGACCAATTTCAATAATTGTGTTGGTTTTTCTGCGGCTTCCATTTAATGTAAAAAATAGAAAAAAACTTTCTTTTTTACTTTAACTTATGTGAATTATAAAAAATTAAATTAAATTAAATGTCAAAAGTAACTGTTTAGTTGATCAAAAATGCTTAAAAAAATAATAATAATAATAAAAAATTACTATAACAATTTAATTTAGGAGTTTTACTTGGTTGACCAAAAATATAAATGCAATTAAAAGGTAATTTTTGATTTTTAACTATTTGTTTTCACTTTCATTTTGTGGTTTTCCCCATAAGAAAAGACTTTTTAAAAATATAACTGTCAACTGATTTTAATAATTGCCTTTTTTATGGTTGATAAAAAAAAGAAATATACCAATTTAAACACTTTTCACAGTGTTTTCTATCATTATTTCTTTTCTTATTATTTACATTTTAATTAAAACTAAAAGGTTAGCAAATCACCATGTTAGACATACAGTTAACCTCTACCTTCAATATTCAAAGCAGCGCATTTTTCCTGTCAGCAGCACATTAATAACTGCTCTAGACATGACGTGATTAGATAAACCATGTACTTTAGGTTGGTTTAGATTAAGCAATGTTCTGACATGTTAGGTATTGTTTCAGTACTGTCTAAGTCAGGAGTTCAGCCCATCCATGTGTTTACCTTCTCCCCTTTGAAGGGCTCCGGCAGCTGCCAGAAGAGCACGTCATCTGGGTGCAAACTGAACCCATTGTAGACCAAAACATACTGGAGCAAGAAGAAGGATATACAGAAAAGCATGGATGAAGAAAAGACAGAGAAAAGCAGCAGATAAGCAAAGCAGAGAGGAAAGAATCTATTCCTGCTTTCACTGGTTAACCACAACAACTTCTTACACTCTATGGCAATACTGAGAGGATTTTGATTTACTGTTGTTTTATACAGAAATATGCATTCTATATTTTATATCCTAAAGATATACTTATGAGAAAATAAAATTTGTAGAGAAGATGTTCAAAAATGAAAACGTTATAAAATTTTTTTATCAACAATCCAAAAATCAATCAATTCTTGTTGATAAAAATTAATTGTATTCAATCAACCAATCAATCAATTAATAAACTAACCAACTAACCTTTTAATCCACCAACCAAGTAAATCTTGAACCAAACCAACCAATCATTCGACAAGCCAACCAAACATTTAACCAACCGCCCAAATCAACCAGCAATCAACAAACCAATCATTCAACCAAACAAATACTTAACCAGCCAACCAACCAACCATCCAATCATTCAACCAACAAACCTTCAACCAACTAACTAATCCAACCTTCATCCAACCTATCATTCAACCAACTAACCAACCAATCATTAAACTTCATATCTTCCTAGGCCCAAACATTTGGACAGCAGAATGTACTGAACATTTTCAACTTGTCCTATATTTCCTTGTGACAAGTGACTACCTTGTTCGATGGGACAGGTCTTGGACCTCTAACGACACCAATGATGTTTTTTTCCTGTTCCACCTGCTGATAAGATCAACATCCAAACCATGAATCAAACAGCAAAACAAAGAAACAAAAAATTTTTCATGGAAAGAGATAAAGGTTGAACAAAAGCTAAAAAAAAAAAAAAAAAAAATATATATATATATATATATATATATATATATATATATATATATATATATATATATATATATATATATATACATATCTTTGTGTAATCCCAAGCCTGTATGGCTTACTTTTGTAAACCATATTAATTTATCTCAACAATAAATTTATGTTGATGGTGTACATTATCACATACCTTACAAATATTGATATGGACAAAATAATTTGAATTTGATTACATGCATATACATGTTTTGATTGACATTAAGGTGACAATTATTGTTTGCTGAGTGAGCAATCATTTAAAACCAGGGATCTTCATCCTTCATCATAAAGGGATCATAAACAATCACTTTTTCAGGTCAGTCTCTATGCCAGCCCTGTCCCCTGGTGCTATATTTATAACAATTTTTCAAAAGTTCTGATAAAAATGAACACAAGTAAATTATCAGCAAATTTTCATTCTTAGAAAAAATGAATTCCTTTAACTTGAAAAATAACATTGACTTGAACAGTAACCTTGACTTGAAATAGAACAAGCTCCATTTATTTGATCAAAATATTAACAAACATCATTATCAGCAAATTTTCTTGGCATTCAGTGGCTCTTACGCACAGCAACCAAGCAAATAGTTTGCTGGGACTATGCTAATTCAATAGTTTACATTTATAAGGTAACAACTTAATAATATGATTGCTTCAAAACAAGCAGTATGCAAGGCTGGGGTACTTTATTTAAAGGTGTCATATAAATAAAATACGGGTATACCTAGGCACAGTCGAATAATAAGAGATCAGTATATGAAAATGGGCATATAGTGAGCCTATTTTTGATGTAAATTTCACAAGTGTAAACCCATAGTGGATTTGAGGCCAATCAGAACACAAAGCAGACTGTTGCGTGACTCACACCCTTAGCATTTGCATGTACATGTCATTCATCCAGACTTGATGAGCAGCGTGTCATCATAAAACACAGACTTATATGCAGCTCTGGAATCATTAATATGCACTCCTCAAGCTGCATTTGATAAGCCACATAATAGTGAGACACTAATGATAATTTTCTTCCCTTAGCTATTTTTAAGTTTATATTTCACTTACTACGCAAGTGAAAATTTACTTTGAAAAAAGGAATACCCAGATCACGAGTAATGTTCAAACTCTCAACTGGACTTAAAAAAGTAGGATTTACAGATAATGCATTTATTCAGCTCCACTAAAAAAAGGCATGAAGTATGTTAAATTGTAGGTTTTGTTCATTTATCGTGTTTATTGTGAAATTTGATGTGTTTACTTCAACAAACATTTAGACTGCTATTTCAACAAACTTTTAGACTTGTGGCAAATCATGTCAACTGTTGATGCAGGGGTTGATATTAATTCCTCGCTGTGTTTTCTTTGACATTACAGCTCAAAAATACAACACAATAAACCTCTATCACCCTCTTTTGTTAAATTGAATTATAATTTAGCCTTTATCCACAACAGATCTCATGAGCAAAATACTGTGGGTTAATGTTACTCTGATGGGTTTATGTTAGAGAGCACAATCTCTACATGTAGGTCAAATAAACCTCATCTTTATTTTTATTTCTCTAGTGCTTTTTAGTGATGGGTCGTTCTTGAACGATTTGTTCATTTTGAACGAATCTTTAATATGAACCGGGAACTACGAGTCCTCCCAGGGAGTGACTCGTTCATCAGCGCGTGCGCGCATTTGTGGAGGTGGTATCATTTATTTCAAGTCTTTTGAGTCAATCATCGTGGAAAGGCAGAAGCCAATCATATGCGTTTAGAGCCGGAAAAAGCATTGATCCGTTCATAGACAAAAGAGCAGGTAAACACTGAATTATTATTTTGTCCTTCTTATAGTATTCTATTTATGACTTATTTGTCATGTGATTAACCTTTTGAGCTAGTTGTAGATGTGTTTGAAAGCAATTCGTAACATATTAATAATAATTTGGCAAATTGAACCAAATGAACGAAATGACTCGAAAAAAGATTCGTTCATCTAGCTGAACGAGACTCAAAGATCCGAGTCAATAAAATGATTCGAACTTCCCATCACTAGTGCTTTTATGATGTAGATTGTGTCAAAGCAGCTTAACATAGAAACCTCCACTCATTAAGTTCAAAAGACTTAACTAGGTATCTACTTTATTTGTTAAAATAGCTAACTAATCCAAATATGGTCAATTATGGACCTTCTGATTTCCAGGGATATTTTATCGAATAAATGATCATATAATGCTGTTTCTGGAAATTTTTGGAACTTACCCAAGCGCCATATGCATACTATGTAGATATCAGAGAACAATTTAACTTATTGAATGAATGCAGTATATGGCACCTTTAAACAAATCCCCTTTCTTTTTACTGCTCATGTGCCAGAGGTTGCAGAGCCCTAATATAAGGCAATGTGATCTCACAAAAAACATCAACTTTCTAAGCACAAATGGCCAAATTTTAAATGAGTCATTAACACCCACCAGTGAGAGCATACAGTACCTGAGTGGAGTCAGGATGAGAGGAATGGGCCGGGTCGCTTGAATGCGACTCAGAGGCTTTTAAAGGGGAGGTTAAACCAGAATGGAAAGAAGGATCACGCACACTTGATAGAGACAGTGAATTCTGGGCTTCAAATGAAGAAGAATGGGAAGATTGAGAGGATGAAGAGAAAGGGAAGGAAGACTGGCCATTGGAGAAGTTAGTGATGATTTCCCAGATTTCATCATCAAGTTTGCGTGCTTCATCAGCAGGGTACTAGTGAGAATAAGACAAGTGGATGAAAGAGACTTAAAGGCCTTGTTCAGTCACACAGCCAGTATTAGAATGTCAATTCAGCTTAAATGCCAAAATAGATTAATACTTTTAATTATAAATCATTTTAATTATAAATAATATTTTTAAATAAATAATTTGTTATAAATTAATTTATTTTAACTATAAATAAATACAATTTATAAACCATTATAAACAATTTCTAGGAGTACATTATTTATTTTTATAAACAATTTTTACACACACATATATACAGCTGAAGTCAGAATTATTAGCCCCCCTGAATTACTAGCCTCCCTGTTTATTTTTTTTCCCAAAATGAATCCAAAATGTTGCAAGTTCAAAATATAAAGTTCATTAGCATTTGCTAATTTATTTGAAAGTCTCTTATTCTTATCAAAGGTTCCTTTAAATGATTTAAATGTATGATTTTTATTACAAATGATGTTTTACAGTTAAAAATAACTGTCTTCTATAATAATATGTGTTTAAAAAAAACTATTAAAAATGTAACTTTATAAAATTTCAGCCGTATCATCTTCGGTGTCAGAGAATTCTACAAATATCATTTAAATAACTATTTGCTGCTCAAGAAACATTTATAATATGTGAAAAACAGTTGTCCAGCTGGGTTCTTTAATAAAGAATAAAAACACATTACTTTGAAAATAAAATAAACTATTTGATAAAATATTTTGAAATATTAAATCACTGTGAAGGCATTTATGTGTATTATTGCCAATTACGAGTTTTAAACTTCTTCTAAATAAAAAAATTTAAATAAAAAAATAAATAATAATGATAATAATAATAATAACAATAAAAACTGTAATTAACAGAAGTTCTAAATAAGAACATTCGGTCTAAATAAATGCAGCTCACAGATATTATCACTTGCAGATGAAAATGTGTTCAGTCAGTCCTATTGATCAAGCTGGAAGAAAACAACAGGTTTGCATGCAGCAAAGCCAAAGACACAGTTGACAGGAAAGCATGGCACTGTACATGCAGCCAAACACATGATTAAATGATGAGGAAGGATGCCAAGTATGCTCTCACCTCCAATTTGTTTAAGCGGTGTTACCCATTCAAAATCAATAAAATATTTTCTAACCTCTGTTTGTTTCATGCAGCTTTTTCTCTGAAGTTTTTTTTTCCTTTATTAAAATCTCAAAGATGCTTGTTGATCTTGTTGAACTTTCCAGCAGTTGATTTATTAGAAGTATTGATAGATAAATTAATATGATTATGTCTGTCTTCTAAATCTTTGTTTTTAACCGAGACCTAGAGTGCACACATGCTGAAAAGTACAAAATGTTCCATCTGAAAAATTATAATTAGGCCACTGTTTTGGTCAAACCAAAAGTTGCTGTCGTGGCTGAAATTTTCAATGCATCCTTACAATACACCATTGACCACTTTTGTTTTGAAATCACTTCTTTCGGTTTTGATCTGGCCTCACATTGGACTAAGTGTGTAAAATTTTCAGATACTTAAAAGAATAGTTAAATAAATTATAAATCTTAAAATAAAGTGCACATGTACACTACCTGACAAAAGTTTTGTCCTTGATCCCATTTGTAAGAGCAACAAAAATGAACTTGACTTTTAGTTGATCATTTGAAAAAGTGGCAAAAGATAAGATTTTTCTAATGAATCATCTGTTGAACTGCATCCCAATCATCACAAATACTGCAGAAGAGCTATTAGAACCAGCATGGACCCAAGATTCTCTCATAAATCAGTCAAGTTTGGTGAAGGAAAAAACATGTTTTGGGGTTACATTCAGTATGGGGGCATGCGAGAGATCTGCAGAGTGGATGACAACATCAACAGCCTGAGGTATCAAGACATTTGTGCTGTCCATTATATTACAAACCACAGAAGAGGGAAAATTCTTTAGCAGGATAGCTCTCCTTCTCATACTTCAGCCTCCACATCAAAGTTCCTGAAAGCAAAGTAGATCAAGGTGCTCCAGGATTGGCCAGCCCAATTGCCATATATGAACATTATTGAGAATGTCTGGGGTTGGATGAAGGAGAAGGCATTGAAGATGAATCCAAAGAATCTGGGAATCCTGTAAGAACGCTGTCTTTGCCATTTCAGATGACTTTATTAATAAGTTGTAGAGATGTATGGATGCAGTCTTTCAAGCTCATGGGAGTCATACACAATATTAATTCTTTTTCCACTGCACCAGGACTTTATATTCTACTCTGTATATTATTTCTGTTAAGTGACAATACTTTTATCAAAGCAAAGTCAGAGTTTACTGTCCTAATTAAATAATTAAAAATCAAGACATGATCATATTTTATTTAGGTAAAATAAGCGTAATCTAGAGGCCTTTGCCTTTAATATAAGCCACTTATGATACCAAATGATCAACTAGAAGTTAAGCTATTATTTGTTGTTGTTCCTAAAACTTGGATAGGCAAGACTTTCAGATAGTGTAGTGTTACTATATTTAAACAACTCCTAAGCATGACATAAATGTAATCTAGATTGGCCTATCATGAAATCCCATGCACTTCAAAACAAAGCAAAACAAAATATGTAAATGTGTCAAATATTCAGAAGAAATATTTCAAAATCACTGCACAAGTGACCCAAATCAAGCATCACACGATTTCTAAAAATACGACAAACCAAATTAAAACATCAGACACATTCTCAACAAACGTTCACTGAACCTGTGAGGATTTTACCTGGTTTGCTCGTCTAGTCCGAGCAGAGGAAGCCTTCTAAAAGTGCAAGTAAATTTAAAAACACTTAATTTAGCGCATCGTATCCAGAACAACTTAACAAATCAAAAGCTAAACAAATCTCTAGTCAAATTAAGCCTTTCCAAACCCAACTTGTTGATACAAGAAGTTTTTGTTTACACTCCAACATCTACAAAAGTTTCCTTGACTTAAGAACATTTTGAAAAAAGGTGTTGGCAGTGTGCATTTGCAGAATCAAACAGGTTTGCAGAGTAATCAAAGAGATAGAAGATGCACTTCAGGCAAACAGGCTTGCACTGCAAAAAATGCTTTTCTCACTTCTGTTTCTACTCCAAATGTATAAAAAATACTTAAATCAAGAAGCATTTTCTAGACAAGCAACGATGTAGTTTTATTTTTTTAAACAATAGGCAAAATTCAAGGAGATGAAAAGGAAAATTCTGTCATGGTTTGCACATCTTAGACTGGTTTCAAACCAGTCAGATTTTTTGTTGTGCTTATCACAAAAGAAGATACTTTGAAAAATGTTGGAAATCTGTAACTATTGACTTCCATAGTCGGAAAAATAAATACTATGGAAGTCAATGGTTCCCACCTTTCTTCAGACTACATTTATTTTTTATTTTTAACAGAACAAAAACAAATCTCAAATTGGTTGGGAACAAGTGAAGGTGAGTAAATAATGGCAACATTTTTGGGTGAACTATCCCTTTTAGTGCTTTTTTTGTTTGTTTTGTTTTGTTTTTAACAAGCAAAATAATATGAATGCCTGACACGGTGGCTAAGTGGTTAGCACTGTCACCTCACAGCAAGAAGGTCACTGGTTCGAGTCCCAGCTGGGTCAATTGGCATTTCTGTAAGGTGTCTGCATGTACTTCCTGTGGACTGTGGGGGTAAACCGGACCACCCAGAGAAAGCCCACGTGAACAAAGGTAAAGCTATGAGTAAAGTGGCCTTAGTGTATGAGTGAACGTGTGCTTGCGAGAGTGTACAGTTGTTTCTGAGTACTGGGTTGAGGCTGGAAGAGCATCTGCTATGTAAATCATATGCTGGAATAGTTGGTGGTTCATTCTGCTGTGGCGACTCCTGATGAACAAAGGGACTAAGCCGAAGGAAAATGAATTAATAAATAAAAATAAGATGGCAATGGGTTGTGAAATAATCTTATTTCAAACCAAAAACAAGATTATTTTTATCATTTTGATTTATAATTTCTGAAGGAAAAAAACATTATATATTACCCATCTAGAAAATGCTTGTAATTTTTTTTAATTTTTAGATATTTAGACTTGAATTTATACAAAAATTCTAAGTATGAAAGTATGTTTTGCAAAGTGTAGGAACAATAAAATGCAAAAAATTGTCAATCTCAACCTTGTCTCCTTGATAGGCCTTGGGTAACTGCCAATAATGAGGCTCCTGTCCGAGATAGTTGAAGTTGGTGTAGGAGAGTTGTGTCCCCTCAGTGGACAGCTCTACAGAAAAGCCATTGTCAATGCGGTTTGTGCGCTGGCGGTTTACAAGAGCAAAACCTTGGTAGTTTCCAGGGGAAAACATGGTGGAAACCTGAAGGAAAAGGGACAGGAAATGAACACATGCAAATACGCCTGATGAAAAACCCTGGTGTAGTTGATCAGGCCTTACCACATCCCTGTAGTGACGGGAGCTGGTGCACTGTTGAGTGACGCCCATGCAAAAGCAGGACAGACAGCCATCTTTGTTAGCTGGACTAAGGTGGAAGGTTCCTTGCTTGCAGGAGGAACATGTTGGACCCTCAACGTTCATCTAAGTACAAAAAAAGTTTGCTTTAAAATGGTTTCTATAATTGAGATGTACACAACATGATTTTTTTTTTACCTTGCAACGACAGACTCCTGTTCCACTACATCCTTCACTACCACTTTGATCACAGCGATAACAATCTATAAACGTTTTAAATATTAGTCATTTTTACTTTGTAGCTATTATTTTATAACTTTTGATTTTAGCAATAATTGTTACACATTAAAAATCCCAGTCTTACCACCATTGTTGCTCCCTGGAGTGCATCTTTGTCCAAGTTGGGGATTGCCAATATATCCAGGAGCGCATCTGAGGGAAATCAAGACAACACCTTGGAAAAAGGGTTTCAGAACATCATGCAGCAAAAATAATAAAACCACAGAGGGAATTACCAAAGACATGAGAGGACCTGCCATGAACATTAAGAGCGATTTATGACTGTTATGACCTGTGAGTCACAGCTCTTTGAAAAAATAATTAATGCAAAGCTTCTTCAAATGCTGTCTGAACATTTTACAGACATGCTAATTAAGCCCACCTAAAGGTACTTTGATTTGTGTATAGAAGAAACTAATATGACTGAAGCTTGAGAAAGCAGTTCCCAACCAGAACTTTGACTTGTGCAAATTGTTAGCATTAATGCTAATGCTCATCACAGGAGTTGACTTTACACTTACAGTATCTTAAAGAAATAGTTGAACTAAAACTGAAAATTCTGTCATTTAGGCTACGTTCACACTGTGAGGCTTAGTGCTCAAATCAGACTTTTTTCTCAGATCTAATTTTTTTGCATGGATGTTCACACTGCTCTTTTAAATGTGGCCAATACCAGATTTGCATTGTGAACGGATCATGGTCCTAAACTGACCCGCATGCGCAAAAGAACATCACGGAGAGCACAAAATGTCTAATTATGCACACAATATGCATGAAGTAAGCACGTTGTCAGATCATGCTTATATGATATTTTCCCTTTTCACAGACAACCGTGGTGTATTTCATGAACTGTAAAGGGTTGTTCTGCTACTACTAATGTTTATTTTGGCATTTGAGACCTAAAATAAGTCTCTTGTGATTGAAAATGCTGATCTTTTGTGATTTACGACTACTGCAGTGCTTGGTGCTGTGACCACCGGTGTAGTGAACTAATCAAGGGTTAATGAGCAGCCGCAGACTGAACTGTGAAGGTGGAGTTGGTTTATCTATGTTTGCAGAATTATTTAATTTTACTTCGTTATAAACAACAGACACGTGCAAAGGGAAGGTTTATGTGCTCGAGCACCTGCCCTTTTTTTTCTCTGAGAAAAAGTTCCCTGTCCTTTGCACACAGATCCCCTATCCGTAACACCCACAATGCTCTTCAGCTTTGTGATTAACCTGTGCCTTAATCGTTAACCACATTAGTTAACAAGCACCAGTTTTGCCTTCACAATCTTTTTTTGGAATCTAATCTAAATCTAAACGAACCAACTTTCTGTGGTACTCTAATTGCCATGCGTCCTTACTGCTGGGAGGTAGATTTTGTTTGCAGCACAGAATGATGATGAATGTCGTTTAAAGATTATGTAAAAGTCAAATTAAATTTGACAACCGTTCCCACTGCAGTCGCATTGCAAAACATCAGATCTGTGTTTGATTTTTTGATTTAAGACTACATATTAAAGTGGCATAAATCTGAACTGAAAAGATCAGATTCCATGCGGTTTGGGCTGTTCATACTGTCATTATTAGTCACATGAGGAAGAAAAAAAATCAGATTTGGGCCACATTTGCCTGCAGTGTGAACGTAGCCTTACTTTTTCTTGACTTGTTACAAACCAGTTTAGAGTTGTTGTTTTTTAACACAAAAGTAGATATTTTGGAAAAGTAAAAAATTTTTAACCATTAACTTCCATGGTAATTGTTTTTCCACCTATGGAAGTCAAAGGTTACAGGTTTCCAACATTTTACAAATATCTTGGTTTGTGTTCAACAGAAAAAGTAAACTCATAAAGGTATGGAACCACTTAAGGGTGAGTAAATGATGAGTAAACTTTAATTCTTGGGGTGAACTAACACTTTAAGTGTTACTTGGCCTTTACCAATACAGCAGTTTAAAGGCAAACAAGGCTTCAAAGCAATGGCTTAATGACCCAAATAAAACACCCAATATTGAAAAAAATATTTTGGCAAACCAACCAACCAGTGCTTAAAACATGACACGAAATATATGTTCACATCTACAAGCAGTTATTGATAACCAGAATCACATTTTGCATATCGCAAGCTGCACCAAACCACTGATATTAGTAACTTCTAATAGCCACCACATGAGAAACATTAGATAATATACAACAGAAGATCTATAGATCTATATCATATTACCCCACTTTCTGAATTATCGTTAAGAATGTTCTCATTCTTACTCCTTTGAGAAAACATTTACTTGACTAAACAGAGAAGAACTGAAATATATCAACTGAAGACAAGGACAGAAACAAAGCATCTAAGCGAGTGTAACCACCTTATCCCGAAGCTGAAGAACTGGACAAGAAGTCTTACCTGATAACTTGAGGTTCTGATGTCGTCCATGCAGGCTAAGACATTATATGCTTACACAACACAACACACTAATCCTTTCATGCTTTATACTGCTGAAAATACACAGCTGTTGCCATATTTGGAGAAGTTCAAATTTACAAGACTATACAAGTATGCAGCTTGGAAAAATATAAATTAATACATGTAAAACTGTACAAAAATAAATAGTATATCTTCCTGATGAGTAACTATACAAAATAGCATAATCAGTACATCCAACATATCACATAATAAAGAAATACTTAATGTCTGAAACCATAGTTTGATTGACCTGACATAACAGAACTGGGTCAACATGAAGGGCAAATTGGAAGGTGGCGCTATTCCTTTAATTAACCAATGGAAAAAGAGGGAAAAACTTTTTTTTTTTTTAAATACACACTGAGGAAGGCATTGTGCTGAGACTTTTGTGTCTTTAAATCACCCGAAGAATGTAAGAAGAAAAGCCTTTTTGTAAAAAAATACAATACAAAAAAGATAATGCTATGTTTGATTTACAGTTATGAATGATGACATGTAATGTAATTTCTGCATCTCTAAAAACTCAGCAAAGAGTCTCTGTTTTAAAGTATCAATCTGTAAATTGGTACAAAATAAAATCTAGTAATCAGGAATGATCTTTATGGGAATTGCCAGTCTTCCAAGAACAATATGAAGGTTCCCGTCTTGATTGAGCCTGCGTATTTTAGATTTTCGGCCCCTGCTGTTTTTCATGAAAATGTCTAAAATATTGACAGACTTAGACTTGTTCCTCGGAGTGGATTTTCTTGAAGTAGTCATTTTTAGTGTGGGTTTAGTAGAGTTTACTTTCATCTTCCCAGATGATTGACCAGAAGCAGTTGTGTAGGTAATTTCCTTTGGTAGGTTAGATCTCAAGTCTGATGCATCTCTAATTTTATTAGAAGAAACATCTAACTGACTTTGTTTGGAGGATTTTGGCTTGGAAAGTCTTCTTGTTTGGACATCGTGAGAAGTTTTGCTGATGTTTGTAGGCTTTACTAACAAACCATTTTGTTGTGTTTTTCTAGATTTGGATGGTTGATTTTGTGGAATAATAACCTCTTTTTGTTGTTTCTTTAATGACTTGGAAGATTTGACTGAGTCTTCAAACTGAGGGATTTGTGTGTGAGACGGAGGAGGAATCTGAAATTTAGTTGCAGAATCTTTTTCTCCTAGCATTCTTGAAGGAGAAGCCGATAGTGGGTCATGTTTTAACACTATTGACTTTGTAGATTTACTGGCTACTTTTGGACCAGTTTTGTGATGTTTTTCAGAAGACACATTTTGTCTGTTAGTCCTTGCCTGTGATATACGAGGAACTTTAGTCAGTGACTGGGATTGCTGATCATGTTTTCTTGTCAAGCCTGTTCTGTTAGACTCTGTACTTTTACCATTTACTTTTGGACCACTTTTATGATGTTTTTGAGTAGTTATATTTTGTCCATTACTCCTTGCTCGTGAGATAAAAGGAACTTTAGTTGGCGACTGGGATTGCGGATCACGTCTTCTTGTCAACCCTGTTCTGTTAGACTCTGTCATTTTACCATTTACTTTTGGACCTTTTTGTTGATGTTTTTGAGTAGTTGCATTTTGCCCATTACTTCTTGTCAGTGAGATAAGAGGAAATTTAGTCGGTGACTGGAATTGCTGACCACGGTGTCTTGTCAACCCTGTTCCGTTTGACTCTATAGTTTTATCATTTACTTTTGGACCTCTTTTTTGATGCTTTTGAATAGTTACATTTTGTCCACTATTCCTTGCCTGTAAGATAAGAGGAAGTTTAGTTGGTGACTGGGATTGCTGATCACGTTTTCTTGTCAACCCTGTTCCGTTTGACTCTATAGTTTTACCATTTACTTTTGGACCTCTTTTTTGATGCTTTTGAGTAGTTACATTTTGTCCTCTATTCCTTGCCTGTAAGATAAGAGGAAGTTTAGTTGGTGACTGGGATTGCTGATCACGTTTTCTTGTCAACCCTGTTCCGTTTGACTCTATAGTTTTACCATTTACTTTTGGACCTCTTTTTTGATGCTTTTGAGTAGTTACATTTTGTCCTCTATTCCTTGCCTGTAAGATAAGAGGAAGTTTAGTTGGTGACTGGGATTGCTGATCACGTTTTCTTGTCAACCCTGTTCTGTGAGACTTTGTATTTTTACCATTTACTTTTGGTACAGCTTTATGTAGTTTCTGAGAAGTTACATTCTGACCATTACTATTTGCCTGTAAGATAAGAGGAACATCAGTCAAGGCTTTTCTTTTTTGCTGATTTGATTGCGTGTTATTGGAGGTATCAAAATATGAAAGCCTCTTATTCCAAGGGACTGTTTCTCTCCAAGAAGAATTGGTATGGATTTTATTGTCTGCCCTCTGTATAAAATGGGTTTTGTTGTCTTTTCTAGTTGATACTAACTGGATTTTTTGTAACCTTGCTTGCATCCTACTCAAACTTTCATTGATCTGGGAAAGTCCATTTTGTGCAGTTTTGGTAGTGGTATAGATAGTACGATGAGTTGGCAGGAGTTTGGGAATGATGGTTTTCATGTGAAATCTGCTAGTAGACATAGTCATACGAGTTGTAGTCAAGGCTGGAATTTGGGTGGTAGTACTCGCACTGATTTTCTTACGATACTGTGGGAGACGTGCTGTATGACGAGCACGTTTCACTTTGTCAAGTTCTTGCGCAATGACAGTGAAGCCATCAATTAGTATCTCAAATCTTTGTTCTAGTTGACTTAGTCTTGTTTCAATGCCTGTGAATTTCTTGGCCAGCTCATTGACTTGGTCTTTCCTGTCGGTTGGAGAGAAAACACTGGTTAGAGTCTCCAGCTGAGAGCTGAAGTGATTGTTCTGCTTCCTCATGTTTTCGAGGCTGTCCTTAATATCCAGCGTGTTGCTCTCAAGCATACTTAATCTCTGGTTGAAGCGATTCATGTGCATCCTCAACATCAGCTGGAAGCTCTGCTGACGTGCTTCAGGACTTGGCGTGTTACCATAAATACTACTATTACTTAAACTGTGTGAAGTTGTTGACAGCAAAACTCTTGCAGTTTTTTCAAATCCTCCAAATCTATCATCTTTTCTACCATCAACGTCATGGCCAGCTGTATCCAGGACTTGCTTCTTCCCAGGACTGAGGTAGAAAGCATCATCACATGCAGTGGGGGGGGAACCTTTCGAACCTTCAAGGTAGAAGTCTCCGCAGTTGGAAACGCTGAGAGCCATGATGAAACAAGGTACAATGGTACCATATTTTTAAAATATAAGCCATTTGTATTTATTTTAACCCAAACACCGAAAAGGTTATGCACTTTGAGCAAGTGACAAGGATCCACATTTATCAACTTGTTTATGCTAAAGCATAAACAACCCTAGAGACCCACAAACGTCTAGTAAAAGAGTTTGAAAAGTTGTTCAAAATGTAGCAAGGGCTTTACAAAGATGCACTGAAGCAAACAAAAAGGATGCAACTCTTATTAAAAGTGACATTGTGCAACAGATTATTTCAACACCTTCAAATAGATCTTAGCTTTGCTAACAGTGGGAAGAAACTCTTTACTCTCATAGTAAAGAATTGAGACCTTTATGCTAATTTGCATGAAATCGGTACAGATTTCAGACATAACGTACATGAATACTTCAAGCGCTACAGCTTCCACTTACAAACTCCTCCAAAAAGGCACTTCAGACAGACATTGACACTTTGATATGGGTGGCACTGATTCAAGACTCGCTTCTCCCATACCACCAGAAAAACGCCATTCAATCACAAATGGCTGAAGAGATGCTGCAAAGCAACATGCTTTCTGGCAGTAAATAAAGAGATCCTGATCACCTCCATCACCAGTTTGAAGAGCCCAGCATTACAAGCAAACTAAATGAGAGATTTACCCTCTAATAAGACAATAGAAACATACCTTTCACAGCGCCTTCCAGTATAACCAGCAGGACATTCACATACAGGCTGTCCATCAGAGCCCAAGTAACAAGATGAAGGCCTTTGACAGACAAAGAGTATTAGATCAGATGAATTATTTGTTATGTCCAAAAGGTAAACTCTTCATAATACTTTTGATTAAGAATAAGGATAACTCACTGGTTACTGGTTTGTCCCAGACATGGACAGGGTCGACAAGCCTGTGGGTCGCCAGTCTTTGGATTTCCATAGTATCCAGAGATACAATTTTCGCAACGGCGTCCGATTGTGTTGTGCAGGCAATTCTAAAACAAAAGAAAAGATGATGAAGAACTCCAGACTAGACATGGGTCGACTTACTAATTACTTGACATTAGACAAGATTATGAATTTTTTTTTTAGATTCTTGACTAGTTCACTAGATACAAAAAAAAAGGATTACTTGATTAAAAAAGGTTGATTTGTTATTAAGGCATCAATTTACTATTTCATGTCAACTTCTTATCCAATAAGAGATTAATAGATTAGGGTTGACTTGAATTGATTTTATTATTATCATTTTGTTCATGGTAGACAACTAGTCAATCAGGCATGCAACAGTGGACTTATTATAATGAATGATTTTCACAATGCTCAGCAAGTCCATCAATCATTATTAAATGGCTAATTGGTTTATGTGGATAATATTGAGTAATAGGTTTTTAACAATAACAAAAAAAAAATGTTTAATGATTTCAACTGGGGTCAGATGAACCCAAGTTAAACCTAGTACACCCTTCCTAGTGTTTGGTTACTTATTAGTCAAGAAGCAACTGACTCCAGACAAGTCATTTCAGAACAACAAGTCATTTCTGCAATGGAAAGATAAACTCACCAGGCAATCTCCAGTCTCTGAGTCACAACTGCTAGCATGCCCGTGGCACTCGCACTTCTCACAGGTGCCAAGATAAAGTCCAGGTGTACGGGTGTAGCCCACATCACAGTCCTGCAAACAATGGCTGAGTCAGAGGTGACGGAGTTCATAATGTAGGTGTCTGTGCTGAGGCTATGAACTCTGCATCCTATGCTTTTCATTGACATGGAACTTTACGGCTAAAATGTTCCACAAGTTGTTAAGAACTTCCATTTAGAGATCAGGGAAAGGTTGTTATTACCTTGACAGGTAACAGTTTCGAAGTTCTGCTAAGGGTGAAGATTTTCCATGAACTTACGCTGCATAAAATGCCTTTTTTACTTGGAGTTTGTCTCGTTTCTATTCAAAATTAAAATCAACAAGCATTTTTTAGACGGGGAAAAGTATGGTCTTTTTTTCAAAAATAATTAGTTAAATCAAGTGAGTTTTTACTTAACCAAGCACAATAATCAGTAAATGGGGTGAGCAAATAATAATCTTGTTGTCACTTTGAAAAAACACTAATTTGCTTACCTCATTGGCAGATTATTTTGCTTGTTTTAAGGAAAAACTCTTAATTTTTACATATTTGTGAAAAAAGAAATATTTTTTTAATCTAAAAATGCTTCTTGATTTGTAAATTATTAGATATTTGGACTAGAAACAAGACGAAATTCTACATAGTAAAAGCATTTTTGCAGTGTAGAAGAACATGTGCTGAATGTTGCTATTTAAAGTTGACAATATCAACATTTTCCCTACGACCCATGAATTACACTTCAATTATGAGAGTAACTTCTTTTAAATTGTAAACCATTGTTTAATTGCTTTAAAAACGCACAATGAGGTGGCATTATTCTTCTCAGTTCATCCATCGAATATTATATGAAAACTTGTTTGAATTAACATTTTATTTTTAGCAGACAACGAGTAACCTCTAAAACTCACAATTTTTTTCTCAGAAATACTGATGACGAACTGTTTTAAATATTACTGCACTGTAAAGAATATTTAGTCAAAATAAGCTCCAGGAGCAAAAGACAAGAGATTTGACCACAGACATGCTTATGATACTGATGTCATGTTAAAATACCAAAAAAAACATAATGTTATTTTCATGAGTGAAATAAAAAACACACACATTTCACTATATATACAGATGAAGTCAGACTTAATAATAATAATAATAATTCGTTACATTTATATAGCGCTTTTCTGGGCACTCAAAGCTTAATTCAGACTTATTAGCCCCCCTGAATTATTAGCCCCTCTGTTTATTTTATTTATTTTTTGCCAATTTCTGTTTAATGGATAGAATATTTTTTCAACACATTTGTAAACATAATAGTTTTAATAACTAATTAAATAGTTATTCTATAACGATGGTTTGTTCTGTAGACTTTCGGGAAAAAAAATAAAAAGGCTAATAATTTTGTCCCTAAAATGGTTTTTAAAAAATTTAAAAATGCTTTTATTTTAACCAAAACAAAAAAGACTTTATCTAGAAAAAAATATATACTATCAGACATACTGGGAAAATGTCCTTGCTTTGTTAAACATGTAAATATATATATATATATATATATATATATATATATATATATATATTCAGTTCAGACCCACATCCAGTTCATGTTTCAAAAGCACAAATTGTGTTTAAGAGATTAAAAGGGAAGATTTGCAACTTTGAAAAGCACATGTTAAACTTGTTCGTTTTTAAATATCTTTTTGGGGAAGATCCAAAATGAAACTTAAGGCGACAGTTTTCATGCATGATGCTGTTTTCATGACATCCAATCAGTGTATGACTTTTGCTTTAATAGGGTGACACTCTTCACCACAGTGAGGGTTAGACTCGGTGAAGAAGTCATTTTCCAGAAAAAAAAAGACAAAGAAAATTTGAATTTTCAAAGATAATTAGACAGAGAGGTACGCAATCATTTTGCTCCAATTTAGCAGAAGCCTGTTCTTTTTGATTAGTAGTGAGATGTTTGGAGTTGTGAATAATGAAAATGTCAAACGCCAGTATGAAACAAAAGTTTAGTCAGCTGATGGAATACAGACAGCACCATTTCTCACATTAGACTGCTTTGTGTTTTGCACCATGTTACTTTTGACCTACCTCTGCTTGTTTTGTTCATAAGAATTGATGACACTTAAAATCAGTGTCATTTGTCATTTTGCTACGCTTGTGCTTGTTAATGATCTATTTTAAAATGGAAATGGCATTTCTTTAAGACAAAAAGGGTTGATTTATATATATATGCATGTGTAATCAAATCAAATTTTGTTATAGACCATTTTAGGGTGGTGAGCTCATTGGCCCATGAACATTTCCTGCTTCCAATCAAACTATTTCATAACTGTAACAAGAGGCAATTCAATCATAACTTAATCAATATCTGGCTCTTTTTGGATTCTCGAATCTATAGATATTAAAAATGTAGGACAGAAAATACACTGGGACTATTGTTTTTGTTTAAATCCCTAAAAATGGTCTATAACTTTTCCGGACCTCTGAAATAAAAATATTTAGATTTGGGCCTTTGAGTTGAGATTTTGACAACCACTGATGTATATGGACTATTTGTGTATGGAAGCTCCACAAATCAGAACGGCAACCCATAATGTGAAGTGAAGCAGTCACATGCGGAAAAAGGTGGATACCTGGCAGGAAGGTCCAGAGTATCCTTGAGGACAGGCACACTCCTCCACCTCCATAGCCCTCTCATTTCCTGTAGAATGAGGCACTGCAATGTCCATTTGGATATTTGAAAGGCTAGACAGGAGAGATTAAGATTAAACTCTAATATCCAGATCACACAATCAGTTAAGTGACAGATAGGAACCTAGTAGGAGAATTAGACTCTATCTGGAGGATATGTGTATAAGGGACATTAAAAGGTCATGTATAATTAATGAATGAGAGCAAAAGTACCTGGTCTCAGCCATATTGTCTGCATAAGTGGCTCTGATCATAAAGACATTGATATCTGCCAGAGCCATCAGCAGGTGCTCTCTGGTACAGGGCTGACCATCTGCCCGTCTCCAAGCAGACTGTGAGGATTGCAAGCAATGAGAGTTCAGATAGCAACTGATCAAGCTAGATCAAGTTCAACTTATTATAGAGCATTCTTTCATATCTGAAATCTTTATTTATCTGATTGTTTAAAATTCATTTATATATATATATATATATATATATATATATATATATATATATATATATATATATATATATATATATATATATATATATATATATAATAAATTAAAATCAAACTTGTACATCTATATTTTATTAAAAGAATTATTTTTATTATTATTATTTATATCATTAGATGATTCAAATGTAGTTTCTTAAAAATAATTTTTAAATTATTAATATAAAAATGTTATATAAAACTCTAAATGATACATTTTAAAATAAAAAGTTATCAGTGTTTATACAATTATAAATTGACATAATATAAATTTATATAAGTTTGCTTTTAACAGTATTATTATTTTTGTTGTTGTTACTATTGTCATATACGATTTATAAAATTCATATTTTAGTTTAAATAATAACATTAAATTGTAGTAATAATAATAACAACATTGATAAGAGTAATAATATTAAATATTATTATTGTTAATAATAATAATAATAATAATAATAATAATAATAATAATAATACCAAAAATAATAATATAATAACAATAATAATAACAACCACAACATTATTAATAATAATAATAATAATAATAATAAAAATACAAATATAAGAACAATAATATTAATAGTATTATTGTTGTTATTATTATTATTAATAATATTTATTATTATTATTATTAATATTATTGTTTTTATATTTGTATTATTATTATTATTATTATTATTACTATTATTATTGTTGTTGTTGTTAAAGTTATTATTATTATTATTATTATTATTATATCTGGTTATTTTAAATTCTATAACAATTTTAAGTGAATCCAACTTATTTTAAAGTAAAAATAGTTGTAATTATTTTTGACTTATACAGAAAAACAAATTGTGTTTTTAATATAAATACAGTGTAAAAAGATAATGACTTTTTATCTAACATTTTTAAACAAATAAAATAAACAAAAAACAAAAATTTCATAAATATATAAATTCATAAACAAAGCTGTGGCTATATATACACATAATATGTGTGAAGATAAAAACAACTTAATTATCAGTAGCAGCAGTGCTAGTAGTAAACACATCCAATAAATTCCTACATTAAATATGCCTCTAAAAATTTAATTTCTTCAGTCATTTTCATTACAAGCCACACTCTCTATTAAACAAGGAAAAGGAAACCAGCATTATTAGCAGCACACCTCTCTAAAAGTCACAGTGATGGTAGCAGGGACTCTGGGTAGTGGTTTGATCTGGGAATAATGCTCCAGGAATATGCCGCTGCCTTGCAGAACCACATCAGGCTGTCCATCAATGACCATCGAGCGGGCATGAGGCTCATAGCGAACCCTATACTTCAGCTCTCCGCCATATGCCGTGACCTTTAAAAGAAGAAAAAACATTTTTAAAAAACAGCACACCGACATGTGTTACAATACCTGAGAAAGGTCAATGTAAACATAGCGTCATATCCCAAGGCATGCTCTCACCTTGTCTCCTCTGAAATTCTGAGGCAGGACCCAGTAGAAGATGTCATTATGGATGTTGGTGAAGGATCTGTAAACCACCTCAGTGCTGCCTCTCTGCGTGATGCCCTCAGAGATGGTCCGAGTGTTGGCTGCATTGGATAAGGTGAAGAGCTGGCCATTGACGCCACCTCGCACCTGCAGATTGAACAGGTAAAATAGCATTCAGCTTGTCATAACTGCTTGTAAGTGAGAAATGGTGGATATGTTTTGTAATAGGAGGCCCTTATTCATTTATTTATTTATTTAGTTGTTTATTTGTTTATTTTTTTTTTGTCTCTATGGATACTTGTGTATATGTAGAAACATACTTTTATCTGGTTGTTGTTTTTTGTTTACACATTGTTTTTGTTTTATCTCTTGTAACCTGTTGACTGCTGTATACTGTGACACAAAAAATACCATGATTTCAAAATGGTAAAAATAAACGACAAATGCTACAATAAACATCCACATCTTGGTTAACAGTATGTTTCCTTAAAGGGGTGATCCACTACAATATCATATTTTAAACTTTAGTTGATGTGTAATGTAGCTGTGTGAACATAAACAGCATCTCTTGATGTAAAATGCTCAAAGTTCAATGCAAAGGAAGACCTTGATTTTTACAGAGTTAGCTTAGCAAAGCCTTCGATTAATGAATTTTGGGGACTAAAAAAAATATTTCCGCCCCCTGTGAGATCAGAAAAGTTCATTATTGCGCATCCACACTGCACAGGTAAAGGACGTGGCCCGAGGCGCTGTAAGTATTTTTTGTAGTATTTTCTGCAGAGGGAGAAATGCCATCCTGCTGTTTTCACAGAGCTTCTCTGTTTCTGTTGTTGGGCCTCCAAATGATACGACCCAAACACAAAAGTGCTTTCAGTTCAATATTAATTATGTTCCAGAGAATTATAAAATTAATACAAGCATGATTTGACAAAACGCAACTTCCAGAATCTCTCCCAGTTCAGTGCTGGATTCGGCTAAAATCTCCTCAAAGATGGAGCAAGGAGACGCTGTGAACTCTAAGCCACGACCTGTAAGTGTTTTTATTTGTTAAAATTGATCATGACATGTACAGTGTCTAGCCTTAACAGTATGTTGTAACAAAGATGTAAACAACGGGAAATTATAATCACCGCTAATGATTTAGCTACAAATCCATATTTATCAGTCAAATGGCTGTAAACACACACACACACACACACACTCACACACACACTCTTGACCAGCACGTGCGTCTCTCTGTGAGATGGCAGTTTCTCTATCGGCAGCTTTTCCATGCGTTTTACATCTCAGACAATGAAGTCGCAAAAGATATGTGAACGATTCATGTTACTTACCCAGGCATATTCCAGATATGCAGGAAAGATGTCCTGTAACGCGTTGATTTAAAAAAAAAAAACACAGCAATACTCTCCCAACTGGAGTGTAACAGCAAAAACAAATCAATCCAGGCTCCCACAGGTCTAATCCCACTATCTTGTGCTTTATTCTGTCACCACAGAAAATAACTTAATCCGAGCATGAGAGAAAAAGAGCAATAAACATCACTCCCGCGCACATGCGCTTCTCGTGTTACAGATACTTCATAGTATACACACGCACACATATAAACACACACACACATAATGGCACACAAACACTTTCTTAAAGGACCCGCATCCCATTTTCACTCGTTACAGACACTTGTTGACTGACTGTTTACACAAAACGCTCGTGCTTTTCCCGGCGTGACATGGAGCCGATCCGCAAATCACAGCACATTATGACGATGACCAATCAGAGTCACTTAAGGGCGGGCCTTTCAAAGGAACTAGGAAATACGACAGTCGTTTTCATGTTAGCTTAGGAGCTGTGTATAATCAACGATTTATGAAAAAATAACGCGATTTCCTTCAAGTGAAACATGAGCACACATTGCTTTGCGTCTTATTAACACAACCAAGCCTTAAAATTACATTCTGGACCACCCCTTTAATATATAGGATTGATAACTGTGAATTGACTTCCCCAGGATTCCCTGCATGACAATTTTCCTTTTTTTTTTAAATATTTACATGAGTTACCATGATGTTGCTTTTTCTTGTTTTTGCTTTCCCATGTTGTTTTTGATGATTAAAAAAATCTGTAAAAATGCTACAGTAAAAATCCATAACCTGGTTAACAGTTTATCTGTGTATGATATGGTATGTCAATGTTTGTGCTACATCCGACAGATCACACTATTGTGTCGTTATCTTTTTCATTCTTTTATAACCTGTTTTTACACAATTTAATGTTTTTGTCTGTTTTTACTGTTATTATTTGTTTTTATTTTATTTTACTGGTCTCTTTTATTTCTGTTTATGTAAAGCATATAAGGGGAGTACAAGATCAGGTGGTTCTCGAGAGCTCCATGTGGCAAAGGAGGAAAGGAGGAGAAGGGGTGGATAAGGGTTTTCTTCGGAAAATGAAGGTAAGGGATTAGTTCTAGCTAGGCTATTTATAGTGAGTTTGAATTAATCTAATTGGATAACTAATGATTATAGATGGGTGACTAGCTGCAGTCAATCATATCACACGCTCCTCTTAAAATTAGTTTGTGAAACTTGTCATTAACATATCATTAATTGTATTTTTGTCTGTGTAACAAAACGTACGTGTAGATGTTCGTACTTCAAAACAATGGCGTATGTATTTTATGGTTACATGCATACAGTATAAATAACAAAAAATGATGTCTACCGTATTTTTAACGGTAACAGCATTTTTACGTTATTTTATGGCAACCACAAATGCTGCTTATTTTTCGTAAATTTTACAGATTCATTTTAACAGTAAATGTATGAGACCATTTATGCTGTGAGTTCATGTTTTTGTAACTTTAAAGAGTTAAAAGCAAAGTCATAACAATTCCTTAAATTAAATTGACATAACTGAAAATGTAAGTGATTTGGACGTTTTTCTGTTACCTGATCTCTGCTCCAGGTTGAACTGGCACACTGTTTAGTCACTCCCATACAGAAACACTGCAAGCAGCCTTCAGGATTATCAGCCGTCAGATGAAAAGCACCAGTCTTACACTCGTCACACAGCGCACCAGCTACATTGGACTGGAACAGAAAAAATCAAGCAGGGCTTTAACAATACTTTTACAAGCTGCTAAAAACAACATGGTCATTTAATACTATAATAAAAACACTTAGTAAACATATAGTGCGCTAATGATGTAATACTGGTTTTACTTAATTACTATATATATATATATATATATATATATATATATATATATATATATATATATATATATATATATATATATAAATTATAATAATAATATAATTTTTTAATGACTTTCTTTTCATCAACTTAAGCAGGACAATAGTATTTTACTTTAATGAGAAGAAATAGATTAAGCATCTTCACCAAACAAGGTCATTATAACAAAGTAAGGTGAACTAAAAGTACTTTTGTTTCTTGTAATAAATTAAAAAGAAATTGAATGAAATTTGAATGTAAATAAAATTTTTCGTCAATTTTATTTCAGCTTGGATCAAAAAAAATATATTTTATTATATTGTTGTTTATTCAACAACAACATGCCAACTCCACACTCCAAACACCCACTGACCCAGCTGAGCCTTGAACCAGCGACCTTCAGTGCTACCTACTGTGCCACCGCGTCGGCCCTATTGTAGTTCTATTCTATTCTATTCTATTCTATTCTATTCTATTCTATTCTATATTGTTCAATAGTTTTAGGGCATATTTGATGAAAGATTTTTATTACAACATAAATTGTTGACTACAACATAAACAGTTGAAAAAATTAATTTATATAAATAAATAAAACAAAAGGACAAAAAAAAAAAAAATCACAAAATTTTTAAAACTGTAAAATTGCATTGAAAAATGAAGCCTTGACTACTAAAATTGCTGAAGTAAAACTACTCAAACAAAACTAAAATAAAACTTGTAAATAAAGAAAATACTTTCTAAAGCAAAATATAATAATTAACATGTTATTCTATATTTTAACAATTTTATATTCTAACAGTAACATTTAAGAACATTACTATTTTACTGTATTTTGATCAAATAGATGAAGCATTGGGAAGCATAAAATGTCTGTCAAAACCACAAATAAATAAATAAAATCACCTCATCCCCCTGAACAGCAGTGTATTAAAAAGAGAGAGATAAACAGTATATGAAATTGAATACCTTGCAATAGCATGGTTTGCTGATGGGATTGATAGTTCCTCTGTTATCACACTTGGAAATGGCTGAACGGAGCAAAGGACAGAATTGTGTTGAAAATTACAAATGGGAAACTTTAAACATCACGTTCAAAAACAGCTGGCAGCACAGCACACCGAGCGTTAAGCATTATCTAAAGCTTCACATGACCTTCAGGGTAAAATAAGGCAGACGTTCCAAGAAAATAAGTGGCTTACGGCAAACAAATAAATCTTGCCACTAACATTAAGCCCACAAATAAATCATTTACTACCAGAAATGGAAACAAAATATAAATGCTCACGGCTGGCAGCAGGAATACATTTGCCATTGGGTTGCAGAGGGTTGCCGACATATCCTGGTGCACATCTGTTGGGGAAATGAAAAAAATATATATAATAAAAAATCAGATGAAGACATAAGTTTCAAATTTATGTACATCAGGGGTGGACAAACTCTGTCCTGGGGGGCCGGTGTCCGGCAGAGTTTACCTCCAATCCTAATCAAACACATCTGCCTATAGCTTTCTAGTGTTCTTGAAGACCCTGCTTAGCATGTTCACGTGTGTTTGACTAGTGTAGGAGCAAAACTCTCTAGGATACTGGCCCGCCAGGGCCAAGTTTGCCCATTCCTGATGTAAATGCACACTGCACCACAAACTGTAGTATTAAAAAATTATTTATGAGAAATAACTTACTTCTCACAACGTCGCCCTGTGTAACCTTCTCTGCAGGCGTCACATGTGGCCTGATTGTCATGGTCCAAGAAGCAAGTGTCAGAAAACCTTTGAGGACATCAACAATTTGATTGCAAAGTTCTATTCAATAATATAAAATTTAATTATTCATGTTTTATTTTCAAACACACATTTCACTGGTGACATTATTAGTCTCGATTGTACATCAATGTAAATTTCTAATCAGCCAATCAAATGACAGCAACTCAATGCATTTAAGCAAAACTTCATTCAGTCTGCAGTTCGAGCATACGATTATTTTGAAAGCAAGTTTTGATTTAGTTTTGGTCATATTTTCAGTCTTCTCAATCATTGTAGTTTGTAGTTGACTAAATGTCCCAGCATTTTATCTAGCTTAAGTCAATGGCAACTTGACATGTTAGCTATAAGATTATTATTAATTAAACCTACAAATCAGTCTACTCTGCCCGAAACTACATTCTTTTAGGTTAGATTTTAAATGAGATTTTTCTTCTTATCTATTTAAGATTTATCTGCACATTAATGTGTTTGTCAGCACTGTCAGAGAGCTGTATGACTAACCATTAACGCTCAACTGTTTTACTTTGTTCATTCATTTTCTTGTCAGCTTAGTCCCTTTATTAATCCGGGGTAGCCACAGCGGAATGAACCGCCAACTTATCCAGCAAGTTTTTACGCAGCGGATGCCCTTCCAGCTGCAACCCATCTATAGGAAACATCCACACACACATTCACACACACTCATACACTATGGCTGATTTAGCCTACCCAATTCACCTGTACTGCATGTCTTTGGACTGTGGGGGAAACCGGAGCACCCAGCGGAAACCCACGCGAACGCAGGGAGAACATGCAAACTCCACACAGAAACGCCAACAGAGCCGAGGTTCGAACCAGCGACCTTCTTGCTGTGAGGCAACAGCACTACCTACTGCGCCACTGCCTTGCCCCATTGTTTTACTTTATATGTGTTGTATTTTTGCATTTTTGAAACAGCAATTTTGCCAATTTAAAGCATCAGGCACTTAATAATAATACTAATAATAATAACACTTCATAAAAACAGTCTGCAGAAACACTTTGATTGACATTCACCTCTAATTTCGAGAGGATCAGGTGCTTATGATTGCTTGCAGCCAGCCCCGCATTGTTCAATTTATGATGCACCAATCAGATGATTCCTAAGCCACTATAAATACCCTAAGTTCCATATGACAGCCATCTTCATTTTGAAGAATCCCCCCTCCAACCCTTCTCCTACTTTTTTCCTAGATTGGTGAAGCGGTAGCCCAGTGGTTAGCACTGTTTCCTCACAGCAAGAACGTCACTGGTTCTAGTCCTTACCAAGCCAGCTGACATTTCTGTGCGGAGTTTACAGGTTATCCTCGTGCTCACGTGGGTTTACCCCGGGTTCTCCGGTTTCCTCCCACTGTCCAAAAACATGCAACTCAAGTGAATTGACGAATCCAAAGCAGCACCATAGACATGCACCTAGTAAGTATTTCTCTCTTAAGAGCAATCACTATCTGTTCATTAGTTACTACAGCAGGAGAGTCCTTGAGATCTACCTGAGCTCAAACTCCCCTCTCGCCTTGCAAACAGGAGGGAGCCCCGGGCTGGAGGATCTTATGAGCTCAGGGTTCTCTCCCGGGACAGCATGCCAAACAAGCTTTATAATCAATCATCATTATGCTTGAATTGTCATTGGAGGGAAAAAGTCCCACCCATTAGTGACAGTCTCACAGAGGCATAGCCGTTTGTAGCTCTGCTACAAAAGAAAAAAGGGTGGGAGCAAAATCTCATTTAAATTTAAAGCGACAGTTACCAAATTTGCACAATTTGGATGAAAGCCTATAATGGCCAGTTTCAAAGTGTTTTAAAAAAAAATTGTTTAACTTTAGAGTTATCAGAGACTTATTTTACCAGACCAAAAAGGGACGTAATAGATTCCCTTTTACAGTTTTCATGTGATCCTTTGTCAAATAAAAAAATAAAAATATAAATAAACAAATAATTTATAAATAAAAGAACAAAGACATGTGAGTTCATACTGAAGGCTCAAACTGTTGTTGGACTGAACTAAATAAAATCTAAGAATGTCTTTTTACACTATAGGCTACTTGAAGTACTTCAGTAGTCATGTTTAGCCCGCGGTCCACCACCTAAATAAAGCTAATAAATGAATGGCACAATGCCGTGTTTTACAAGCAAAATTAATGTTGGTATCTTACTATATTTTTATGACATTGCAGTCTCGTCTTTTTTTGCCAATGATTTTGCAAACGGATGTAGTCGCTGTTGGAATCTAATTACTCATTTCATCCTGTCTTTGGCTCATCTTAAAAAGGTTGTCAATGAAAATGTATCATCTTTAATGAAATTAACATTGGTTCAAATCAATGCTATCTTAGGGCAATTCTTTAATATCAGCCAATTCATATTCATTTAAATGATCTCATCTGCACATTTTAGTATGATTTGCTCATCCCTTAATGAGGGGTAGGGTTAGTGCTAGGGTTTGTAGACATGTCTCCAAAAACACACACACATTTTCATATAAGCAATGAAGTCATGAATTTGTATGGACTTTTCTGCCAATAAGCAAAATAGTCACAGTATGTTTCCTTGTGAAATTGGGCTGTTCAAACAGAGTATCGGAATGAAGAAAAAAGTGAGTGTTGCCTAATAAAGTGGCCAGTGAGTGCTTGAAATTCTCAAGTTTGCTATATTTACCGCCGAGATGTCTCAGTGTATGGACATGGACAGGGTTTGCAGTCATCGTACTGTCCTCGACTTGGGTCACCGAAGAATCCAGGCTTGCATTTTTCACATTGAGCTCCTTCAGTTTTATGCTGACAACTCTGTTCACGTGACATTATCACTTTAGTATGTTAGCAACCTAACTGATTGCAAGCATCTATAAAGAATAGGAAATGCTCATCCTCACCAGGCAGTGTCCACTAACAGGGTCACAGGCACTGGCATGACCATTGCAGTTGCAGCCAGCGCAGATGCCCAAATAAGGTCCAGGAACCCGCTCAAATCCAGGAGAACAGGACTCACAAGACAGCCCTGAATATCCGGCAGGACATCTGTGTGGAATCAACAATTGGCACAGATTTGCATTTTCGCATTTAATTCCAGAATTTGGATTCAAAAGTTATAAAAGTAGCCAAAAAAGGATCAGTTCACTAAAAGCATTTGGTGTTAGTACATTCTTAGGGCCAAAAGCATAGAATATACAAAATGCCAAATGGAGGAAAACTATATAAATATGGGGATTAATCAGTTTTATTTATAGAATTTGATTTATGAAGAGCTTCATATTTTTTTACAGGTCTATTAATCCGATGGGGTGATTTAAAGGGCCGCTGACCTGCACTCCTCCACTTCTCTTGGGTTTCCGTGCTGGCTGAACTCTTTGGTGGTGGTGTCCATGCTGATGTCACTCAGGCCCACGCTGGCCATGCGGTTGTCATAAATGGTGCGAATGTGGATGCTCTCCAGATTGGCCAGGGTCATCATGAGATCATCGCGAGTTACCGCTCGTCCATTGGAGTGCTCCCAGTTTTCCTGAGACACAGAATCAGAGATGAAAAACCTGCAAAAGCTTATCTGACAAATATAAATTACGAATCATAAATTATTTTTTTGTAGCTTATGGTACAGTAAGTAAATTCATAAGTTGATCTTACAATGTGTTTAGCAGAATTCATTGTAATTTCATCACAAAAAATTGGACATTTTTTAAAATATGTATAAAATATATATATACAATTTAAACATGTAAAAAAAAATATATATATATATATATATATATATATATATATATATATATATATATATATATATATATATATATATATATATATATATATACAAACACATTAAACTGATTAAGGAATTGGGACAATATAAGCAGGAGCATGCTACTATTTTTTACAATAACGTATTTTTCAGCATATATTGGTAGATTAAATTACAAAAAATTCAAATGCACTATAAACAACTAAAACTTAAATAAAAAAGATACATGCCACAATTTAAAAGTGTTTTATTTCAGCAAGGACTCATTCATTTGATCAAAAGTGAAGTAAAACCTCAAGAAAGATAAACTTACTAAAGATTTTCTAAAGTATTTCATATAAATGCTCTATTACTTAAAGAAACAAGTTCAAATGGTTCAAAATGAAATTAAATATACAATATATAAAAATAAATATAAAAGTAAATTTTTTTAAATTAAATAAAATATAAATTAAATAAAATAGTAAATTAATTTAAAAACTAAAATAAAAACTAAATTAAATGAAAATAAATCAAATCAAATTAAAATAAATTTAAACTATATTAAATTAATTTTAATTAACTAATTAAAGAATTATTTAATTAAATTGTAAAATAAAATAAAAAAATAAAATAAAATAAAAGTTAAAATAAAATAAATAAAATCAAAACAAAACAATTTTACAAAGTAGAATTAAATTAAATTAAATTAAATTAAATTAAATTAAATTAAATTAAATTAAATTAAATTAAATTAAATTAAATTAAATTAAATTAAAAAGTCATTTCAATTTTTTACAAAAAACATTAAGATTTCTTTCCTGGCCAAACCAAACTAGCATTTTAGAATGATCTTCTGAAGGATTACAAGATATGTAAAAAACAGCCTTGCCAAAAAGAAATAAAACACATTATGAATATCTATTGAAATAGAAAACAGTAGTCATAAACTCTTAACATTTTACTGTCAAAAGCAATACAATATTTTTATCAAATATATGTAGCTTTGGTTAACATAACAAATAATAGACCCCAAATCCCTTTTGACAAAAAAAAATACAAACAAAATAAAAAATATCAGATACATTTTTAAGCAATACAGCAACTCACCTCAGTAAACCTGATCTCTCTGCTGTTGAATGTGTCAGGAAAAGTGGGTTCTCCTCTACGGTATATAAATTTCTGCCCGCTGCCAGTCAGCACAACATCAGGTCTCACCTTCGGTTCTGATCCTCCTCGCTGAAGTGAGTAACTCACCTTAAACTTCAGATAACCTCCATACGAGTCAACCTGCACAACACACACACACACATTAGAGGTTAAAGACATTCTCTGTACATTTCATACATTCTTATATTTGACTCAAGCTTTTCAAAACAATCTAATTATCTGAATATTCATAGTGTCAATGTGAGAAGAGACAGCAGTTGGTGGCCATGAGAATATTGTGAAGAATAAAACCTTGTTGCCCAAGAACTGGCGAGGCAGAGACCAGAATGAGTCTTGATCGAGGAAACGGCGAGACAGATCCACTAGCTGAAACTCCTCAGTCTCGGGATTGATCAACATCTGAGTTGAGGAGAGAGGCTGAGGAAGGCCAGGACGACTAGGAAAAGACACATTGACTCCTGGGAATAAAAAGAGAAACAGACAGAGATGAAGAGAGAACAGCTGTGTCTCATTCTCTCAATCCTTCCGTACTAGTTGTTACTTTATAAAACCTACTGTATTTATTTGATATGCAAGGCCTAGAAATGATCAATAAGATCAAATGACTTTACTCAAATGATCAACATAAATTTACTAAAAAGTCTTTACTATACAATCTCTTACAAGCCTTGTGCCATGTGATTGATTGTTTGTACTTGCATATAACTCGCTTTTTAAATTTGAAATATTTCCTTTTTTTTTTTTTAAATTAAGTAACCATAAAGATTATCAAAAAATGCACTGAACTTGTAATAAACATGTCTATCACGGTTTCTGCAGATTTCACCAAGTCAAATTCAAGACTTTTTAAGACCATTAAGATTGAAATTTTAAACTTATAGAAGGGCTAAATGCTAATTCTTTTTTTAATGATCCAGCATTTAAAAAATTACTTGCTCCACGCACAAAAAAATCATTTCTAAAAGATATTTCTTAGCAACATATTTTAATTACTGTCAAAATAAGCAGACCTTTGATTTTTTTTTTCAACCTAAAAAAAATGAAAACTTCGATAAACTAAATGTATGCACAACAGTAATCTCTTTATTGATCTGGGGTCATCACAGCAGAATGTACCACTAACTTATCCAGCATATGTTTTACGCAGCAGATGCCCTTCCAGCTGCAACTGGATATATCCATCACTAGCATATATACTATTAAAATAATCTGATTGTTTTACATTAAACTCTAAGAATTTTATTTAATCTTTTTTCATATTCTCATTATATCACAAAATATGTAATAAAAGCTTTTTCATTCAAGTATGATACCATTTATTAATTGATTATTAATATTTTAAAAGGTCTCATTTTTTGTTGTTTTTTTGTTCAATAAACATCAAAAAGTAAAAAAACAAAAACAAAAACATTTTGATAAAAAAATCACTACAATTTCATATGTTGGGCATTTACCCAATCAATAAAACAAAAGTTGTTTCCACAATCAAAACAACAAAAAATACTGCAAAAGGATGCTTTTTTTAACAACAATTTTGATTAAAACAAACAAAAAAAAAAAAGGTTTATCTTACTCCAGAAAATTCTGTAAAGATGTTTGTGCCCCCTAAACTGCTGTCTTTGTATATGAAAATAAAAGCTTGTCAAAATGTGAATTGGACTGCATTGCCTTACTTCTTACTTCTCTTTTGGCAAGACGTTTGATTTTTAATCTATTGGAAACAATCATTTCCCCCTTCTTTTAAACAGAGGGCCAATGATGTGTTGCATTTCCTTAGTTTGGAAAAAATAAGACTTAATTTAAATGGTTCTGGGTCCAAGTTCACTGCCATGTGGTGTCCTTTCTTAAATTACTCCCAAAGACAAATAAAACTGTAAGTGGACAAAATAATGCAGATGCTTTCAGGTTTTGCTTGTATTTTACTGATGTTGTCCAGATTTTTTTGTCTTTGTTTATATGTACACAATGTTAAAGCACTATGTTTATATGTTTGATGTGTTGTTAGTTATGTTGATTAGTGAACGTATGTTTTTTTTTTTTTTTGACAATTTAAAAAAATGAAAAGGGGGTAAAAAATCATATTTATTCCTCCTCCATACCTTTGAAGTCCTCCTCCTCAGTGAAGCGCAGTGTGATTTGGTTGCGGTATCGACCGGTGCTCTGACACTTCTTTGTGATACCGAAACAAAAGCATGGCATGCAGTGGCCGCCCACGCTAAAGTGTCCATCACGGCAATTACCTGCTAATATGAACGGAGAGGATGACACAACTGGACAAGAACAACACAGAAGACAAAGAAAGTAAGACCACCAACGTCAGGAGATTTGAGATGCCTCACAGCCACCACCACACCACAGCATGCAGAAAAGAAAAAGAAACAGCAGGAAAACCAGTGTCGTGCAAATGAAGAGATGACATTTAGGTAGTAATGATGCCTCCTCGGAAAAGAAGAGTTGAGAATAAACATAAAATATTGAACACGTGGTAATCTGAAGAGGTTTGAAATGCACCATGTGGAGCTGGTGCAGTACCTGGATTTGGTTTCTGAGAGAGGCTGAGGACTCCGTCAGGAATGGCAAACACAAGGCCTTTAGCATTGATGGCCTCACAGGTATAAGCCCCCTGGTCACCTTCCTTCACATCTCGAATGGTGAGTGTTCCTTGTCCATTCTCACTGATCATTGTGATCCTGTCAATGAAACGATCAAAGAGAAAATAGTGTTCCATAAAGCTTCATTCAGTTATTCCCAGTAAAGATGCAACAATGAGGTTTGTGTGACTGGCTTAAGTCTTAAGCTGTGTTCACACCAGATGCGGAACACGCAAATAAATCATGCTATTCATGTATAAATAGGCTTGTGAACATTTTGAGTTTACTTGCTTCATTCGCGTGTCAAATCCGCTTCACAATAGACGCAGATTTAAGTCATGAGCAGGGCTTCTGTCTGCCTGGTGAGTATAGCTTTCTTGTTAAATGACTAATATGGATTTTATTGAGAGAATAGCTGTGTGTATGTTCTTTAGGAAGGTTGATAAACAGCGTTGATTTGTTTGGAGCTGTGTTTGAGTCCACTAGATCTATTCAGAGGTGCACTTAGCTCTAAATATACAGCCGCAGCATGTCTATTCGCGTATTTGCATTGACTTAAAATGTAAATCACTCGCGCTTCATGCTTCTTCCGCGTCTGGTGTGAATGCAGCATTATGCGACACACTATAGCTAAATAATGTTTAATGTCAATTTTATGTTATATAGCGATTTTACTGTCTTTTACTGTCTTTAAAAATGTTTTAAACTTGAAAATCTCATTATTGACCTGCAGCAGATCACAGAGAGCTAGAACAGATCTTTTAATCCCAGTTTCTTTGCAAATCCTGTTCTGTGGACATGTTTATACTGGTTACTATTGAGACATGTTAATGCAAGCCCGTAATTCGATGGGGAGAGGAAAAAACACACTCCCACTGTACATCACATTGCAGTGGGCCTGCGATTTGGATCCTATTTTATCATCCGGAAATTTTAGAAAAGAGACTTGTTGTGTTTATAATCACTCTAATATGACTGTGGACGCACTGTACCTGAACACAGTTCTGTCCAAACAGATTAAAAAGCCATCATAGGTGCCCTTTAGTAGAATAATACATATTTTTCAGAAAGCAAGTTAAAATTGCATGGCAGAAGGGGGAAATGTAGCATATTCAAAAAAAATCCTTTATTTTGTTAATTCAGTATTCATTTGAAAGAGATTGACCTTAAGGTTATCACTAAATATTACAAGAATTAGCTGACAGTATTAGCACTAAAAATGAAAAACAAACATGCAACTCTTGCCATATTAGGGCATTCAGTGTAATCAACATTTATTAGGCATCACATACGTCATATTGGAATATAAGACAGATACTAAATAAAATGTTATTTAATTTTACAAAATAGTTACATTTTAACCCCATTTAACTTAATTTTATGAATTGTCATTTTTATTGTATTGTTATATAAATTATTTATTTACATATAAGTTTTTTATAAGTTCTGGGCAAACATGAATTGCATCAAGATATGTGTGTGTTAAATATATTTATTATATACAGTACATGTGATACACACATGCATAGAAACAAAACTTTTTTGCTACACAGATCTAAATATAATTATTTACATATTTATTTTATATTTAAAAATAAATTAATATTTTCTCAAATATATGCATGTGTGATAGATATATATATATATATATATATATATATATATATATATATATATATATATATATATATAAAATAAATACACAAAGTTATAACAAACTTTTATTTTTTGATGTTATTGTGATTAGTTTTTCCCCAGCAATATTCTATAAACTGATTTCACTTACTCAGTTTTATTATATCAACTAAATGAAATGCTAAATATCCTTCACTTTACATGCATTATGATATATTGACTTTACCACTGATATCAGCCTTTTTTTAATAATTTTACAGTTGTTTTTAACCCACAACTTTTATTCTCAATGCTAACCCACCTGTTATTGGCTGGTATATGTCCCCAATTAAGACGCCATGTGATGATGGGAACGGGCACACCAATAGCAGAACAAGTAAAGGTGACAGTGTCCCCACGCGATGCTGTAATGGACTCCTCCGGCGAGACGGTCACAGTAGGTGGGGCTTTGGTAAAATAAAGTCAACACACATTTAAAAACATGAACCAGTTTTCAATTTCCACACATATAACAGTACTGTAGAGTATTAGTAAGAAAGACATATGGAGACAAGAAATCACACACACTGTAAGTCTTTGATTGTAAATTGGCAGCCTGTGATGGCACAAGTTTTATTTGGCAGATTCATTCAGTGCGAATAGCCAAGCAAAGCCGGAGGCTCTGCCGGCAGAAACAATACCAAAGCTGCCTGTTAACTAAGCTACAAGTGCAAGATATATGAGATATGAGATGTGTTATTGAAAAGCTGCATGAGTGTGGCAAAACAAGCTGCTGAATGTGAATCTTTACTTGCAGAGCATAAATATTTTCAGGATTTGAAAGAAGCAATTGAGTTAGTAAGTGAAAGTGATGCTGACAAGTGAAGGAAAAGTTTGTACAGAAGACTTATGGTGCTTGGAATGGTATGAGAGCCAATGCTTATTGTTAAAGATTCATTTGACTGTAATGCCTTACCACAACCGAATTCATCAGAGCGGTCGGCACAGTCCGGCTCCTCGTCACACTGGTAACTGGCAGGAATGCATTTGCGGTCAGACAAACACACAAACTGCTCTGGGGCGCATGCAGCTCCTGGTCTTTTGGTAGCTGAAGGGACAAGAAAACAGAAATTTTAGGGGTGCAAATTTTTAACCACTACTGAAAACTATTGGAGATTTGGGGATAATATAATAACTGATGAATATACATTTATCAAAAGGTTTTTTACAAAGGTAGTTTTGTATTTGCCAATATTGATATGGCTGCTGGTATATCGCGCATCTCAAAGAAAATAAATCAGTAAAGTGTGTTACTGTATGCTATTTTAAAGGGCACTTATGATGCCAAACTAAATTTTGGGAGTGGTAATTCATAAATGCTGGAATCACTACAGCTATATAGTGTACTAGAGTATATACAGGAATCAGAGAGTGAAATTCAATACTATTTAAGACCTTTTTAAAACTCTTTCCATACTTTAAGACCTTATAACCACTTTTCAGCCAGAAACACTGGCGAGACTTTAACTTACAGTATATTCACTAAATATTAATGTAAGAAATTAATCCAAAACTAATACATTATTCATATACTGAATATAAATCTATTAAATTTAGCTAATTCAAGCTAGGAAGGCTACGTTTCTCTATATTTGGCAAACAGAAATTGTATGACAAAATATGGGGCCCCTTTCTTAGACGTATAGGTTATTAATATTTCTGTAATTATTTTTTTGGTAATATTTTTTTTAAACACAAAAGACTTATTAAGCATGAGTTCTACAGTGACTGAAATCCTCAGGCAGCAGGTTGTCCAGATTAAGTCTAAATGTATGACTTTTCTGCCACAGCAAGAGAAGCTGATCATTCCGCATCTGTGATTTGTAGATCGCTGCATCTTTACAATGTCACTATTCAAGTCCACCAGTAAAGCTGGTCATTAATAAAAGACGAAGGACAGGATAACGCAATAAAATCTCAATGGTCAATCAATTCAACACTGGTGCTGGAATTGATCACCAGTTTAGCGATGAAAAGGGTAAGCTCTAGCTAGAACTGCATTAACTGCAAAACTAAGGACTACATTAGACATTTTTCTACTGCACTATACAGTAGTATTCAGCTATGTGTGCTTCACTGTTGCTAAGCACAGTTTGAATTTCAGTGCAGCTAAAAGTGGGTAGGACTATCGCTAGTTACACCACCTCCACTGCTGTGACATCATTGTAAACACAACATAAACAAATGAGAAACACTAATTAATCCACAACATAGAGGCAAAGAATGCTGCTGCTGGCTGTTTAAAGTCAACATGAACCAGAAGTTGTGAGACTTCCAGTATGTTGATGTACACCCAACTGAAACGTAATATCGAGGGCAGGGCTTTCTTTTGGGCATCATTCTCGCAGTCAACTAACGGTAAGAGGGGCATGGTTAAGATTATTAATACACAGTTGCTAAGGAAGCCCTCAAGTTGACGCCAACAAAAGGGCAACCACTTCAATCGCAGAAGAAGATGGTCGGACATTGATTCAAGAAACAAACATTTTTTTTTTGGTGCATAAACTTGCAGGCAATAATAATTCCCTTTAAGAATAACAATGAGAGCTAGCAAAATGGAAATTGTACATTTCAACACACAGAGTTTCAAAATTGCAAGTTTGATATCTAGTCATCGGAAATTCAACCACAATGGTAGAGACAATTCCCTCAAACTAATCGGTGTTTAGCAGTTTTGGTAATGGTATAGCTTACTTGGAACCTCACTAGAGGTCTCACAAAAAAAAGTACCAGGTACTAGATAAGTTGCAAACCATCTTTACCAAAATTTAAAAAATAGCTAAGAGGGCTGATTAAAGACTTCCTTTTCAATGGTCCTCAAAGAGTAGTTGTTAACGACATGGTGTCTTAAACAAGGATTGTAAATACTGGAATTCCACAAGGAAACATTTTATCACACTTACTTTTTTCTTTTTACACAAATGAACTTGAGATAAATGATTTCGGTTTCAAGTTATTAAAATGTGCAGATGATATGGCACTTGTTGTCCAGTTGACTAAAACAGCGAAATAAGAGGATACCTTGTACTATAATTATATAAATTTGAAACTTCAAAATTGGTGTAAAAGGAGTTCACTGGAGATCAATTTTAACAAAACCAAAGAGAAGATAATCAGCAGAAATAAACTAGTCCTTAGTCAAAGGTTGAAACCTCTGGTACTTGAGGGACAGGAAATAGAGAAATTTGGAGGTTAAATATGAAATATTTAGGAACATTTACTGATAGTGGATTAACATTTACTGCAAATGCAGAGTGCATTTTTAAAAAAAGCAATGCAGAGAATATATCTCATTAGGAGGTTAAAACAATTTGGTGTGAGTCAAGATGTTCTGGAGATGGTATACAAGAACTTGGTTGAAAGTGTTGTGAGTTTTAACGTGATTGCAGGGTATGGACTGTTGCCCATTTAAGGAAAAGCAAAAACTGTCGAGTAGTAAAAATTACCAGTGCAATTGTAGGTAAAGCACAAAGACAACCAAATGAAATTTATTTAATGAGAATTAACCAAAGCACACCTCATTAGTGAAGATTGTTCCCATCCCTTAAATATAACATTTCTGCCATCAAAAATATGTTTTAGGCAACCTCAAGTGAAGAAAAATGTGTTTTAAATGTCCTTTGTGCTGACTGCCATTACAGTTTTAAATACTGGGTTCTAAGTATGTATAAGGTTTTAAATAGTTTTTTTATGTGATATATGTGATGACATTGAATGTGTTGCCTGTTTTTTTTCTGTGATGTGTGTAATGTGAATGCTGATGTGGTTGTGGGGTGAAGCCAAAGAGAAACTTCCACTTGTGGACAATAAAGAAAGTAAAAAATAACTATTGAAAATTTTGCAGGATGTTTCTCTGCATCACAAATTTATGGTCAGGAACCAAACTGAATCAACATTAGACCATTTAAGTGACTAGAAAATGGACAAGCAAGAATATATAGATGAACAAGACTTTGAGTTATGAATTAATATAATACAAACAAATAAATATGCAATAAAGTAAATACTATATTTTAAACTACTTAATGAGAATGTATATACAATAACTCCTGTTAAACTTAATCATATCTCAAAAACATGGACTAGTCATCATTTCAGAAAAACATGGACTAGATTGGGAAAGGAGTTTACAAAAAAAAAAAACAACCCAAAAAAGGAGCCAAACCGTGCCGTACTGTGCTATGTAAAAACTCTCTGAAATGGCTGACAAATTGAACACTTACGGCAGTTCATCTCATCTGAATTGTCCTGACAGTCATTATCTCCATCGCATCGCCACAGTTTCAGGGCACAGCGGCCATTCTGACACTTAAACTCATTGGGTTCACAGGGAGACGGCGTTCCTGTAATATAACAAATAAAGCACAATACATATAAGACCAACATAAAAGGCTTAATTAAAAAAACATTTTCATTTCTGTTGTAAATGAAATGCCCCACCGCATCTGGACTCATCGCTTCCATCAGTGCAGTCGGACTCTCCATCACACAGATATTCCCGAGAGATACACTGTCCGTTCTGACAGGTGGCCTGGTCTGCACGGCAAGGTCCTGGGCCAGGCGGAGGTCTGGGTCTGGGAGGTGTAGGTTGAGTAGGACGTAAAGGAGCTACACCAACACCTGAAATAATTAAGATAATTAGGATTGACCATTGATTAAAAATTAAATCAAATTGAACTGCAAACTAAAAAGCTTAAGATCATTCAAAGACATTATGGTTTTATATGTGTAAAGGAATTAATACTGTTTACAAAAAATAGCTTTAAATTATTATTTTATCTCAACCTCTATTTAAAGCCTACAGACAATAAAAGTTACTTTGAATAATTAACTGATTTCATTTCAGCTTTTTTCACAAATATACATTAACCAGCAAGCATAAACCGAAGCTCAACCTCCTTGGTTCTTGCAGAAGCTCAAACGTGCCAAGTGGCATGCAATAATAAACCTCATTCGTCCTCATGCATCAAGCAATCATGTTTGAGTTCCTATCATCAATTCTGAACATAAACATTTAGGGCTGCAACTAACGATTAGTTTAATAATCGATTAATCTGTCGATTATTTTTTCGATTATTCAATGACTCAGACAAAAAAATACAAATAAAAAAAACCAACAAAGGCATTCATTTCCAACCCATAATTGAGAAAAGCTCATACCCGAGCTGTTATAATAATAATAATAATAATAATAATAATAATAATAATAATAATAATAATAAATAAATAAATAAATAAATAAATAAATAAATAAATAAATAAATAAATAAAAACTCAGAATTTTTGTCCTGTTTTCAATCCAAAATATCTAATTTTTTTTAAATAGCATAAGAAGTTGTCTTGTTTTCAGAAAAAAATACCTCAAAATTAAGCAATTGTTTGCTTAAAACAAGCCAAATTAATTGCCAATGGGGTAAGAAATGGGGTAAGAAAAGTAATCTTAAGATATAATATTAAACAGAACACTGAAAAAGTGTTGCATGCAGAACTGTTGCAAAAAATTTATTTGTGTTGAATTCAAACAAACAAATTAAGTTTAATAATGTTCAGCCGGTAACACTTTACAATAAGGTTCATTAGTTAATGTGTTTACTAACATGAACTAATCATGAACTAATCAATCACAGAAATCCGCAGATTTTTACCAAAATTCTCAGCAGAAATAACAAAAAACGTCCGCAGATTCCGCTTGGCCCTGGTCATCAGCTACCTGATATTCCAATTCACATAAATGTGTGAGAGAGGGTTTTTGTTGTTTAAAAGACGGTAAAAATGATCTTTATCTATAACGTGAGATAGGCATCGCCATGTTTACTTGCGGCCACGTGTTTGCCTCATTCATGAAAGTAGAACACGCAGGATTCAGCACGTAAATTCATAAGCATGTCCCCAAATACATGCAAGTAGAAGGCTGGTGAACTTGAAGAATAGATTCATCTTTATAGTTGCTTTCATTGTGTGTATCTTATTTGAATAAAACATGTTGGCAAATTATATTTGAATGGATTGTTAGACTTCCTTGTGTTTTTTACAAAGTCTAAATGTATTGTTTTACAAGTACCTGTGGTTATTTACATGTCCAAATCATAAAATAAGAATTAGGCGGTTAAAACTAAAAAAATTGTGATAATATGACAAGTCTTTCTCTGGCTCACCACCAGCCAATGCGTTAAAGCTCTGTTTGAATTTTTCAGCTGCCGCTCTTAGGGTAAATGAACTAACGCTAACTTGTCATGCTTGTCAAGCTGGATAACGAGTAAACACCAGCACCATCAACTTTATGGTCCTTACTTTAAAAGGTAACAAAAGTTTAATTCTTTAGTGATTTATCCTGCTGTTGAAGTCCCTTCCTCTTTATCCCTGTCTATGAGGTGCCTAACTCTGTATTAGTGCACAAGAGAGACCGTATTCACTCCACTCCGCAATGAACAAAAGTGTTTTTTGTTTTTTGATAGTCAAACGTCCCCGCATTGCGCGACACAAAGAATCGATTATGAAATTCATTGACATCTCTTTTAGTAATCGATTTAAATCGATTTAATTGATTTGCTGTTGCAGCCCTATAAACATTTAGTTCAGATGGCTTGATTTCAACCACTTGATAAAATTTGTTTTTGATTGGTTTACAGTGTTTTTTAATTAAGGGACAGAATTAAAAAATATATATATAATTTTTAATTATTATTATTTTTTATTATTATTTAACAAAAATGTTATCATTCATGTTTTTAAGATAAACAAATTAACAGGTTTGAAGCAACATGATGTTGAGTAACCGATGAATAATTTTATTTTGGGTAAACTAACCCTTAAAGCATCAGTATTTTGTTTGATTTGTTTACACATTATTGCCTAGTCCATTACGGTAATATTCAGTGTAAGTCAAAAAAAAAAAAAAATTCAATTAATCAAAAAAAAAAAAAAAAAAAAAACACTTTAAAAAGTTTTTTTATATATATTCATTAAAAAATAGGAATGGGATTGGGACAATACTAGCAAGAGCATGCCATTGTTTGTTTAGTTAGTTAATTAAATTACAAAGAATTCAATTGCAGTTTAAACAATTACAATTTTAATTAAAATAAAATAAACACCACGATTTAAAAGTTATTTATTTCACCAAAGACATATTCGATCAAAAATGGAGTAAAACATCTAGAAAGACAATCTTACTAAAGATTTTCTAAATTATTTTTATTAGTGCTGCTCTATTCATCAAAAGAACAAAAGGTCAAATCAATAAATGTAAATATAAATAAATAAAAAAATGAAAAAATAAATAAATAAATCAATCAAAGATGAACTTTATGTTGGTCAGTTCAAGATTTCAAAAACAAATGCCTTTCATTTCTGAGGCACAGTGAGGGATTAGTCTCAAGCAAGCTCACTCACCACAGTCTATCTCATCACTCAAGTCATTGCAGTCAGGCCGTTTGTCACACACATACTCCCGGGGAATACATGCCAGGCCATCCTGACAGCTGAACTCATTAGACGTGCATTCTCTGGGGCTGGGCTTAACTGAAGTGGTGGAGACAGACATACAGAGCGCTGTGACCAACAATACGTAATGCAATGCAGTGATCCAAGGAAAACTGTACATGAGGCTTTGCTAAAAGATGTTTCAACATTTCAATGCAAGTCTATCACAGCCTTGCCATGCTGAACCTGCCGTTCCAAGAAGATACAAAAGGGCTCTGTTCACACAGGCAGCGAAAATCTGACTTTCTGAAGTTTTGAATACAAAAGTGCGCAATTTTAATAGTCTGAATAACACCATTTAGAAATGCAGTCGTGTTTGGTTGGTTTTGTTAATTGTAAAGCACACACTCTGAAAGGTTGAGTCAAATTTGTATTTATTATTATTAGTAGTATTTTTATTATTATTATTACTATTAAAGGCAGTATACTGTCTAAAAAACAGATCAGATTTTATCACTCAAAATGAGGACAGCCTGTTCAAAAGATCAGACATCCAAATCAGTTCAAATCAAATTTATGTGCAGTGTGAACAAAGCCAAAGTGTACATATGTTCAATGTTCATTATTGCGTTTCAATTCAATCTTGATCATATCTAGTATATTAAAAGGACATCATCATCATCACTTCAATAACAAGCCATGCAAAGCATTTGTTCTTCTCATCAAACTCAGATTCAAATCAAAATCGAAATCAAGTGCATACATGCAGAAATGTTTTATTCTCTATTCAGCAACTACATATGCTCAACATTCCATGTCGTTCTTATAAGTGAACAAGACTGGGCTGTGATCTAATGCACTTCAGTCCTCATGCAGCAGACCTGTTTGAGGACAAACCTGATATAAAGATGGACTCCACAGGAGGAAGAGTATCAGCTATAAACCAGACATAAATATTATCTACACTTTATTCTGATGAACGATGACTAACTGCATGACAGAACTGCAGACACGAATTGCTATGAAGAGAGTAAAGTGTAAAAGACAGCTTTAAAAATGCAAACTGATTCAGAAAACATCAAATTAATTATTATTATTATTATTATTATTATTATTGAGAATCACATGCATTGCTTATTAAATACATTATATTTTGTCATTTTATAGTCATCGTTATTATTGCTTTACTAATAATTTATAATCATTATATGTAATAAATAATAATAACAATGTATTTATAGTATTATTAATACAGTAGTATACAGATAGCATTCACATTACTACAACTAATAATAAAAACCAATATAAAACAATAAATCGGTATGAAAATTTTAACTATAACAACAATTATGTGTATGACACTAATAGGTTAAAGTGTACAAGCCTGCAAATATATGCTCTGTCAGTATTAATAATATAAAACAGCATAACTATCAACCAAATTAATACAAACTGTAACTAACTTTTAGGTATCAAGATCTACTAACCAAGAAATCAGAATTTAATAATTTTTAAAATATATATCATTCATACCTTCTCCAAGTCGTCTGAACTGGAAGCCAACAACTGAAGTATCATAAGAGGCAATGGTGCCCTCTTTAACCACCGAGAACAACACTTCTCTGATCTGTGTTTCATTAGAGTTGTTATCTGAGCCAACATCCAACTCCACAAATACATCTTTGCCGATTTTCCTGCAAAATGTACACAAAAATTGCTCAATCAGAACAACAGTCTAACAAAATTGCATAAACCAACCATAGATGGCTCCCTTTAAGAGCACAGTATGTAAATTTGACCACTAGAGGGAGCATATTCACAACAAACAAAGGCATAGTTTAATGGTGTTGTGGCAGTGCATTTACAGTATGTAATTTTGTCCACTAGAGGGTGCATATTCACAACAAACAAAGGCATGGTTTAATGATATTATGACAACGTTAGCATGTGATTATGTAATTAACATGGTTGTATTAAATACATTTTAAAAATTGCTACAATTGCTCTGCGCAGTGTAATAAACCGCACAAAATATTGATGCACCAAAGATGCATACGTTTTTTCCTATGACGTAAAATTTTTCTATAAAACCAAACCGAAAATTGAGGGTGTATGACATCATCGCTGACACACAACACTGATCATACAACTAGTTAAAACTGCTTATTTCTCGGAATTTGAACAATCTTCAAAACATTTGGGATAATGCAAGTACATCAAATATTTTACACTGTTCTATTGGTTTTGGGACATTTTAATGAAACATCTTAAATACGGTGCAATTAAACTCAGCCTGCTCAAGGTGATCTGTTTGCTGTTTTTATTAGGAAACCAGTCTGTTTAAAGATATCCAAACTTGTTTGAATTACTTTTATATGTTGAACACACACAAAAAAAATATTTAAGACTGTTGTAAGGTAGCCATTGTTTTTTATAGTATTTTATTTATACAATAAAACTCGATGACTACCAATGGCTCCCAGCTTTCAGCATTTATTTATTTATTTATTTTTGTAAAAACAGAAAACAGAAACTTATAAAAGTTTGGAACAACATGAGAGTGAGTGAATGAATTACCCCTGTAAGTTGATACGTTTAAGATGATGTGTGATCAAAATGAGCACTTGACTAAATGAATGTCCCAATGATTATAAGTAAACTGTCTATCCTAAATAAAAGAACATGCACCAATTCATTGGTGTTTAAAACTGAAAATGGTGTTTACTTGATGAGAACCACATTGACGGTCTGCTGCCCTGGTATTCTGTTGTAGTCTGACTCGAGCTGTAAAGAAGATAAACACCATTAATCATCGCTGCACCTTACAAAGCACTTCAGTCTCTTTATGCCATTCTAGTTGTACTCATTTAAACATTAACACAGTATAGACCAAATCAGAGGAAAGGCATGTGATCAATAATATGAGAAAATATTCAGGTGGAGCACAACATTAACTATTAGCTTTAAAAACTTCTTTGGTGGTGTTTATGAAGTCATTATATGTACATACCGTATCGACGACTGCAGATGAAATCTCATTGAAGGCATTAGAGTAGATGTCATCAAGTTCAGGCACATACTGGAATGAGTTTGTGAAGTTCACCAGTGCCCGATAGTAAACTAGAATCAAGAAGACAGCTGTTAAGACTTACAGTGCCAGAAAATAATTGTTTGTGTCCATCAGTGATAAGCAATTTATACAGTCACTTTCCTTTCAGATATACAAACATACAGACTAAACACAAACCAATGTTGTTGTTAATAAACTTATTTTCACTTTTATGCATATTAAGTTACTTTCCTATTTCAACCAAGTAGCAACATCCCACTCTCACTTGTGAAGCTAATACGGAAATAACTGAAACTGCAAATCATCGAATGATTTTGGTGTATATACAGTAGCTACTGTAGTATTACTCTTCATGACATGAGTGGAGTGATTTTATTTAATAACTTTATTTAATAAAACTAATCCGTTTTATTTACATCAAGTTATATTAAGTCTGCATAAAAAAGGGCCGTGGCCTGCTTTGTGTACTTAATTGTGTTCACAAACCATTTCAGTGGTGAGTGAAATTCTCACATACTTATATGCTTGACATTAACTTTTTTGATCAGCAGCCACTGTGGCTGGTAGTTTTCCGACATTACTAGCCCCTCGCCATTTTCACTAGCCACAATTTTACTGTTGGGTAAATATATTTTATACACATAAATATGACTTTGACATGCTACAATTACTTGATTTAGATTTTGTGTCATCTCCACATGCCTCCTCATTCATTTCACTTTTGTGTTGTATGAGCTTGCTCAATAATCATGAACAAATGGGTCAGGGTTTCACAGTAATACAATTAGTTTTTATTTCACATAATTTTCATAGCTCAAAATGATGAATCTACCAAATGTATCTCTGACCAAACCAAACATAAACAATTAATGATTTCTTAGCCACAAATTTTAAATGCGTCCAAACAAGCTAAATACAGCTGTATACTATACTTTTTATTTAACAAAAAATATGCACAGTAATCAGTCCTGGCTAAATGTCCCAGATCACTAATTTACAAATAAATAGGGAGTTAATCTCCCATTAAAGCAATGGCAAAAAAATGATAATTAAACCATATTAACGCAAAAGAAAGCAGGTAAAAAAAAAAATACCATGAAATGAAAAGGATGATCTCTCTCATACACACACGGTTAACATAAGACCCATAAATAATCTGTTCAAAGAATCGTTAAAGCGAAAGGAAACCGGAGCTTACAAAAAGACAAATCTAATGCTCTTGAAAGCAGCAGGACTGTGGGTGCATGTTCATCTCTTTTTGTCTAGTCTATATGAAAGAGAACCGATCACATCAGTTGTGTTTCTCAACACAGTTGCTTCACGCAATGAAACGGGAGCATGCATGCGTTTTAAACAGTCGTGCGCATCACCTCAGCTGTTAGTGCGAGCGATTATCCTCATATTCGGTATTCACCTGCTTTCTATTGCCCGCACGAATGCAATTATTTTTGTCAGTCATGTTGCTTTTCAATTCTAAGATCGCTTTTGCATGCATTCTGGGCCATCCTTATTGTCAAACCCTGCTTTTAAGAATTACTATCTAGGAAAATTATTTTCAACCAGCCAAAGTGGCTAGTAGGAGTGTCTGTCTTACCCACCAATGCTGATATCTATCCGCATTTGGCAGGTGTTAATGTCAAGCCCTGCTTATATACCATATCTATAAATGTATTCTTTTTAGGATCACTTATCATTTATAATTTTATTTAAAACTTTAATGCACTCCAAAATCTGACAGATTGATTAGCTGTAAGCTAAAGAACAATTATCTGAAATGTTGTCGTACAGTGTTCTGCCTTAGAGGCTCAATGTATTACAACAGTATTTTTAGAAGACTAAACATTAAATATCTAAGCAAAATGCTAGCAGGCATCTGAAGCTCCACTAACGTTCCGCCTCTTTGTCCTTTTTTGGTTACCCCCAGTTGGTGCATCAACAAAATGGCCACAGCTGGCCACACCCACTTTCAGCTTCATTTGCGCTCTTCAGAAACCTATAGGTGATGTCACGGATACTACACCCATATTTTTTACAGTCTATGCCAGGGATCCCCAAACTTGTTCCTGGAGGTCCGGTGTCCTGCAGATTTTAGCTTCAACCCTAATCAAAGACACCTGAACAAGCTAATCAAGGTCTTGCTAGGTATACTTGAAACACCCAGGCAGGTGTGTTGAGGCAAGTTGGAGCTAAACCCTGCAGGGCACCGGACCTCCAGGAACGAAATTGGTGACCCCTGGTCTATGCTCTCAACACTTTTATTAGGCAAAGCTTCTTCGCTATGATCTTCTATGTGAAGCTGCTTTGACACAATCTACATTCTAAAAGTGCTATACAAATAAAGGTGAATTGAATTAAATTCTAAAAATACATGTAAATTAAAATACATTTTTACAATGAATAAATTCATAACATTAATTAAATTATGTAAAGGCTAATAACTAAACATATGGACTATAAATGTTCGATATTAAAATTGGGTGGGGCATTTAATTAACACTGTTTCAAATAAAAAAAGAAAATATACATTCACAATTGAAAAATTACTAATTTAAACCACCACATATACACACTATTGATCAACTCAGAAAAAATAAATAAATAAACCTTCCCACAACCAATATTCAGTCATCCATTCATTTTCTTTTCAGCTTAGTCTCTTTATTAATCTGAAGTTGCCACAGTGGAATGAACTGCAAACTTATCCAGAATATGTTTTACGCAGTGGATCCCCTTCCAGCTGCAACCCATCACTGAGAAGCACCCATACACCCACATTCACACACATACACTATAGACAATTTAGCTTACCCATTTGACTTATACCGCATGTCTTTGGACTTGTGGAAACCGGAGCACCCGGATGAAAATCACGTAAGCACGGGGAGAACATGCAAACTCAGAACAGAACAGAAATGCCAACTGACCTAGCCAAGGCTCAAACGAACAACCTTCTTTCTATGTGGCGATCCACTGCACCATCGTGACGCCCCACAACCAACATACTAATGCATATTGCGAATAATATTATTAATAATAATATTAATAATGATAATAATAAACTAGTGCTAATGTAATATGTTTGTGTGAAACTGCTTGACATTTGTGCAAGATGCGAATAGCTGAGGATTGAAAAAAAGTTTGGTTTTGTGTTTTTAACTAGTCTCTTAGCCTAACCAGGAAAGTCAGTAACTGTGTCCCAAATGGCACACTATACACTATGCACTTATGCACTATGTACTTATGTACTTACACACTCAACAGGATAGTATATGTATATAGTGGCGTCCCAAATGACACACTAATGTTTTTTTACTAAGCGGAAATTCAAACCGTTTCCCTGATGACGTTTGATGGTTGCCAAATCAGTGAAATAAACGACCGAATTATCAAATAATACCTGCTGTGAGCATTGCCACATTCCCCATCGGGAGGCGCTATAATCACTCTTGTAGGAGAATTTTGCTTTCACCATCCAATTAAATAAAGTTATCCAACATCTGCGTCTGATAGCTCCGCCCCTTCCGCTACGTAAGCAAACCTGCGGTCGTTGAGTGCGAGTACTGTCCATCATTACACACTTCATTTTAGCGGCTGAATGAGTGCATCATCCGGGTAATTAAAGTGCACCTATTATTTTTGGAGTTTTCAGTGTGAATGCACTACTTACACTATTTATACTACAAAATGGCGTAGAATAGTGCATAAGTATGCGATTTGGGATGCAGCTTATATGCTAGTTTTTTATATTTATGGTCACTTTTAAGGCTAGATGACCAGACAAATCAAGTAGGCAATAGTTTGGCCAGTATGGGAAACCAGAAAGACCAGCACAAAGAATAAGCAAACAACTAAAAAGGGCATGAAAACACAACTGGTGAGTGGAGGCACATTTACAGTGCAGTACAGATGAATTCGGTCATCAAAAGGTCAAATAATCATTGAGAAGCACAGCATTACAAAATCTATTGAGGAAAGGTTTCAGCATTGGCTGCTCCAATTCTTCAGCTGCTGTTCAATACCAAAAACAAATACATGCTATTAGCTTATGCCCACAGCCTCACAGTAAGTCAACCTTTAAAAAGCTCCAGCCCTTTTACTGCCCTCCCGGCAGCTCGCCTGGCTGAGTTTACCCGATTTCAGTTTGTCAAACGGAGTTGAGAAAGGAAGTCAATATTTGTCCTCTTTCTTACAGTTAGCTGCGACTCGCCATAGTTCTCCAGCAGAATCATGTTTAATGTGACTTCCAAATGGACACACGGCTTATATACACAGTCACACATAAACTCTCTTTTCACCTTTTACTCTTCTTAATGCCTTTATAGATTTAGTAAAATTGATAATACATCTCAGAGATTAATTAACTCGCTTTTCACACCAACTGGACACCTGCTGTCACAGCTCGGTCAATTGAATTTGCAGTCCACGTGCGATGTATTGGAAAGTAGCACTTACTGCTTATAGGATTAGTGAAAGAAACTTGCCCCAGGCTTAATCTTTTCTAATTGTGCAATACATTGATACATGGTTGCCTGCATCCCTAATGGCAAACTCATTAAAATAATAAAGCTAACTTTGGCCATTAAAGGACAGTGAAAAAAAAATGAAAACAATGTAAGAGTGTCAGAAGGTCTTGACTGAGTGACTTTGTCAAGGCTATAATAGGCTGAGATCCATTCTGAAAGGCTCACTGCTATGCCATAATTCCTTTTTACCCAACAGAGTGAGAGTTTAGAAGGGATGAAGGGCACCATTTAAATCAGGACTATATATTCCTGCTCTTCCAGGGACAGGGACCTGCACCCCTATTTTTTCATGATTTTTTGCAATAAAAATTACATTTTGTGGTGGTAATTCACAGAAATTTGCAGACAATTTTGCGATGAAAAATAATATAAAATAAAAACATTTTTTAACTTTTTTTTTAATAATTAAAAAAAATTATATAAACATAAAAAATTATATATATATATATATATATATATGTGTGTGTGTGTGTGTGAGTGAGTGTGTGTGTATATATATATATATATATATATATATATATATATAT